AAGGAACGGGGGGGGCGAGATCGCAAATCCCTAGTGATATCACCCCACAAGGGGCCCCTTGGGGGACAAAATGGCTAGCGAAATGGGGGTGGGCGAGATCGCTGTGACACCGGTTATGATAGATACCAATAATGCAAATTGGCCGTAATTCGTATAATAAACTGATGTGGTAAATGATGGTACTCTCTTTCATAGAATTAAAAACAGCTAAACATTATTTCAGAAACCTCATTTAAATGACATCATTTACATGTTTTATTATCAAATGCTACAATGGACTTCTTTGCTAAGAGAAGAGACTTTCATACTTTGAACAACTTGTTGTTTGGTTCTGTGTCATCAAGAACCTTTTGATGGGTTTGTGTAAACTTCACATGTCGGTAGTTAAAGAGGACATCAAACACATTAGTCACACCTCTAACACCATTATAATAACTTCACGGAGGATTGTGTCCTACGTTCATGTAGTTCTTATTTGATATTGTATGCAAATGTTACATGCGGAACTTACGGTTGACGAGAGGATTTGCAGAAGTACCAGCTCAAGGCGGCCACAGCCAGGACAACTATGGCACCCACAGCGGACCCTGCAATGATTGGGGCTGTGAGAGACTCCTGTGCCGGCATGCCGCCGGTGTTTGTTGTCGACTCGGCTGCTGGCGTTGGTGTCTGCCTCATGGAGACGTACGGCTCTGTTGTTTGAGGGAGGTTTGGGAGAATCACCAACTCACATCTGTCACCTGTTTATCACAAAGGGAAATAAGATAACAGTTTATTTGTTTGTTTTGTTTATTTGATTTCGCACAATCATATAATAAACGGAATAAGGAAAGTATAAATATCAATTACACGAATAAAACATACTATAGAAAAAAACCTAAATGTGATGGAGGCAGAAAAAAGATACAATGCCTGTTTGAGTCCCACCCCCATTACAATAAAGAACATAATTAATGATAATGATGATGATAATACTAATGAAGGAAAATATGATATCTAAGTACATGACCCATGTTGCAAATTTAATAAAAATAAATGTAGAAGAGAAAAAGGAATATTTATAGAATAATAACTTGAACATATAAAAAGGTATATCTTCCCACTATATACATATTTCCGTAACATATTTCCCACTAATATTAACTAAATGTTAATATTACAAACTTGAACAAGAATTTGGAGATCTCATACCTCCATGAAATATGCTTGTAGAGTTTATGTAAAATTCGTATTGGGGATGTGTAAAATGTCTAAAGGATATATAGAAGCATTTTTTTCACATAACATAATCACACATCACTCACTGAAGCATATAATCGCTGTTCTTGATGAGAAACCATCGCATTGAAAAGCATTCATCAGCATTTCGTTTATAAGATACTGAATTCACCTGTGAACATGGCGGGGCAATCGCACGTGTAGGAAGCAACACCATCGACGCAGGTACCACCATTTTCACACGGGCTGCCTCGGCAATCATCGATGTTCGTGCCGCAGAGCGAATCAGTGAAACCCGCCAGACAGTTGCAGGTGTAAGCTGCTATTCCGTCAACGCACGTGCCATTGTTCAAGCACGTTACTCCTTCACACTCGTCAATGTCGATCTCGCAGTTGTACCCCATGTAGCCTGCAGGGCAGGTGCAGCTAGGGCAAAGGGTGGTCAACATTTAAAAAGCTTCTTAGGAAATGGGATAGCACATTTTAGGTAAAATTCATCATTTTGCTTTGTCACTTTGGAAGGTCAAGCCAATTTAGGATAGGAACCTCATGTACTCATGTACACATTCAGTTGGTCATAAGTAAAATATGTCCTAGAGGTAGCCTACTTGTAATCGTTGGTGATTGGTTGGCAGGTCCCGCCATGTTGACAGAGGTTCGGGTCGCAGTAGTCCACTTCTCCATCGCAGTTCTGTCCGAAGAAGCCGTCAGGACAGTCACAGTAGTAGTCGTTGACCATGTCGACACAGGTGCCGCCGTTGGTACAAGGACCTGAAGAGCACTCATCAACGTCCTCTTCACAGTCAGGTCCAGTGTACCCAGGGCTGTTAACGTTAAGTAATGCCTGTCAGTGTTTTTAATACTCTCTACCTTAATAAGGGGCACATGTCATGCTTTAGGCTACCTCACTAATATAAAAACCTAGATGTAGCTATAGTGTGATGGCACGATACACGTCTTCATTACCACAACATTTGTCAAAATGTTTTAAACAATCTATATTATGTACTAAATATAGTCTGGTATCCATTCCTAATGTAGCTTACGGGTTTCATGTACAATGAGAATGAATACCAGGCTACGCAGAGCATCACTCCTTGCTTAAGAAGAATGAAAGCCTTGGGCCATTTAATTTGTCAGTTGTTTCCTCTAATCTACACCTAAACCTGAAATTGTTGTTGAGCATGTATTGTGCCATTCGAAAAGGTAAAGGCTTTTAGAGCAAAGTACCGTACTGCACCTACCTGCACGAACACGAATACGTGCCGCCTCCCGAGTCAGTACAGTTTCCTCCGTGTTGACATGGGTTCGGGCTGCAGGTGGTCACGTCCAGCTCACAGTTCTTGCCATGATAAGCAGATGGACAGGAGCAATGGAAGTCATTCACCAGATCAACACACGTTCCGCCGTTCTCACATGTCGTCCCGAGGCAGTCGTCTATGTTGTCTCCACAATGGACGCCGGTGAACCCGGGAAGACAGGCGCATCTGTATCCACCGAGATAGTCCGTGCATGTAGCGTTGTTCTCACATGGCGAAGACAGGCATTCTTTCGTATCTGAAACATGAGAATGATTGTAACGTTACAGTCAGATGATATTTAAACACAGAGATGAAAATTAAAAAAAAGTATTTCATTACCTACTAGTATAGTAAATTATAATGATCATATCACTTTACATCACATCACACTCCATTACATTATGTTAAATTTGACTGATTAAATACATGTACCATTCAATATTATGTGCCTGCTGTTAAAAATGATTCACTTTGAATGCGTCATTGCGTAGAATAGAAACCTACCGTCGCACACTGAATGCGTCGTCATGTTGGTGTTTCCTTCCACGTTCAGTTGAAAATCTGCCCATGTTAGGACATCGCCACGCAGGGAGTGGTTACAGCTCGTAGCCAGGTCCGAGATTTCACCGTCAGACAGCGCTCTGCTCCACCAGTTGATCCCATGTAGGGAACCGATGAAGGCCTCATCCGTGGTAAAACCGCCGCCAAGGTAGTCCTGCTCTTGACCAAGGACGGCAAGACCGCCACCTAGCGAGGAAAACAAGTGTTGCAGCATGGCGATTAACTATTGATTGTTGATTAATATACTAGTAGACATTTGCCAACAATTGATTCGAATCCATAGATCTAGACCTCATAAACTGACGTGAGAGTTACATATTGCAGTGTCACATGTTGGGCATTGCTTAGTCTTCCAAGCCTCCTCTAACAAAACAATTTATCACATGAAATGCCGTGGGGTCGTGTGGCGTAGCGGCAGAGTGCGCGACTCGGAACTAAGATCTTATGCCCTTGGGAAAGGCACTTTACACGACTTTCCTCACTTAGCTCAGGTGTAAATGAGTACTGTCCTGTCATGTATCTGTCCCCTGTGTTGGTGGCGGCATTGATATAAGTTGAAGAAACTTGAGTGTGTCGTCACCACGTCTGGTGATTACATGTTGGAATAAAAAAAAAAACCGTGACTGGAAAATTCCACTTACCTAATATGGTATGACCAACGCCAAGTCCATCTCCCCCATCCACACGGACTCCATCGTCAAAAAGCTTCCACTGTCCTGAAGTGTTCGTCCAAGTTACGGCAATGTGATGCCAGTTGTCGTCTTGGATGCCATGGGTGCTGTAGGCTGCCTCTCCATGTACATAGACCGTGAAGGCGGTGTAGTCAGATATCGTCAACGTGTTGTCACTCCCGACTTCTTCACTCTGGGAATGGGCGAATGGGGCAAAAATGATTACTCCAAGCGTACTGTTTAATGAGAAAAAATGCATACTAGCTAATCTTGTGCATTTTTATATCAATATAGTCATATTTGAACGGATGTAATATAGGTCGACATGCATTTTCAAGCAAATATTTTAAACATTTTTGTCAATATTGACCGACAGTGTCGATATATCTTTTTTATTGTTGTCTTACCAGGGCATATGAGAAAGGTGTGCCGTAGTTATTACGGTCAGTGGTCTGCATCCAAAAGGACACCGTGAAAGCAGTCATGTCAGGGATGTTGCGGCTGGCTGAACTGTACCCATCCACACTACCATCAAAGACCAGGTCGAAATCTGAAGACAGTTCTAAAACAGACAATCGTTTTAACGAAGGATATCCTATGTAAATACCTTTATATCCTATGTAAAGGCATCATTGGATAGGCTTATAATTGTTTCTGCTCAAATTAATTCACTGGTTTAAAGGCCAGAGAAATATAATAACGTTATTGGTTGTCAAAATAACTGGATATATTACGTGGTTTCTCTTTAAAATCAAAACGTAGGATGTGTACAAAATGATAAATGATAAACACAGTTACCTGTATCGCAATATCTGCCTGTAAACGACGGTTTGCACGCACAGGTGTAGTTTCCAATTCCATCTTCACAAACAGCTTCGTTCTGACACATGTGTCCAATGCAATCGTCAATGTTTGTTTCACAGTCCTTCCCATTGAAGCCCTCCAGACAGTCACACTGATAGTCACTGCCGATGTCTGTACAGCTGCCGCCGTTTTGGCAGGGAAGAGCAGCGCAATCATCGGTCTCTGTCTCACAGAAATCACCTGATGGACATACGCTGTACATTTAGTACATAATGATGGAAAGAGACATTTGTCATCCGCCATGAAGGACAAAAAGGTCTGGAAGGACTCTATCTCTAAGGCGCCTCCGGTTACAAAAATCTGGCTGAATGATGATGACAATGTACATAATTAGTATATGTTTTGGAAATGCAGTATAGACATATGGACATATAGATAGAGATTAGGCATTGATAAAGTCACAGATTGAAGAAATAACAGAAAAAGCCACCGTACATATATGTATCATTATGTTATATTAGAACACATTATGTACATATACGAGCTAGCTATGAGATAGCTAGGCTGAACACATCGATATCCATGTCTAGGCAATAGATCGGTGATATTCGTGCTGTATTTTTACTGCTTAAAGACAGAATTGTCTTCTTGATGATTTAGATTACATAACGATAACTTTTAGATTATCCAGCCGTTTAAAATATTAGATAGCAGATGCTTACCATGGTATCCGCGGGAACATTGACAAGTGACGCTGTTGATGCCGTCCACACATGTTCCTCCATTTTGACAGGAGTTAAAGTCGCAGTCATCAACGTTGACGTCACAAAGGGCACCTTTCAGCAAGAAAGTTTGTTTTAAATTCACTACCGAGTATACTCATACATTTCAATATTATAGATTCATTTTTCATTTCATTTTTTCCATTATTATTCATTTATACAGGTTAGCATGTCACCATTTTGGCGCTTTTCATACATAACATAACATAACATAACATAACATAACATAACATAACATAACATAATAAAAGGTAACTTAAGTACAATCAAAGGGTAGTTATGATAAAAGAAACAAAAACAGACTAAAAAAGTACAGAAAACAAACTAAATAAAAATGACAAATGATATAAATGATAATGGAACTGAATTTGCATATCAATGTCTATAAACAAAAATGGAAAATTAACAACAAGAAAGTTATTACTTTCATGACGTCACATCATACCATTTATCCTAATTGACTTTGCAAATTATTAGTTACAGTAGAAAATATTGAGAGTAATAGGAAATTGAAAGGAACTTGAAAGGAAAATGCACTTGAATCCGAGACAAATGGATATATATGATGATAGCAAGTCACCTGTAAACCCTGCCGCACATTGGCACGTGTAGTCCATGAGTAGGTCGACACAGGTACCGTTGTTCTGGCAGGCATGTCCCTGGCAGTCGTCAATACTCACGTCACAGTTCTTTTCCTCGTATCCAGAGAGGCAAGCACAGCTGCAAAGACATTTTATTTACTTCAGTCCATTGCAACCTTTAGATTAGAGCAAAACCACCTAAAATTACTGCTACATGTGCACTCACTTTCACTAAACGCCATTAGGAAAGCTACATGACATTCAAGAAAAATGCCTGCCAGTGTTATGGAGTTCTACCTTGTCCTGCGGGACCCATATATATGGGTTGCACATACAGTACCATCTAAGTAACTAACAACCGCAGGGCAAAAAAAGTCAAGGGTCTTTGACCTGATTAAGACTACAAATTATTTGAAAATATTGAGCAAAAATGCCAGCAGAACAAAGGTTAAAAATGCATATCAAGTAAGTATGTATGTTTACGTGTGAAGTTTTATGTATAAAACGTAAAGCAATGGAGGGTTTGACGTAAAGAGTGTTTGTCAGGAGATTTAGAAAGCGCTGGACCAAAGAGACAAATATTTTACAAACAAAACTTTACCTGTAATCTCCATGTGAGTTGCTACATGGAGCTGCATTCTTACACGGTGAAGTAATACATTCATCAATGTCCAGCTCACAACTGGTTCCAGTGTATCCAGTCTGGCACTGACAACTGTAGCTGTTAACTCCGTCCACACAGGTTCCAGAAGACTGGCAAGGACCTGTTGGACACAGTGCAGTACAACTTAACAAGGTAATAGATATGATTAGATATAAAAAATGTACAATAATTAATCCTGTGCAATGGCCGGGAAGAAGATGGAACCTGTAAGAGGCTAAGGAGGCAGCAGTCACCCAAAAGGAAGCTTGCTGCCGCTGCCCGATGTGCCTGTAGGCACAGGGGGACCTATGGTAATGGCCGGGCAGAGTGTTCGCCTTGGGTTCGGTAGGTTGTGAGATCGGTCCCCGGCTTAGCACGTATCAGTTGTGAAAGTGTCACTACTAGTGGCTAGCCTTCTACTGTAGTAATTGCACTACTGCATGGCCCAAGAACTTCTAAACCGGAGATGGGCTCCGCCCTTTGCACAAACGTTTTAACCTGCAGTACGTAAAGATATCGTAAACAGTGTTAAGATTTCAGATGTGATATTATATCGTGATACATACCTGAAGCACACTCATCCACGTCGATCTCACAATGACTACCACTGAAGCCATCAGGACAGTTGCAGATGAACCCGCCTACTCCATCCACACATCCTCCACCATTCAGGCAGGTGACGTTCTCACAGTCGTCAATGTTGATCTCGCAGTTCTTCCCGATGTAGCCATCTTGGCACTCGCACATGTAGTCATCGACGAGGTTGTTGCAGATCACGGCGTTCAGACATGGGTCAGACGAACACTCATCTACATCCTCAGAACACGTTGGCCCAGTATAGCCTTAATAAAAAAAAGAATTGGGATTGTAATGACGTAGGCAACACAATTTATAAATCACTATTACAACACCTACATGAATATTTGATTTGGTACTTCATATAGCGATACGATCTGCAAAAAAATCAACCAATTCGTCATAAAATCACGCACATTAGCTTTATTTCCTCATATGAGCAACCTTAAATCTGTGAGTGTAAGGTTATGTGGCAGTGTACGTTTGTACAATATTATTAAGTCATTCCATACTCTAGTATGGAGCTCGAGGGAAATGGAGTGAAATATTCTACATTAGCTCCGAAGCAAATGTTGGCCTTTCTAGTGTTATATATATAACTAGAATACGTTAAGGTTTCGTTTGCAAAAAAAGTGTGTCCAATCTCACCTGACAAGCAGTCGCACGTGTATGATGCGATTCCATCCACACATGCAGAACCGTTAGTACAACTGTGCATGACACACTCATCGATGTTAACTTCACAGCGTGTTCCGTTGTACCCCAGCGGGCAGTCGCAGTCGAAACTTCCGTACGTGTCGCTACAAGTCCCCCCATTTTCACAGCCAGACCTGTCACACTCGTTGATCTGATCCTCGCAATGGTCACCTTCAAAACCTGGTGGGCAGCTAGGAAGGTAAACAGAAAATAAAAAAAAAAACTCTATAACTGTTCTGACAAAATATGACAAAGCAGAACATTTAACGTTTGGGTTAACATTATTCATTCTACTCTTTTTGCCCTCACTTTAACTGTTCCCCTTCTAGAATACTGGAGTGACCAACCATTGTAGCGTAACAATGATAAAATACAATACCTGCAAGAGAAGTTGCCTATTCCGTCGACACATGTGCCTCCATTGTTACAAGGGCCGGACGCACATTCCGGTAGGTTGATACTACAGGTAGAACCTCCATAGCCAGTCGGGCAGTCACACCCATAGTCCGGGTACATGTCGGTGCAGGTTCCTCCGTTGTGACAAGGAGCAGACTCGCATGGGCTGAAGCTGGACTCACAATTTGGTCCTGCAGAATAATAAATGCGACAATATCTTAACTGCAACTGTAGCATGTAGAGAATGCAATATTCAATCTCAATACTATTCTATGAATCTCCCTCATTATGGGTTCACCACACCACGAAGTGGTGTGGTGAAACCATATTGCTTTTTCTGATGTTTCTTCTCCTTCTTCTTCTCCTGCCATTTTTTAAATGGATTCAGCTTCTTCATTTTAGGGCCTAAGGTCCTGAAATTTGGTATGGAGGTACAGTGGGCAAATACCCCTAGGCGTTTTTTAAATTATTGTGATACAGGCTTTTAGAATGGTTTTATTTGAGTTTTTTGGCTGTGTTATAGCAAATGTATTACTGTCTTAGTGTGCCTTGTTTACCACGTTTGGGCATGAGTCATCACAAAGGAATGCAGGGCATCAACCAATAGGCATGCAGCTTTCCTCTATTCTTCTTGCTGATTGGCTGTTGGGATTTAACTTGATTAACACCTGCTCAGAGCATTTCCACCTGCACAGAGCATTTCTTGCTGATTGGCTGTTGGGATTTAACTTGATTAACACCTGCACAGATAATTTCCATACTGACAGTATGTCTGTATTCAAGTGTTTTGGTAGGTATTTCAAGCTTTCCTGCTCCAGCATTGGAATGCAGGGCATGGACGTTTTTTTTTTATTTTGAAAATCAACAGTTTGCATTATGCAATTAAAAATCCTAACCAATAAAGTAGGGAAAGCTATCCAACTGTTGTTTTAGTTGTATTTTACTTCATATTAAAGTTATATCAATGTAAATCATTGTTTTCCCTTGTGTTTCTCATTCTTTCCCTGCCATGTCGTAAAATGTGGTGAACCCATCGCTGTATTTGCTCCAAAGCAAATATTGGCCTTTCTAGTTACTATAAGAATCGTCGTTGCATGAAGTATTATCCCTTTATCCTTAAAATGGTACACTTGAGAAATACTGCAGACAGTGAATACTACATTCACGAATCTACAGACATAGTATAGCATTGTTCGCGATTTACGTTTACATGCATGCAATAGCGTTATGGCCGTCTTACCTGTGAACTCGTCCAAGCAACTGCAGATATAGCCATTGACTTGGTCGTAGCAAGTGCCATTGTTCACACACGGGTTGGAAGTGCACTCATTGATTTCTGTTTCGCAGTTCAACCCCTCGTATCCTGGGTTACACAGGCACTCAAAGTCCAAGTCTTTGTCTATGCAGGTTGCACCATTGGAGCAAGGTGAGGTTGCACAGTGGTCAATCTCTGCCTCACAGTTGACTCCTGTGTAGCCTTGGTTGCAGGTGCATGTGTACGAATCAAACAGGTCCTCGCAAGTCGCGTCGTTCTGACAGGGGTTTGACGAGCACTCGTCGGCATTTTGTGTGCAGTTTATACCTGAATATCCCGATACACATTCACATGTGTAACCTGCCACAGCATCTACACATGTGCCATTGTTAACACATGGTGTAGATGCACAGTCATCCACATTGATTTCGCAACTGTTGCCCGCGTAGCCTTCTACACATAGGCATGTGTAGGAGTTGATACCGTCTACGCATACCCCACCATTCGCACAGGGGAAAACGTCACAATCATCGATGTTCTGTTCACAATGCGTTCCTGTAAATATGGTGATTAAAGATAAAAAACGTTACTTATTCAATTTGATATTTTTAAATCCGTACTCCATCGTAACATTCATAGCATATAAAATGTATTTGTATACGTTATGACATGTCCTGCGTATAATTATGAAATCTATAGTATAGTACATTGTACCTGTAAATCCAGGGTTGCAGACGCAATCATAGCTGTCCAACAAGTCATTGCAGGTTGAGTTGTTTTCACACGGACCGGACGCACACTCGTTGATTTCCACCTCGCACTGCGCGCCGTTGTAGCCACTTAGACAGTCACAACTATAGAAAAATCAAGATTACCCTCTTTACAGATTGGGCATTTTGGAATAAACTAACCGAAGAAATATCCAACCATTTGTATAATCAATGTGAACATAAGTGCATTCCGTACCTGAAAGAATTAACTCCATCGACGCATTCTGCCCCGTTAGAACAGGGGTTCACTTCACAGTCATCGATGTTTGTTGAACAGTCCTCTCCCGTGAACCCCGGGTGGCAGACGCAGGTGTAACCGTCTGTCTCGTCTGCACAGGTTCCATTTACACATGGACTCGACAAGCACTCGTCAACATCTATCTCACAGTTGTCTCCTACAGAGAAACAACGTTAGTATTATTTCTGTGTTTCTTTGTTAAAGTTACCCTTTAATAATAGACGCCCTCGTGTTGGGCAAGGTAAGTGCTGAAAGAAGTTAACACAAAACGTACCTGAAAATCCGCCCAGACACTGACACAGGTATGCGTTGATTCTGTCCGAGCAGGTACCGTTGTTGGTGCATGGAAATGACGCACAGTCATCAATGTCTGTTGGAAAAAAAACAAGTAGTGTAAATCACTTTATATTCCAGTTAGCAAAATTTTGCGGACTGGAAAAAAGGAATATGTTTTCTTATCTATGTATCCTCGGAGGCGGCAGGCGCAGAAGAAAGAAAGTCGACGAATTATTTAAGGTGATGATAAATTAGCGGTACAGAAGAGACTGCAAAAACCGCGAATATTAATTAAAATTACGTGACTAAAGTATGAAATACCGACAATTGTCTAGATCAATCCTGCATGACTGATTATGAAAAAGACTCACTGAAACAGTCAGCACTGCTTCCCGAGGCTACTGACGCTGTGGTGTACCCAAGCGGACACTGAAGACAGGATGTGCTCTGCTCAGCAGACTGGTATTCCCCTTGTGGACACGGTGTACATGGAGCCAGGCCATTCGCGGAGAAATATCCAGTTTGACACCGATCTGGAATTAATAAAAGTTTTGATCTATACATATATTTTCTAAAGAAGTGAGTTTTTGAACGCTTCTGATGTCATAGAAAAGTCATATGTTGATGTAATATACCTAAGGAGAGTAAGAAAATAGTTTTCAGCCATAATAAGAATGACATATAGTCGTCAAAAAAGATGTAGGAAATTTGCTGTATTATGAGGTTAATCATCAGACGTAACATCAAAGAAAAGTACCAACCGAAGCAAAAGGCAGCAGACGTGGCAGCTGTAGCGTTTGTAGTTTGTGACGATGGGCAGGAGGTACAGGATGTGCTGCCAGTGTCTGGCTGGTACGTTCCAAGAGAGCACTCTGTACAGGGCTGGACTCCTGTAGAAGAGTACCACCCTGCCGGGCACACGTCTGAAAAATTCGAGTAAGGATTAGTTGACTTCAAAACGTGCAAACATCGACTTATTTATTTGTAAAATTACATACTCCTGACATACATGCATGTTTCCAATGTGATCATGTGATCAATTTCCATTACGCTACATCTACATTGTAGATAATAACTAAACGTTACGTATAGATACTTATGTCCTACCTTGGCCGCGATTACGTTCGATACGGGTGTTCCGGCCCGTGTGATAACTAGCGGTACGGCCCGGGGGTTCTTAACGCGTACGGCCTGGGGCTTCCAAATGTTCCATAGAACGATTCGAACGCGTTTCGCACTAACCGCGTGCAACGCTTTCGAAAATTCGAATGCAAAATTCGGACGTTGGAATTGATGTTGTTGCGTTTTTTGGGGATTCTATATATAGAATACAACACGGGGTATTCCGTATCACCCGAGGTACCAGCCCGACCGCGCGTCGGATCGCCCGACGGCCGAAGGCCGGAGGGAGATCCGATCCGCGGGAGGGCTGGGACCGAGGGAGATGCGGAATACACCGTGTTGTATTTTATTTATGTCATACCCACCCACGAAAACACGCCTTTCAATGCGAAATGGGCAAACATTTGGTGTCCCTAAACCCAAAAAATGCGACAACATCAATTCCAACGTCCGAATTTTGTATTCGAATTTCGAAATCGGTGCACGCGGTTAGGCCGAAACGCGTTCGAATCGTTCCACGGAACATTTGGAAGGCCCGGGCCGTACGCGGTAAGAACCCCCGGACCGTACCGCTAGTTATCACACGGGCCGGAAGACCCGTATCGAACGTAATCGCTGCCCAGGTAGGACAAAAAGTAACGTGCAGTATAGATACAGTTTTGATTTTTCAAAACACCCTTTGACAGATGGTTACAATAGAACAGCAAACGGCACTTACCTTTACAGTAAGTGTCATTTCTGCTTCCTATATCTTCTGTCCATGTCCCGTTTGGACACATCTTGCAGGACAGCTGGTTGTGTTGGTCTTGGTATGATCCAAGAGGGCAGTCCACACATGTGCTGTTGCCTTCATCGTAGTAAAATCCCGCTGGGCAGCCGACTGTAATATATATAGTATATATCAAAAACTCCCAAAATAGCATATAAAGATGAATCATAATTGTTTTTCGCACCATAAATGCGGGCTCAGAGTGACGTACAATGATATAGACTCTAGACCCATGTACATAACATCACACAAAATCTATTCTATGAGCAAAACATAAACAATGCGTAAACTTTCCGTTTTTTTCCCTTAGCTGAACCTTTACGCATGTGCTTAAAGATTAGGTCTTTGTGCACTCTATACATACAATGAGGCATAAGCTGCAAGCTATACGTGAAAGCGACAACAAATAAGAAAAAAATGGGATTATAATACGAAATACTTGCTAATGGTGCTAAAGAAGTCTAAGACTTTACGTGTAGCATTTAGGCAGGTAGGCAGGTATTGTCCTTGACAAACATGGTATCGCATACAGGGATTTGGGGTGTATGAGGGAAGGGTGAAATGTTTTACCGCATTTCTGAGTGTCATTGTTCCATGCCGTCCCTGTTGGGCACTGCAGCACGACTTCGCCTTCCTCCAACGAATCGGGAACAACTCCCAACGTTTCCCCGCCCACTTCAAGCTGCAGTGCCCCTGAATCAGTTGCATTCTTCAGGCTTCCGAAGACATTCTCCATCGTGGCCAATGTAGATCCCACTGTATCAGAAGCTGTCTCGTTGACGGTTGAGTTTCCCGGAGCAACAGTGAGTGTAAAGTCAATACCTACTTGATCATCAACTGTCTGTCGGACGAACCGTGACAGAGAGAGGGAGCGTCTGGATCGTGTTCCACACGTCACCTGTAAATTTGAAAAAAAAAGCATTTGAAAATGAAGTTGTAATGTATATATGTATATATTAATATAATGTCTCAGACAAATCGCTCCGAAAGAAAAATTTAGCAAGAGCAATCCCATGCATTTATGTACCATTTATAGTCTCCGTGCCCCATTGACAATGATACTACTAACAGGAACAACGCATATACTTACGAACACATTGTCGATGCTGCAACCTCCACTTGTAGGGTCTCTTATGTTAGCAAACCGACAAACCCCGTTAAAATTGATCAGGAACGCTTGAATGAAGTTCTCCTTGATTTGCTGTTGTACAGCAGGGTCGCTGCAGTTGCCACTGTAGTAGAAGCTGACGGTGCCTTGTTTGTTTGCATTAGGTGATGATGATACTGGAAAAGGTAGAAGATTCAATATTACTTTCCCAACACACATGGTCAGAGTTTGATAATACATGTATCAGATATACACAGATATCAGTGTACGTTTGGAAATTCATATCCGAGTCACTACAATTGCGATACCATATTGTAATTAACTGACACATCTCCTGAATCGTAGAATGTATAATGTTATAGTACTCTTCCTGTTGCAATATGTTAGCTTTGGTATAATTGAAATTCAGTACAGTTAGTATGGATTAAGTCTATTAGATTATAACTTAGAATTGTATTAATTATTATTTGATAATAGTCCATGTATCTACCTTTGTTGTTTATTCCCTACTATACATTGTACCAGTTACAGTTGTTCAGCGATAATAACGTTTATTTGATTAACATACCACTGCAGTCTGGTATCGGTACTCTCGCCGCTGGAGAATTTGCCCCTAAACCTGTGGCCCATATCCCTTCTGGATTACAGATGTAGGTAGTCGGTGTGTACCCCACAGGAAAGTCACTGTTTTCCTCACAGGTTGGATCGCAAAACGTGCCAAAGAACCAAAAACCGCACACAAGGGCGCCATAGGCTGGTGCATTGAGACTTGGGCAGTCAGTTGCTGGAAAGGACAAATGGTTTTGAAATTTGAATTCTGAAATTTTCTTTACAATAATTAATCATCAATGGCATATAAGAGCTTATATATTCGGTCTTAAACAAATCAACACGCAATACACGCGTAATACATGATATGAACTGTAATGTGTAATACCAGCCAAACACCTACATTTTACCATTACCCTGAAGGTACATGTTGCACGGTTTCCCGATCCGTCGGTAGCTTCGTATGTGATATATTCCGGTCCATACCCAAAGTTGTCGCCAGGGTTTTTACTTAAGGAAGTTACAGTTGGTGCTGCGCCTGAGTTGTCCTGAAATGAATGTTTACGTGTTGGATAATGTTATAATGTGATGATATATACATGTACAACGCTATATTTGCAGTACGCACGGGCAGGCAAGCTGGACCCTCTATGGCCGGCCAACTCCTCTAGTAAATGATGTTCCCCTTAGCCGATTTCTACTATTTATTCTGCCTGCAAAGGAGTCTGGTGGAGACTAGGTTCTAGCCGCAACTTCAAATGGCTGGTAGCACTCTATTAAACAATATGGAATGGCGACCTAAGTGCAGCATGTCACTTTTCAGAAATTGTGTGCTATAATGACAGGTTTTATTGAACCTCTCGTTCTCATTAACCCTATATGCGTGAATACGACCTTATATGAGACCTTATTACTTTTCGGCTCAGACCCAAGAGGTCCCGGGTTAGAATCCTGCACGATTCCCCCTGATCTTATACCCTTTGGAAAGACACTTGACACGGCTTTCCCCCACTTAACTCAGGTGCAAATGAGTACGTCCATCGGATAGGGACATCCCCCGGACGTTAAATGGAGGTCCCGTGTTTGGGATAGCCAAGCCGCACCAACGTTAAAGAACCCACAGCACCTGTCGAAAAGAGTAGAGGACCTTTCCTACACAGATTGTACTTACATGCCCAAAACTGGCGTGTTACGCCTATATAAAGGCGGTTTACCAGTTATGCTAAACAAACAATGTACTATCATGTATTTCACACAGGTACAGTACGTTCAGCCAACGTGCTCATGTCATGTACTTACGGTCGCTACTGGAACGGCCCAACTGACGGAAACGGGTGGACTACTGGTTTGTTCTTCAATATCACTTGGACACGTGATGTTTGGGTTCTCATTGTCTGTGAAGTCAGAGAAATAAATAGATGAAGGAACAAAGCACTTTGCAATGATTTTTAAATGGCTTTTTACGCAACTTACGGAAAAGATCATAGAGCAGGGGTCCTTCCCGGTGTGAGTGGTTCAAACAATACAGCCAAGCCGTACGCAGCTTGTACTTACACATACAAAACTGGTCTGAAGGCGGTTTACCGCTAATGGGAAACAAACATACAAACAAACAAACAAAACAAACAAACAAACAAACAAAACAACATTCACGTAGTCTGAAAAACAGTGATTAGCTGTTACATGTTGAACGAAATGCGAAGGAGAATAAAACCGGGTTCTACATGTAATTCAGTCATTTGTGACAATGATGGGGGCCTACCTCTGATGATGACACTGAAAGTGCATGTTGTTGTCAGCCCGACTGAATCTGTTGCAGTGTAGGTGACAACATGTGTCCCAACAGAGAAGACCGAGGGTGGCTCTGTACCGTTTGGTGATACCGTGATGGATACTGCGGTGTTATCTGTGGCTGTTGGTTTGTCCCAGTTCACAAGCACTGTACCAGACCCTGCAGCTGGTTCCAGGTGCACGTCATTTGGGCAGCTGGTGAAGACAGGTGGCTGAATGTCTGAAATGCAATGAAATTTATGCTCAAACAAACATGTGAAAATAAGCATCCAACCAGTAAAACGTATTAACGCTAAAACAATTTACGCCATGTTCAAAATCAAATCAAGCAAAAGTATGCTATGTTTTTTTTTTATTAAAATGATACATACCTCTGCATGAAGGTGTAGACGAGATAGTGGGTGACCAGTGGCCTGTTGCATTGCATTCTGTAGTGTTAATGCCGCTTTGCAGTTCGAAACCAGACAGACAGTGGAAGGTGCACCGTGTGCCAGCTACAGGCTGAACGGTGCAACCTGTCGGGGTGATGGTGCCATGGGAGGGCCTGGACAGGCGGCTGCATCTATAAACTGGCATCAGGAAAACATTGAATGATTACATATTTTTCTTTCACATTTCACTAGTGCTTCGTTAAGGCCAATTAGAGATTAATTACCCTCCCTTATCAGCACAAACACAGAGTGAGCAAGGCGGCCTAGTTATATGTTTGTGTGTTACATCATAGCAATTGACACATAATGTTTTGATAAAAGTTTGGATTGATAGTAAGACCTTACATATTTGTTTGCATCGGGAATTTGCAGAATCTTCCGCAGTGTGTTCTAACCTATAACCAAGGGCGTTGCTATAACGAATAACATTATGTCACCATCACTATATGATATCTTTAGTGCTAATAGTTCTTACATACTTTCGCATTTGGTCTCCACTCCATCCCAGTACTTCGTTGTCCCGTTGTTTGTCACCACGCAGGTTCTAGTAGCAGAGCCGGTAAGGCGATAGCCTATGTGGCAGTCCATGTTGCAGCTGCTTCCTCGTAGATTGCTGCACGTGCTAACGAACTGTCCAAACGCTGGTGGTGCAAGACTGCTACAGCGGTGTACTGTCAAGCAATAAGAAAAATAACATAATAAATAAAATAAAACTAGAGAACTAACATTTGCAAAGCAAATGCATAATGTATACCTTCGGACATGGTCTGCTCTGTTAATTCTTACTCAAACACATTCACATACATGTACTACTAGTATATGGTGACAGGAGTAGGGAAGACCATGAAATGTTGCAACATTATGTAACCCAACACCAGTCACCATGGTGACAGACGTCAACAAATCATGTCATTGGCCAGGTCAGAGGTTAGTGTTTGGAACAGAAGAGGAGGAGGAAGAAACTTAGTAAAAACAATATGTTTTCCTTCGGTAAACATAATGAAATAAGGAACCACCCAAATGAATAAACATTAACATTACGGCATGTTTTCACGATTGGATTTATTTGATTCTGAAACATTACTTTATGCTAAAACATGACGTTTTTTAACTAATTTCTCACCATGTCACTATGAATTCTGTTCTTTGTGTTGGTATAAAAACATAAAAAATGATAATATTTGAACGTCTGACCTGTGACGACGACAGTAAACTGGCACTTTGCTACGTTCCCAGCAGCATCCTCGGCCCTGTACGTCACATGATGTGATCCCTCACCAAATATGCTTTTCACGCCAGTTGATGTAACAGTAGGAGCGATACCTAATGTAATTGTGTATACATCAGAGGTAAGTGTCTAAAATGCTTCAGCTATATAAAAAAGATATAGCAATATGTGTGGATTTAAATAATAATAATAGCTTTATTGCGCAACAATTGTACAGTGTACAAAGTATGGCATATACTAACTTAAGTAAGTACATGTCAACTACATTTTCATTAGGCTAACCTAATACAAACGTGGGTGGCTAGTATGAGATAGGTATCAACTTATACAATCGTTGGAGGAGTTTCTGATATCCATACGGTCTTTAATATATATCCCTATGTATAGCATGTAGGGGTTGTCACAAGTCAATATGTATTTAAATTTTTAAATTTCAAAGTTCATTGTGGTGAATGCTGGGAAAGAATCTAACAGTCTAGTATATAGTGCATTGCGTACATTAATTTATTTGGGACACAATCAAAAAGTGATACCCGTCCTCAATAAGCTCTGGACAAAATGGACAAACCCTCTGGTCATTGGAAATTTTAAATACGCCAGTGGTTACGTATATTTTGTCAGGTACCTGATCTGACCAGAAACACAGAAAATCTGATTAAGATTTTTTGCACTTACCAGTTGAATCTGTCACACTTGGTGGGGACCACGTGACGTTGACACTTCCTTCTCCTCCATCAGCTGTTACATACATATCATTGGGACATCCATGGAACACCGGTGGTGTGTCATCTAAAAAAACAGACAGTCAAGTTTAGTTGTCTAACCTAAAATTAATTTTGTAGTGCTGAATTTATTTCTTATTGACTGTTAGCACTTAAGTATTGTTACAGGGCAGCACTTAAGTAGAAAATCGTCTCATTTTAGTTTGAATAATTTCATTTTGAAGGACATCAAGAGTTTTGTGTGTATCTTTTTTTTAAAGAAGTTTAAACGTTTTGTGTGTATCGTGCGTTTTTTATAACATCAAGAGTTTTGTGTGTATCGTGCGTTTTTTAAGAATATCAGAAGTTTTGTGTGTATCGTCCGTTTAATAAGAATATAAAGAGTTTTGTGTATCGTGCGTTGAAATTTCGCAAAACTTCGAAGACTAGTAAGCACTTTAGGGCAAGTGATATTCAACGTACCTCGACAGGACACAGAATCGTTATTCTGCCATCTGCCACCATCTAGGCACTTGTTGAGTTGTAAGCCTACCAAGGTATACCCGGCTTCACAAGAATACGTGCAGACGTCATTGTATACTGGGTTTGACGTGCACGCTCCTGGGCGTACGTCTCCGTGTTGTATTGGACTCAAGGATGGACACGTGTCAACTGCAAGTGATGTTATTTCCATATGGTTATTCAAGGTTCAATAAACACAGTCTTTAGTACCTTCAAGTACAAAATGTATGTTGCATTACATACATGCAATGGTCATCTATTGTTCATGATCTGCAGTTTTATCAATCATATGTTATATTTTAGTTATGATGTAGTAGAAAAATCTCACTGACCCGTGCAGGTTAGGGCTGTCCCAGACCATGCGCCATTCTGCTGGCAGGTACGCTGAATGCCAGTCTTTGGACTGTATCCCTTGTTACAGTAGAATGTGCAGACAGTGTTGTAGTCTTCCTGTGCGTTGTTGCATCCGGACTTGATGCCATTAACAGGTGCGTTCAGACTGGGGCAGGTAACAACTGTTATAAGAAAATAAATACATGGTGATTCTAACTATTTCTTTTAATGCTGATTTCTAACTAATCAACATTTACTAGTGGCAGTTTACGGTTCCTGTTAGATATATAAACAAACAAACAAGAGTACCTTAGCCAAATTATTTAGGAGATCATAAGGCGAATTTTTTTTTTCAGCCAACGCTCCTTCACTTTCAGAACAAGCTGATAGGGGGCCCAAATTCATGTCACTTCTTCCCTAGCTCAAGAGCTATATACCACCCAAAATTCGTAACCCTAGCATGTCCAGATCACGAGATATCAAAACCGGAAGTTCTACTGCAGTACCAACAAAAGCCGCCAGGGGGCCAAAAATCTAATCATTTCTATGACTCATTAAGACCTACCTAGATACCAAGTTTCAGGACAATGTATAGAAAGCTTCTTTAGTTATGCTGTTCACAAACAGTCAGACAAACAGACGGACAAACGCTACTGAAAACATAACCTTCTTGGCGAAGGTGATGAAAACACCATACCGTCGCAGGTTGGAGCTGACATAGTCCAGAATCCAACGTTGCTGGAGTCTTTCTGGCAGGAGCTCGTGTGGTTTCCAATCAGTTGGAAGCCGGGGTTGCACTGGAACTGGCATGTGGTGCCGTATCGCCTGTCGTTTTGGTTACACGTTATTCTACCTCCGGAAGGAGCATTCAGCGTGGAACAGTATGCCACTGAAACAAATGACACAGACGTTTTAACTTTTCTTATGCGTGCACAGTAACGTATACCCTTTAGGATGTAAACGAAAAAATAAAATGCAGGCATTTATCCTTAACAGGCTGTATTTTGTTTACAGTGTCGCTTTTGTGATACCGTGTGCTTAGGTTTAGGGCAATAGAAATGGAGAATCTGCCCAGAACCATGAGGTTCAAGTTCGAATATCCTGACATGCCACCAATCTTGTGCTTTTGGGAGAGGCACTTTACTCGGCTTTCTTCACTTAGGTAGTGTCCTCTGTGTTAGTGGCGGCATAAGATAAGTTAAAAAAAACTTGAATGTGCCGTCACTATGTCTTGTGTGAAATGTTCGAAAAAAAAACAACCGGATGAAAGAAGGACGATTTTGGTAAAATCTTACCATTCACTGTGATCGTGAATGAACAATCACTGTTACGTCCTGCAGAATCAACAGCAGTATACTTGATAGAATGTGTTCCTTCGGCAAAGGTAGATCCTGTAAGAACATAAATATCATAAAACAGATATTAGTCAGTGATAACCATATTATTAAGAAGGTTAGACATCAAGGTAAATAGATAAACAAGAACAGTACTCAAGCAACTGTCAGGCCTTAGAAATAGCATCCTGTACTTTACATTACCCACGAAAAGTGGATACTACCTGAAACGCCTGACAGGTTTCAAAATCTATCAAGTTGCTTGAGTAACTGTGTTCTTGTATAAACATCATATATAAATAGGCAAATAAATAGAAGGTTGCAATGATCGTGCTTCATTAACTTATCTGTTGCTCACATATGTTCTGAAAAATGTGATTAGCTTAGCAATGAAGTAGATAGTCAAATAAAGTATACTTGCTACATGTAAAACCATGCACCATATGATGTTGAGGGAGACCATCTGATACATACACTAATGTGGGGAAAATAACTCTTCAAAACATTGACAAGAATCTGATAAACATAATCGTAGAACCAAAATACCTGGTGCGTTTCCTTCAACGAGAGTCACTGTTGGAGTGACCCCTGAATTATCCGTTGCAGTAGGCACGGGCCATGTGGCTGTTGTTGAAGTTTCTCCCGGGCCTGCATACACAGTTTGGTCTGATGGACAGCTGCCAAGTGTCGGAGGCTGAGTATCTAAAATATTATTTGAAAATTATTTTTGGTAAAATATAATCGATAACAAATATATTTGCAACATCATGCCCGAAGGCTAATTGCTTGTACAATCAAGTATAATACTCATTGCAATACAGTAACAGGAGACAGGTAACAACTGTCTGGAAAAAACTTCTACTTCTACTACTACGCTAGTTATTATGGGGTTCGACTTCTTCTTTGAAGGCAGTGGATAATGAATAGTCCCACATTCTGCATAATTAGTGGGTTTTGTAATCTTAGTAGAAACGTAGTCTTTTGGTGATCTTCTAAATGAAGATCACCAAAAGACTACGTTTAATGTATACAGAATGTGATCTGTTGGTGTATTTACAGTTAAGTTCTATTATTAGAATAAACCCAAATGCAACTTGCAACCTGTGGTAAAATTCTTGCAATATCCAACGTATAAAAAAAACATTGTTGTGATGATATGCAACGTCTTTATTACTATAGCATCAAGATCACACTGATTTATAGGCCAATATAAAGACTGAGAGAAGTTCATTATCAGTATTATATCAAATAGTCAATTCAAACTGTCATTATTACAAGTACAAAAAAAACATAATTCTTACAGGCGTTTACATTGTTTTCTTTTTCCATAAACGATGCAAATAGAGTTATTGACGTATAAGAAACCAAAGGATAAAAGCTGGTGATCTGAACATATAGCCTATCTGTATGATAAAGATCATTAGCTGGCCAGTACTACTCAAACCCCAATGGCATAACGGGCTAATCTGATCAAACTAGTTAAGATCTCCATACCTATACAGGTTGTAGGTTTGCCTTGATCCGACCACAGTCCACCAGGGTTGCAGGTTTGCTCGGTCGGCCCGCTTGTCTGGTACCCCACGTCACAGCTCAGTTGGCAGACTGTACCATAACCTGACTTGGAATTGCATGTCGAGGGGCTGATGGCACCGTTGAGTGGAATTGTAAGACCAGAACACGTTTCCACTAGAAAGGAAAAATTCCACTGATAATGTCGCCATGCATTATTTCTTTATAAGTAGAAGATATTAGTATACATAATCAAAATGCAATATCATTTATTCAATACATATATCGGCAGATGGTAATCAATATTTGTCTTCTGGACAAATGCACAGTGCAAGATCGGTGACATGGCAGGATTCGAACCCGGAACCAAGCCGATTTCGTTCAGTGTTGGATCTAAGCCGAACGCTCTGCCGCAAAGCCACACGCCCCCACTGTTAATGTTCCGTATCAATACCGCAATGCAAATGTAATGCTCTTCCTTAAATAACAACCGGCTTTTAGTCTACTGATATTGTTATAACTGAAATAGATACCTTCACATTCAAGTTCAGTTCCCGACCAGGAGCCATCAGACAGGCACTGACGTGACCGCGACCCTGTTTTGGTCTTGTATCCTGCGATGCAGTCGAAGTAGCAAACAGTTCCGTATGGTTTTGAGCTGGTCCCGTAGCATCCCGACATGGCAGTGTTGGGAGGCGCAGACAATGATGGACAGTGCACAACTGTAGAATTACAGAGTCATATACTGAGGAAATGCAATGTTGATTTCTTTTTGTCAGTACCATAAGAGCAAATCGAGACTAGTAGTAGGCATTTCCTTGGTGTCTTTCCTTGGTGTCTTAAAAGACCATTAAAATACTCATTCTACACCATGCACTTATTATCTTTGCCAAGAAGGTTATGTTTTCAGAGGTGTTCGTGTGTGTGTGTGTGCATGTGTGTGTGCATGTGTGTGTGTGTGTGTGTGTGTGTGTGTGTGTGTGCAGTGTGTGTATGTGTGTGCGTGTGTGTAGTGTGTGTGCGTGTGTGTGTGTGTGTGTGTGTGTGTGTGTGTATGCGCGTGTGCATGTGTGTGTGTGCGCATGTGTGTGTGTGCGCGCGAGTGTGTGTATGTGTGTGTCTGTGTGTGTGTCTGTGTGTGTGTGTGTGTGTGCGTGTGTGTGTGTGTGTGTGTGTGTGTGTGCGTGTGTGCGTGCGTGTGTCTGTAAACACGATAATTTGAGAAGACTTGAATGGATTGACTTGATATTTGGTAGGTGGGTAGGTCTTTATGAGAGTCTCGTGTGTATCTCATGTTTTAATATCTATGTTCATTTTAACACGATGGCACTTACAGGACAAATTATTCTAATCAGATATATTTATGTAACAGAAGTATGCCAACATAAACAGAAGGAAATTTTCCACACTGGACCACGAACAGAAAAAGACACATTAATACCCATGACCTAGTCAACATCCTCCCCTCTCTAAAACGGAAGTTGCTCATATGTAGTCCGAGATTGATATACCTTGACAAGTTGGAGCCGGGTTGGTCCACGAACCATCATGTCGACAGACGGACTCATCAGCGCCCACACGATTGTATCCACCCTGGCAGGAAAATCTGCATGTTGAGCCACGGATCACACCACAAGGATCAGGGATGGTTTTTCCATTTGCAGGAGCTCCCAGTGGACTACACCTTGTCACTGAAATGGTAAAACGTTTTTTTTACACATTTTCTACTTCCATAGCTAACTTAAGACATTGCAAACTTGTCCTTTACTGGCACTCCGGTTGATTTAACAGTACGAGTTTGTGTCTTCTGCAGCTGTTTTTTCAAACACTGTCCAAGCTAGGACATCCATTGCAAACTGACTGCCTATATGCACAGGCCAGGTACTGGCCCCTTGCTCCCCTCCGTCAGGTACTTCCAGCCAGCTCTATTCTTATGTCCCGAAAGCTCGTTGTGAAATGTCACTCATCAAGTGTCCCCCTGTTGTACCAAATCAGATTAAAAAATATTTTTACGTCTTAACTTCTTCAAATTTGCAAATACAGACTATTCCTTATACCTTGAACATGTATGGAGAAGTCACATGTTGCTGTATTTCCAGCCGGATCAGTTGCCGTGTATGTGACTGTGTATTGGCCCTCAGGAAACCAGATTGGTGGAGTCCGTTGAAGAAAGTTGACCGGCCCTAGGGAGGTTGTCATGTCCACATCTACCGTTGGGGTTGATCCGGAGTTGTCCGTGGCTGTCGGGACTAGCCAGGAAACTTCTGCCTCCGTCTTCTGGGATGGGGCTACTTCTGTGATGTCACCAGGACAATTTGAAAACGTCGGATCCATCTCGTCTGAAAAAAAAGTGACAAATGATCGTTTAATGAACACTGAAATTACATATCTGATGTTGCCTGGCGCTGTCAACGAAGTCGGTCCTGCTGTGCATTTAGTTAGTTGCAAATTGTTGTTGCCATATATTGCAACGTATCGAATTCTGTATACCATAACAACAGCCTTACTTGCAGTCAAAACTGTCAGAATTTTTACTTTGAACAAAATATGAGACACTAAAGAGGTAATGTTTTGTGTTGATTGTAATGCAAATTTACGTCGTCTGGTGCTAGTATATGCAATAATATTTTTCAAAGTTTTCTAGTACTAATAAATCTGGAGTCACATTTGAAACGGGGCCTGCTCGGCATGTTCTCGGCCCGGCCGGCGTCATGAATCCGAGTGTGCGGCCAAAAATAGGCCGACAGTCTCCGTCCAGGTCCCGTTCGGTAGTGCCAAAAAACAGACCGAAAACGCGCCGAGCTGGCCCCTTTCTTGAATTGTGACCTAGGCTTAAGCATTGAACCGTGTACATGTACCTCTGCAAGTATTCACATCAGTTGAGGACCAGGTGCCACCGGGTTCACATGTCTTGGATGTTGGTCCATGTAGAGTGTACTGTTTGTTGCAGCTGTAAGTACACTGGGTGTTGTACGCCGGTGACGTCTTACACAGTACTGGTGACACTGTCCCAACAGATGGATCAGTCAGTGGGGAGCACCTGTCCACTGTAAGGTAGAATAGTAGATATTCATTGCTTAGGCACGATTCACAAATCATGTGTGCGAGAAGCAGCATTTAGAAGCTCGTGTTTTGTTTCTCTAAGGACTTGACACCAGCTCAGAAGATTTAAAGAGATATTAGTCTATATACGCAAGCTGTCTATCCGTGCTTTAATCAATATAGCGCTCGCCTTCCCACTTGTGAAATAAACATATCGGATATGACTTTTGGCCCAAATACCGACATTTTAAACTGCATGAAGATACTTGCTTGAGAACGTGTTATGACATCTGCAGATGATCGATACAGTGTTTAAAAAGTAGATTACATCCCATGTCTAACAATAATGATATGATCATTATTAACAATATTGACACTTCAGCCTATATCAGGCCTCGAAATTAACTTTTCTTCCTATTGTCCCAGCACTGTCCCAAAAATAGATTCCAATTGTCCCACAGCGAGGATAAACTGTCCCAACCTGTTTTTTCGGGAAGTATGTATGACTTCAACTTGACGTCAACTTTATTTTCTTATGTTCACTCCCAGACACACTATAATTGCAGAGTAGACAGGAAATTCGGAGGGAATTTTCCGGATCCAAAAGCCGGGACGTGTGCCTCATTAACAAAAGAAGGGCTGACATTCTGATGTTGATTATTTTTGTATTGTCTCAGAAATGTCCCAAAGTGTCTTTTTAGCTGTCCTATGCGATATTTTAATGATCAGTAGCCATTGGACAACCTTTAATTTCGAGCCCTTCTATATTCCTATACTCCCACCGGTGCAATAGCTCAATTAGTAGAGTGCTCGCTATGTAACAGGGAGGTTGTGAGTTCAAACTCCGGCCGGGTCATACCAAAGGCTTTAAAAATGGTACATACTTCTTTCTCTGCTTAGCACTCAGCACATATGAGAAAGAGTGTGGGAAGGTCAAACACACACAGCACTACCAGCGGACTAGCCCCCTGCTGCAGTGCCCTGCACAACTGTGTGTCGCCCAAGGGCTACGGAAATGGAGATGGGCGCCAAACCCTATGCTCTGCATAGAGCACGGGAGACCTTTTATATCCCTATGTTATGTGTACCTTGACAAGCCTGTGGGCGACTTTGCCATCCTGCGACTCCATTCACTTCCCTGCATGTGGAGACCTGTGTCCCTCTCGGCTGATAGCCGGTGTTACAGGTCACTGAGCAGGAATGGCCGACTTCAGTGTAGGACCCAGGGCAGACTCGAACTCCGTTAGGTGATGGGTCTGCAATCTCACTGTTCTGGCACGAAAGCTCTGTTGTAGGCAAAAATATGTCATAATGAGAATTGACAATTTGGTTAAAACCCTCATTGAATGGGGAGTTTCTACTCACGTGACTATGTCGTAAGCATTATCCACCATACCTGGAGTTCATCAGGTAGATTGAAACTAATTCAATCTAAAGGAAGTCAAGATATAGATTTGCGATGCGATGTAAACATTTTTCATTATGCCAATTTTGGAGTTGAGTCCACTTCAACGTCCACCATTTGATTTTTGTTTAGTCTTCATCATCTATGTATGAAATAACACATTCGTAGAAAACCTAGAATCCTCATACTACTCAAGCTCTGGGAGCAGTCCGGGTTTCTAACCCCCCCCCCCTGGGTTTTCGTTATCATGCTTTAAACGGGAATATATCAGTGCGAATGTGGTTGGAAATACGAATAAACAAACGAACGGATGTGAATGCGTTTCGAGTACTACTTGCAGAATACACGGCTATACATGTGGTCCACAAATAATATGCGAGTATAATATGCACAGGGCCAAAAATTTAAGTATACAAAATGCCATTTTGAAGACGCAAAGATACGTTCTCTGTATAAACTTTGTACGTGCTAAAATTTTCTTACTGCTGCATCTTGGAGTTGGATAAGACCACGACTTTGCCGCTGTGCAGGTAGTTGTGGCTGATCCGGACAGTTTGAAGCTGTAGTCACATTGGAACCTGCAGGTGTCGCCAAATCTTCTGCCACAGGTGCCGATGATGCTCCCATCTTGTGGTGCGGTCAAGATCGGACACGTGACCTCTAAAAGACATCAGCGCTATTATTATACTTCTTATCAGCAGTATAACACCACACACTCTTATGCAATGACGGAAAATTAGAAACTTAAGATTATCAATATGCTGTAATAAAGAATAAATATACTAATTATACCAGTATGAGTAGTATGCAATGGATTTGACATCAAATACGCCACAATATTCTATCGCTCACTTTTGCAGGACAAAGGTGTTCCATTCCATGTACCAGAGCCGACACACGTCAACACTTTCTTCCCGCTGGAAAACTCGTAACCTGAAAAAGCACAGAAAGCACAATTTGGTCAGATATTTTGCATAATCTATTCGAATGGTAAGTCTAACTGTGACAGTAATTGAAATTTGCACGTGACCTAGTCTTTCAACGTTACAAGTGTAGGGATAAACATTTATTTTGTTGGTAAGATGTTCACTTGTGTACGGCGAGGAAGCTCCGTTTTAACAATGTCCATATCATCTACATCACTGATGAAGTATACATAATACGGGTTGAGATATTGCCAGCTTTATTCGCTAGTGGATTGAAAATGTCTATATTAGCAATAAAAATATACACATCTGGCAAACACATTATATGGAAATTTCTGAAGGACAGCTTATCATATTCTGATCATAACATAACGTTAGACTTATAAATGTAAAGATGGGATTACTTGTTTTGGGATATTTGGGTGTCTACTGGGTTATTGACAGGCTTGCAAAGAAGACACACCTGACTGGCAATCCAAGCTACATCTGTCGCCCCAGTTTGTCCATGTTCCACATGATGCAGCTCTCACAGCGGTGGTATCGTAAGATGGTTTGTAACATGCAATTCCTGCAATATTAGACACATTATATTCCATTTTCTGTCCATATACAATACTTCTAAAATGAATCATATCACATATCACAAGGCGACTTATATCTTGAAAGTTTGTGGTGATTCTAAAAATAATAATTGAAAAAAGAAGCGCAAAGGAACATTTAGCAAGGAAATTCTAATTTGATGGCGCCACTGATCAAAATCCAAGATTGCTGACCATGATTACATCATATGTGCGAGTATCCTGGTTATATTCCTCAAGATTTCATCACTACTTTTTATAGAAAAATATATAAATATGTCATGCACTTACGTACCCAAACGAACGACGGTCCGTCAACCCCCTTTAATATTTTTAAACAAACGCCTCTGCAGTTAAGAGCAAACAGATAGGGGTAAACTGATGTCACTTCTTCTTAAGCTCTAAAGCTATCTACCATCCAAAATTCGTGACCTTGTCAATTCTGAATTAGGTGATGACCGGAAGTTCCCCTACAGGACCAAAACAAGCCGCTCGGGGGCTTATTATCATGTGGTCTCATCAAGAGCTACCCACCTAAAAGTAACGAAATGACAAACTTACGTTTACAACTCTGGATGGGGGACCCAACTTGCTGGTAGCCGGTTTTACACTTGCACTCAGTCTTGCTGGTGGCGCCTGTTCCTGACGTCACGGAGTTTGCCGGGCACTGAATACATGGTCCAGTCCCAACGGTGTCTTTGTATGTATTCAGCGGGCATTCTGTTCGGTAAAATTTAAACATAAGAATGTTATGTAATAAAAAAGTTAGAAATGATAGTAAATTTTACACAACCAATCAATTAACCTGACGTGAACATCAATAAACATAATTCATTTAAATCGTGACCTCATTTGCATAATTTATAAGGCAGTGCGATAATAGCCTTTTTGTTAAGATAAGGCTGTCATTGGGTGGAGAATATGATCAACTGATGTAATCCATGCAAATGAGGCTCTTATTTACGAAGCCAATGATTAAAATTGTATAATTCATCAACCGCAAGGGTTAACATCATTTGGCGAAGGTATGAGATCGTGGAACTCTTGTTGAGATTTGTTCTGTTGCTCACAACTCACTTTTATCACCGGCTTTATTTCCACAGTCATATCCCTTCTGGCACACACAGGCGTAGTTTCCGCCGTACACGTCGCAATGGCAGGACCGCGTCGCCTGGTTACAGACGGGTGAACATCGATATCGAGAGGATGGCAAGTAATCAGTGGTGTGAAGGTCTGCGGTATGAATGATAAATGTATGCTGTTATCAATCTATTCCAAAGGAAATATTTACGCATATCCCACAACGTGTAACTTTTCTATCGTATAATACCGTAAATGTAAAGGCTAGGATGTGTTATCTATTGAAATATCCATGTTTTAATGTAAAGATAAAAAGTCATCAAAACAGAGATCAATTTTTGTGGAAAATGTTCCTTTAGATTGCACAGTTTCTCTTACCTCCTCTCAGCCTCTTGGCCACTTGTGACAGAATGTTGAAATCCAGACACAAGTAGACGTACTTGTGACCACGACTGTCCTTGTTTCCCAGAGCGCTCAGTCTGTTACTGTTGATTCCCCAGGCACCTATCCCGAAGGCGTACATGATCACACCCCTGCTCTGCAACGTCCGCACCACTGAGGAAGGATCCCCACCCCTATTCCAGTAACCGTCTGCATATCAACAAAAGATCGATAATTATTATGTTTACAGCTGATCAGATAGAGAAAATTGGTGTGAATGTGCTTTCCACTGATGTTGTTTTATGAGTTGGTTTGTGTGGCAGCATGACTAGAAAGTTTCGAATAGACTATTAATTACCTCCATATTGAAAGCACAAAGTTGATTTTGGACGGTACTTACTAATAGACAGTAACAATAAAACATGATAAATGGTGTAAAATCAATTCAATTTCTTTTTGAGCATCTCTCTATCCCCATGTAGAGCACCCAACGAACATTTCTAATTGTTTGTAGCATTTTTGTGCAAAACGTGCGAGCAATTGTGCATTGTTCCTTTACAGCTACACAAAAACTGCCATGATTGCTATGAATCACTATCATTTCGTATGATGGGAGTCAACTCCAGATTTTACGAATGTGTCAGTGTTAATTACTACCTTTTTATTGTAATATGTATGATGATAACAATATGTTTATTTTAGTACAAGTTTTGAGTATTGTCTGTAATGAGTATTTTACTGAATCAGCAATTCAGCCATCGGACTGCGAGTGACTTGTATTTCAACTATTCATCATTATCATCATCATCATGATTTACCCCGCAAAGAGTCGTAATAACATGATGCAATTTAGTAGAAAACCCGACAAATTCCAATAAAGACCCTCCATTCACGGCTCGTGTGATGTGTGATTGCCATGACGTCATGGTAGACAGTTTAAATATGTCTTCAAATGATTTGCATGTACACCATGTGAACAAAAACAGTGATTGCTCGTATACGACGCTTGTTTTTGAATCAGCAGATGTTGTTCTTTCCAGTAAAGGTTTTGCTTTCAGACATGCTTTTCTACTGAAAGTCGCTAGATGTTACTGTTGATCTTTGCAGATTTTACCGAACATTGACTTTGCTGCTTTTTCATACAAGTTTAGGCATTGCTCTGATCAGTACAATTTGCTCCTGTCGTTATGCTAAAGCACTGATCAGTTATAGTGCCCTAAAGTTAGCCAAATGCCAATGTCAATGTTTTGTACATGCCAAAATCTGGACAAGTTGGAAGAACCAACTCACACGAGGCCGAGCAAACTTACCTGTCACACCTGTAAGGTGCTTTACTTAGTGTCTAGTTGATGAAAACTCACCTGTCACACCTGTAAGGTACATTACCTATAGTCTCTAGTCCATCACCTTTCACACCTTGCGGCCATTTTTGAATCGGAGCAGATTGAGGATGAGGAATGGCACCCCTGTGCTGAAATCCTAAAAACTGGCGTTTTACTTTAAGATTTACTTTTCGTCAGCCACTGAAAAGTAATGCAATCTGACAGTTTTCAAAATGTTTGCTGTTGCTACATGAAACATTGGCCTTGTGGTTAGTGCTGTTGACACAGCAGTGGAAGGTTTTGGGTTCGAATTCCTGACAGATCCCGATGCTGTAGGAGAGGGACCAGTGTAAGCGCATGCGGGGTAAGGCCACTTTGATTTATTTTTGGACTTATTTTTGAAATAATTTTTTTTCCTGGGGAAATTTTGCTCAGACAGGCCCAGTTTTGTGGTAAGTAGGACAGAAGAATGTGTATTTTTCAAATCTGCCCAAAAAGTTTGACCTTTGGCAAGACTTGACCTTCTATCGACCCCGAGATGGGTCCTGGGTGAATGGACTGTTCCACTTGGACAGGGGGTGAAATCCAGGTATCATTTCAGTATTTGGGCTGTAACTCAAAAACAGGCAGGAGTCGAACTTCCACTATTTGTACCAAAAGAAACCTGACAAATTCAGCCTTGCAGTGGGGGTAAAGACTTGAGGTTTGGAATAAAAGTAAATGTGCTTTTAAGTGCTTGTTTCTAGTGGTTTCACCATAGAATTCCAATGGAAGCTTCATTCACTGGTCCCTCCCCTGTACCATGGACGTACGATCTGTGTACAAACCAATTGCAACCGGCATGTTTGACAACAATGTCACTGTCAGACTGTCACCAAGTACAGTAGGGGCACTGTCAATAGATAGCTTTAAACAATGTCTAGAGCTAGAAGTTCAAGGGTTAGGTGTAACAAGTCGATCGGTGTAATATAGCCAGCTGCCGCCGCGCCGCGTGCCTGCGAAGCTGGTGTGTTACGCCGAAAGGCGGTTATACCGGCTATACAGATACAGATACAGAAGATGTTGACACAACAGTTGGCAGGCATGCAAATACGGTAGATCCCTTACAGAGCTGAATACCCCACACCGTGCGTAGTGAACCTTTCATGCATGACACGTCCAAAGCTTGGTCATTAGGGCGTGTCTGAGTCTGACGGAAATGGTGTCCATGAGTGGCGCGCACCGTCAAACAAAGATGTTATCACAACATGATCCTTTGTAAATCCCACGTCGTCTGTGGTTTCATAAGATCCCATGCCTGACTACTAGTATTGTGTACCCGCAAAGTATGTGTACAGCTTGCCCCCTCCCCCCCAGCGACTAGGAAAGGGGGTCTTCATGGGGGGCGGGGGTCCCGCCAACGCTCTACGCTAAATTTTGAGAGCCGGTTTACGAACGTATTACGCTACAGTAACAAATATGATGAATTCCAACTATAACACATTACGTAGAATTAGACTGCTTTAGAGCGGTCCGTCTACGCTCGACGTAGAATCAAAACTGCCGCCTTACACTCTTTGGAAATTAGGTTATGCGGGCCCCTAGGAAAATCAAGGGACGAGGGAGAGATGGGAGGGATGTGACATCTACATGACAATGACAAGTTATGTAGAGATTTAGTTCATTACCTCCATGAAAAATGGAGGTATTGTTTTTGGTGCGTCTGTGTGTCTGTCTGTGTGTGTGTCTGTGTTTCCGCACATTTGCAGCCAGCATAACTTCATATCATCACAATCCATAAAGGCGTTCTGAAGTTATGCTGACTACAAATCTGCGGAAACACACACACACACACACACACACACACACACACACACACACACACACATACAAACACACACACACACACACACGACACACACACACACGACACACACAAGACACATAAAAAACAGTACCTCAATTTTTTTTCATGGAGGTAATAAGAAGGTGCCGCAAAACATTTCCATGCCAAGGCCCCTAACAATTTTTAAAGGCCCCTAACAACTTAAATTGCTTTGTTCTGTGAAAGACAACAAAGGACAAATTGACAAAGCGCTAAGGTTATACATCATAAACAAATGCCGCCTTTTTTGTGCTCCCGAAGACCTTGTCTTGAATCCAAACACTATTCTGTTAGTACGTCATTTGATTAATACGGGCTATCGTACGCATGTAAAGCCGCGATGGTACAAGTATGCAATAATGCCTGCCCTAAAGGTAAATGGATGTTTCGCCACAGTTTTGCAAAACATAATTACGTTGTATTTTTTCATACTTCCCTTTGATATTTTTTAACAACATTAGTTTATACTAACATCCTCCTACTGTGAATGTATAAAAATTGCGATTATGACTTTGTGTACGGGTAGAAGGATCCCTGTTTAGTATGTGCAGTAAGATGACTGAAGCATAAAAAACAATGCTCAAGCACAGGGACTGGCCTTTGACCGAACTCGCTGGCATGCTCCGACGGCCTCCCGTGTCTTCTGACGCGGTCTAAAGTCTAAAGTAAACATGGTTAGCTGGTACTAAAGCCCGCAACAGATCAGAGTAGAGGACCAATGACAAAGTCAGGAATAAGACAGCCCCCCCTCGCCCCCCGAAAGCCTTTATGAACAATCTAACAATAAATATAGAGAGCACTAGATGGATGCTGAAATGCCTGAGTAACACAAAATACATTGGCAATGATAAGATTCAAGCCCATTAAGTGCAGGAAGCTAGTCCGGAGGAAAGGAAAACTGAGTGATAGACTACAATTAATCTAAGATCAGAGGGTGAGGGGGCAGACCTTCCGTATCGGAACAGCCAATTAAAACCCTCAAATCACCACCGTATGGGGCCAAAACTGAACCCAGGCTTATGTAAATATGTGCCATTTTGACATTTCTTGTCGAAAACAAAATTCCTTCTATAAGTTTGTTTGTACATAATTTCTCAAAACTTTTTACTGAGATTTGAACATTTTTGAGTGAGTTATCCTAGAGAGTTCATGTGTGGTCCGGTGGGGTCAAACATGACCCCAGCATTTTTAACATGTGTGGATCCTTTGTTGTCGTCAATATTTCTTCCAGGTAATATGTCCGCTATCATTGGTCTATCATTGGCCTAGGAGTAACAAAGAAACTAAATTCGTGCAAAACATTATGGGGTCAGTTTTGACCCCATAATGTTTTGCACGAATTTAGTTTTGACCCCATACGGTAAGATTCATAGCAAAAAAAACTTAAGGTGGTTTGAGGGTTAAAGGAGAATCTACGGCTGAGGACTACAACAGAATCCAAAACGGACCTATCTACAAATTTCACCTATCAAAAATATCTACTATCGACATGCATATGACGTGCGTACTGTTGAAACAAATATCAATACGCAATTCATACGATGAAAGAGGATACGCAGAAATTTTACAGGGGTTTACACATATATGCACAGTCCATTGCTTTTAAATTTGGGACGAAAGCAATGTGGTATCACTTATATAAATTTTCGTACAGGTCATGTATCAACACAGTGATAGTCAAACGTTCATGAGATTTTGTCGAACAGATAGCGTATGGCCATAGCTTAAAAGTTGCAATGGTGTTAACAAGGCTGGCAACAAACAGCAGCAAAGTCCATTGTCTGATGAGCACTTAGCGCTAGCTGTTCACTTTGTTCGAGGGAGTATATATTGGAAATATAACAAGCGCACACAATCATACAAACACATACATACATGTAACTAGTTCCACATAACTAGACTCCCCATGATTATGCAAATAAGATCCTCATTTCCATTAATTATATCAGTTGACCATATTCTCCACCAAAAGACAGTCCTATCTTAACAAAAATGCCATTCTAGCAGTTCCTCATAAATTATGTAAATGAGGTCCTTATAAGCTATGTTTAATGATGTTCACCTTCAGCTGCCCCATGTGATAAATGCGACCGCAGATACCTCGTACAGCCTGGCTATATTGTGGTGGAGCAACGTTCCTCCAATTAAGCCTCGGTTACAACCGGCCGTACGCGTGCTGTCTACGTGCAAAAACGTGGGCAATTTTGGGGGATCTGTGAGTGGTGAGTACCGCCTCCGTACGGAATAAAACTTTCTCTGCATGCGGGCTGCGGATTCACCCCCGTACCCCCGTACGAGCGGGCGACGCTTGCCCTGTACGTACCGGTACGTACCGTACGTTAGCAGCACGTGTCAGTACGGCCTGCATACGGCAAAGTGGCAACCGCACAGAGATCGTACGTTGTAAGTACATACAACTGACCACCAGGCTTGGCGTGCAGACCACATATTTACACCTTGCGCTACCGTGTGAGTGACATGCGTTGACGTACTGCTCATGCCAGTCCTTCCCCACGTTTTCAGAAAAACGTAGCAGACGTGGCCTCCCAAACAACGTACGGACAAAAAGCACGTACGGCAGGTTGTGAACAGGGCTTTAGTTACCTCATCGAACCATGGTTGGAAATAACGCATAAGGCCATGACATGCACCAAGGCTAGAAAATGTTACAAAAAAGAGGTCTGAGAAGACTTCGATTTTTACATCAACAACGGTATTGTTACATCAAAATAATCATGAAATAACTCACCTGTAATCGTGAACACCACCTTGGTTGAATACGAACGGACCCCCGATTTCTTCAGTAACGTTAACGCGATGTCCAGAGCCCCTTTTGTGTTGGTCCATCCACCGGTGTACTTGATTCTTGGTATGTAGTTGCGAAATAGTTCACACTTGTTGTTGTCATTTGATGTCGATCGAAGAAGGTCGAACTCGACTCTAGCGTCCGTTCCAAACGACACGACGGCTACACGGGTAGTTGACGGTGAAACACTGAAGTGGCTCAGAACGGCCTTCACAAACTCGATGATTCTGTTGTAGTTATATGAACCAACACTCCCAGAGCGGTCGAGAGCAAAGATGATGTCGATAGCCCTGTTGGGAGTTGGTAGAGCCGCCTTCAGTGTGTTAGCCGCAACCACGGCGGTCATAGCGCTCTGCCCCTTCACAGCGGGGAAAACAGCCATAACCAACAGGGAGATCACAACCAACCTCCCCATGTTGGCTGAAAGATTCGCGCTACTGCCTCAAGGAAACAGGTCTGGGCTGATACGGTCTGTTAGCGATCCCGACTTACACCTGGCTCCGTGTCATGTTTACGACCTGGGGGAGCGGTGACGAAAGACTTTTTCTCAGAAGAACTGTTTCCTGGTGTATCGTATGACCACGCTTTGGACACCTGGGCGTTGTAAATCTTAATCTGGGCCGTTTTTTTTTATCACAGTTCGTATGCGAGTTGCTGGTACTCTTTTTGTAGACTAAACTGGATATGAATCGTCATTAACTTTATGTCTCCAAGGGAACTCAACATCATGATTATGACTGTATACATACCACACAGGTTGGGATGGGTGAACCTATCTTGAACGTAGTTATTTGCATTTTAAACTTAAACACTGAACTTAAAACAAGCATGACTTTATTTTGTACTTTATGACCATTCGTTATGAGATTTAGCTGTATGCATTTTCTTGTTTTAAGATGTTCGCACCACCTTTGGTACGAGGAGTTTTAGGGCTGCTTGTAGAGGTGAATGACACCTAAAATATTATTGCCCAGTCTAATCCGCGGGTGGCCTCAACAGTTTCCTCTTCCTCGAATTAGTTCCTTATGTGGCAAGTATAATCAACACTGTGTACACAAAGCATTGTAACGTAAACAAGGAAGAGTTTATGTAGTGTAATGTTACTGTCTACTGGTGAAAAACAAGCTCGAGAAAACGTCGCCGTGTGGCTGTGTCAATACAGTTTGACGACAGTACACTATACACAATTTGTTTAATACTCAAATACCTTTGGAAGCTCTGTGCATTGATATTATAGAGTACGTACTTCGTACAAAGAGTCAAAGTTGCTGTCTGTCAGTTTTAAACAACACTTTATTGGAAACTTTCACTGACTTAGGTTTATCTTGTATATCTTATTAACAATCCAAAACATTTATCTATCTTGATAGTATAGCCTGATATCAAACTAAAATGTGCATGTCATCAGCTCTACCTAGATGCGGCATAGTCAGCCTTACCTTGTAGACCCGCGCCGTCCAACAGAGTAAGATGTACACTTGACACAGCGCTAAACACAGTTACTGTCTGACTAGTCATTATAATCATTCCTGCAGTTTGCGCATCTGAAATAAACCTAGAAACCAAAGCTATAACATCGGAAGCCCATATTGGCTGAATTAAAATAGACACGTATTGATTTTTAAAAGTGCAGGGTTTGTAGAATCATAACTATGACAAAGAACATCATAACAATGATTGTTTCCAGACCTATATCGTCTGGATAGAAAGGACGAAGGGGGGAGAGGGAAGGATCTTTGGTATTGAGGCAAAACTATGGAATTGGCCCGCATTTGCACCCCATGTTCACCTTTTCACCTTACGGTGCCATGAACTTTTTGCTTTTACGTGAAGGGATTCAAGTCATGCCTAACTTGCCCCACAGGTGGTGGTTGTACGTGCGAAAGAATATCTTGAAGTCAAGCTATTCTGGGTGATTTGTACTTTTCCATTTGTAATGATTTTCTTGCAAATTCACTCAGTCACTCACTCATGCTGCTACTCCTCTCACTCACTCACTCACCCACTCACTCACTCACTTTCACTCACTCACTCACTCACTCACTCACTCTCACCCACTCACCCACTCACTCACTCACTCACTTTCACTCACTCACTCACTCACTCACTCACTCACTCACTCACTCACTCACTCACTCACTCACTCACTCACTCACTCACTCACTCACTCACTCACAGGAGTTCCTAAGACTAGTAAAGCTCTCAAGAAAAACGTGTTGTTCTCTCGCATATTAAACGTATTCCATACCATCATTGATAGATGGTGTATTATACCATCATTGATTGAATGATCAATGGAGACAACTGGACTTAATGCTGTCAATTTCTAGAGAAAGTAAAGTCATTACCAGTACTAACAAAAAAGGACAAAAATGAACACGCGTTGACCTTGCGACCCTAATGAAGTTTCCCGTGGGAAGCATATTATATTATTGTTTTTACCCTGTACAATTGTTGCACAATAAAACTATTATTATTTCAACACAGCAGACCAAATTCTGCTTATTGTTTTTTTAAATATGCGTCCTGCTGATGTTTTGGTTGAAATCCAGAACCCCACGCTTGGATGCTAATGAGAAAAGAAAACCCAGCGTGCATTGCTTCAAGGAAATGAAACTTTTGTCAAATCCTCATTGAGTGGAGGGCATGCAAGGTAGCACTACTATGATCAGCATGCCAGTCCCAGTTCAGCAGCTCAATTTTTTTATCGTCAGAAATATGACCGCCTTATCTTTATCAGGATGGCAGTAATGCTTGTGTTGTGGATTTTGTTGTTCACACTGATCCACCTCGTGCATGGGCAAACATTGCTGGCCGCGCAAAATGCTGCATTAGCACTGACGGCCAGTTTACCGAGGGTGAACGAACAACTGGACATCGTCTTTGTCTTGGATCACTCCGGAAGCGTTGGTCAGCAGAACTACGGTAGAGTCGTAACGTTTGTTAAAGCCGTACTCGGCCGCTTCAGCGTTTATCCTGACGAAACACGGGTGGCGGTCATATCGTACGGTTGGTCTGCGACGGTTGACTTTGACAATCTGCGGTCGTCCTCGAAGGACAACAACAAGTGCGAACTGTTTACGACACATCTGACCAAACTAACCTACAGAGGAGGGTACACGAACACGAGAGACGGTTTGAGAAAGGCTAGAGAACTTTTTCTCCAGGCCGGTGTTCGTCAATCATCGACAAAAGTTGTATTTACCGTGACGGGTAAGTAAAAGATTAAACAACGTCTTTTCTAGTTTGAAGCTATGTACCAGAGCTATCACAGACATGGGACCATAATATACAGCATCGTGGAAGCGCTTTCAAAATAATGAATATATGCAGAACTTGATTGCACGTCAGTTGTATATGATACAATGTACGGCAACGCCTATTGGACATAGTACAAAAAAAGAAAAGGGTATATAATGAGAATTAACATTCTAATTACTAAACATCGAGAGCTAATATAGAATACAATCAAGTAGTTTCGGCATTTTTTCTAATAACCAAAAAGTATTTTATGTAGTTACCTAATATCTTTGCATTGTAGAAGCTGTTGCATTTGAATATATATATATATTAATTGGTGAAAAGAAACGAGTCTGTCGTACGCTATAATTTTTTTCTCTTTTCAAAAGTTAAGAATTCCTTTTATATAATCATCAATATTAGTTTATATAATTCCTTTTATATACGTCAGTACGTCAAGTTATATAATCTACAGAGAAGATATCAATCACCAAGACATACAGTACTTGGATACTAGGATATCGACATTTTGACAATTGTGTCAAAATTATGCTGGTACGGTATGTAGTCATGTCCAAAATCAACTGCATGTTCTGCATTCAAAATTTCTACAGGGCAACTTGTCAACTTTGAGTGTATTATTTGTCATTTTCAACAAAATGGTAATTGTAATCTACTTTTGACAATCAGCCCTTGGACTAACTCTAGAGGTAAGTACGTATCTTGTGGTTCCCTATTTTTATGACTTGAGGAGTAAAAATTTTCTAAAAAGAGACAATTTAGGTTGGGGCTGTTGCCATGTTGCCACTATTCGTCTTTGGGTCTCTCTGTAATGGGTTTGTTGCGCTAAATTACGATCTAAATGATGAAACAGTTGGAAATCTATAGCTAGAGGGAAACAGTTGTTTGTGACAAGCTTGTGAATACAGCGGCATTACAGGCAGCATGGACGCCAGCTGGACAAGTGAATATTAACTATTACAAGACGGTGTGGCGGAAAACGTCTTTATTTTGACAATACAGTGTGGCGGAGAGCGTTTTTTTATGATAACTAGTGAGAAATCTTGAAATCGGCCAGTTTACCATTGGTTTTAACAGCATGAAAGTCATTGTGATGTAAAGTTGAGCCAGCTGAGTCTAGGGGGCAGTATATATTGTGCAGAAATTTTCAAGCATTTTTCTTGTTCTCTGTCTTGTCTTGTCACAATGCTTTTTGTATAGTATAAAAAAACACTTTTCCTTGTCCTCTATGTGGTCGTCGTAGACAAGCTGTAAAATCGATTGAACTTCTCCTTTACTATGGCATTTGAATATTACATACAAATTTGTGGACAGATTTTATTTCTTTTTACTGCGTAGGATAAGGTACTTCATATAGGATATTTCCAGGTTAGGCTCGAATTTGGGAGCATGCAGACACGCCTTAGCACTTTAGGTGCATGTATAATTCTATGCATTCAAGCTGCACTTTAGGTGCATGTATAATTCTATGCATCAAGCTGCACTTTAGGTGCATGTATAATTCTATGCATCAAGCTGCACTTTAGGTGCATGTATAATTCTATGCATCAAGCTGCACCTTAGGTGCATGTATAATTCTATGCATTCAAGCTGCACTTTAGGTGCATGTATAATTCTATGCATTCAAGCCCCGTAAGAGCCAGTGCCCTGTACGTATATGTACGTATTGTACGCAAGCAGCACGTGTAAGTGCGACGTGTCTACGGTAAAGTGGCAATCGCTCAGAGGTCGTTGTATGCACGTACAACTCACCAATTGCGCTACGACCGGTTCACACGTATATATTACAGTTCCCGCATATGTAGCCATGTGTCTTTCTTTCCCGGGTGGTCCACTACCAACGTGAGACAGTAACTTTCCCCGTTGACGAAGCATGGGGGGGTCTGTTCTAGGAATCAGTCAGAACTTCCCAGCTTTCAATACGAGTCATATCGAGCTCAAATAGATGTAACTAATGCATCGTATATATATTTTGTTTGTGAGTCCTTCAGCTCAATTTTCCTGTGCATTTTGTTGCATCTCAAAATATATTACTAATATTTATACACGTAGACATGGTACTTATTTCTGAGTGGCTGTAAAACAGAGTGAAGTTATCATAACATTTGATTGTTATATGCAGCTTTGTGATCAGGCAGTGTCTTTATACAGCATGAGATGAGATGCTACACGTAGGAAATTACCAGCGAAATAAAAAATTAAGGCCTTGGTTGTCATTGTAGTTGCAGGGAAAGTTTCCGATGGTGATTGTCAAATATCGAATGCTTTCCTCAAATTCGTATCTAACGAATTATAGATGTTTTGATGTATACAACAACCCGAGTCACTGTTTCCCGGTTATTTGAACTCCACATGTATGGTAGGTGCTACATGCTGGGCTTCTGGCGTTTGCAAGTAATTAGAGGAACGTGGTTTTGTTTATGTCTGGTATTCACACATGTCATCTGTCTTTAACCTTCAAACCACCGTAAGTTTTTTTGCAACGAATCTTACCGTATGTGGTCAAAACTGACCCCATAATTTTTGCAAGAGTTTCTTTGTGATTTTTATATTATGTATAGTTTCATTCATCTATGAGGGACAATTTGACATGATAATGTCAGCCATGTCGATGACCTTTGACCTTTGAATAGGGTCACCATTTTTTAAAGTTTTCTGATTCAACGTGTTGAGGTCATTCTGTAGCAATGTGTTAAGTAGACGAATGTCAGAAGAAAACTCAAGCAAACATATTAACTGGAAGAAACATTGAGGACAACAAAGGATTCAAAAGTGTTAAAAATGCTGGAAATAAACTCTCTACGATAACTCAATTAACAATGCTCCAGTCTCAGTAAAACGTATGAGAAGTTATAAGACACTTATACAAGCAACCTCGTAGAAGTAATTTCGTTTTCGACTAGAAATGTCAAAATGGCACACATTTAATACGCCTGGGGTCAGTTTTGGCCCCATACGGTGGTTTGAGGGTTAAGTATCTTATCCACCTACAAACGTTTTAAGGACATATATTCCCATCTTTTATGACTGAAATTTGGAACAACAAAAAACTACGAACATACCGATAGCTAAAGAATACGTACAGCAAAGAAAAAAATCTAGAAACAAGAATTCGGAGACCTCGGTGAATTTGGCTACCGTCCGGCTACGCCAGCCGAATGTTTCTAAATGTTACATGGTTACAAACATTCGTAAGTCGTTAGGGAGTAAGTCAGCAGTGTTCAGGGAGTGTTCATGGATCAAATTTGACTTCATTGTAACTCAAATTCGTTACAATTCATATAGAAGGTAGACAGGGCCTAAATCTGGTCGGAGTGCTCCCACATGTCAGCCGTTCGAAAACAGATTTGGGGGAGGGCAGGGGCTTGAGAACTAGAGAGAGGCGAGCTTATAAGTGACCTTGTGGGGAAGAAGTAGAATCATTTAAGGGACAAGCTGTGCGCGATTCAAGCACACAGGGGCTGTACATAGTTCCCCCTGTTAAATCACACTATGTTGTCTGTGTAGTTTTCAGCTGTATAGGGTATACCATCAGGATACTAGTAATCCAAATTAAACACTAGTGGCACACAAAAAAGACACATACCATTTCGGATCTGGGCGCTCCTTGTATATTTAAGTCACTCCTGAGAACAACAAAAACACTTTCGGCAGAAACATCGATAGCTCTGGTTGTTTGAGTGATGTTACTACTACACGTCTTCACACACACTGCAGGTCCCACATATTTAATGAGGGTCTGTACTCCTTCCTGCATAAGTAATGAGCTCAGGTTACACTTTTGTGCCAGACGGTTTACATATATACCCAAAATGAATGTGTTAGTCTTTTACATGTATTTGTGGGACAGTATTGGACGTCCCATTGTATAATGTGTAATGATTAAAGTACGCATATCAAATTTGACATGACGTTTTCTACGCATAGCAAATGAGGCAGGTTGACACAAATCCCCCAGGGGAAACAATTTCACCGTAAATCCATTACTCGTCAACAGGTGGCAACTGATTCCAATGCTGATTCCAATGAGACTAAGTATGTCGTTAGGAGCATAATATGAGATACATGTGAAAAAAAAGAAAATCCTTGAAGTTTCCTCAAAGTTCGGCCATGCCATGTTCTCTACGTAAACCACTCTTCCAGAGAACTCGACGATCGATGTTTATACATATACAATACAGCAGGCCAGGTTGATACTTGAGACTGTGTAAAGGTGGTGTCATTACAGCGTGAAAGCTTCCACACAAAGGTAGGTATGCCAATAACAACAAATTAACAATAGTGAAGTGTCATTTGGTCACTGGTAGAACCGTTGACCCCAAAATGACCTTTACTACTACACCTTTGCCTTTGTTAGCCGCTCAACCATATCATTGCCTTCGGCTAAGATGAAAACATGTTTTCTTTGGCATTGCTTGGCTAGCTCAGTTGCTTGATTGTGCGGATGACTTGTTCAGGTGATTTAGAGAGGTTGGGTGGTTGGATTTTCGATTATTTGTTTAATCCCCTGCCACACATATTTACCTCCCGAACGATAGCCAAACACTCGCCAACCATGGATAGGAGTACTAGTGGGTAGGCTGCCGTTCGGCTGGGTCGGCTACGGGTCTGCTTCGCCAGTCTAATGTAAAAATAAACATTCGGGAATGTTCGGGAGAGTCTGTCTTGTTGGCTGGTGTTCGGCTGGTGCTCGGGATGTCAGCAGTATTCGAGGCGTGTTCGGGGGTCACATTGCCACTCACGGCGCTCTCACGGCGCTCTCACGGCGCTCTCACGGCGCTCTCACGGCGCTCTCACGGCGCTCTCACGGCGCTCTCATGGCGCTCTCACGGCGCTCTCATGGCGCTCTCACGGCGCTCCCATGGCGCTCTCATGGCGCTCTCACGGCGCTCTCACGGCGCTCTCACGGCGCTCTCACGGCGCTCTCACGGCGCTCTCACGGCGCTCTCACGGCGCTCTCATGGCGCCCTCACGGCGCTCCCATGGCGCTCTCAAGCACATCGACCTTTGCGCTCTCTCCGCGCTCTGGCCTATTTCAGGTCGCAGAGAGAGCGCCGTCTAAGTGGAATGGGGCTTCGGGTATTAATAGTTTGTACATGTAATAAGTCTCGCAAAGTTGCATTTAAATTTGTAACCACCTGGCGTATCCATTTAACTTCAGCGTCTCGATAAAACAGACGTGGTCCAAATTTCCATGGTAACTTTAGGTGGCAGTTGGTATTGAAATATGCAAATTATGTTAATTATGCATGTCATTTGCAGAGTAACTGAGAAAATGCCAAGGTTTCGTGAGTTTACAGCTTCGTAACTCTATACATTTCATTTTTGGATGAACATATCTGCATGTACTTCTCCTTAGACGGCTACTGGAATGTTGGAGGCGATCCCATATGCGAAGTACGAAGCCTGCAGCACATGGGTGTGTTGATGTTCGCTTTCGGCATTGGTAGCTGGGGCATCGACAGCTACAAACTCAGAGGACTGGGAAATAAAGACAGCGGTGGAAACAAGTACGTGTACCTGGTCCTCGACTTCCGCGCTCTATCTGAAGTAGCAAGGAGGCTGAGAGGAGGTGAGTGTTTTAAACATTATTGGTCAGCATTGCATGACGGAAGAGATGTACTTTTTTATTTATTTATTTATCTTGACGACACCTGGGTGGTCCCTTCAGCCCCTTGGGGCTGATTACCAAGGGAGCCCATTACAGAAAATAATGTAATATAAAATAATAATAATTAAACGTAACAGTGAAATCATTAATCAAAAGACATGATCAGTCAGAGATGAGATGTCAGAGGTCAAGCTCCAAATAATACAAATTTAGGAATAGTATATCATAAATAATAAAGTACTTGATCATAGTAGTAATAAACCATAATATATACAAATCAAGCAAATAAGAAAATACTTAAAACATAATTGGTCAGTGTTCGAAACGAGTGAAGTGTCAGAAGTTCAGTACCAATCATATTTCAGTCTCTATTTAAATGATTTAACGGTGGGTGCTTGTTTTGTGTAAGTGTTTAGTGAATTGCCGCTCTATATGCAAATGTACGTTGGCCTGCTTTGGATGTGTAGTTGGGTCTGTGTAATAGTTGTACTTGTCTAGTGTGGTAGTTGTGTATTTGGTTGTTGCAAATGAATGTATTGAGTAGATAAACGGGGGTTAAGCCACAGAGGCATCTGTACATCATGGTGCGAACATTTGTTTTTTATGTATAGCTAAAAGAATCAATTGATGTGTGACTTCAGTGGGTTTGATGGGTGTTAGATGAGTGGATGATTTTATATCTAACATGTTAACATGTTTCACCCCTCGAAGACTTCAACACAAATCTCTACTTGCCGGCACCGCTCAGTAAATGTGTGGGATGTCACTCCTCATCACACGTTTGCCTGTGTGGAACGTACAGTGGACAGTACACCTGTGGCTGTAATCCTGGCTATTTCTGCAGTAACTGGGCAGTCATCAGTAAGTAAATATACACCGTGTGACTCATCAAATGGCATGCAGAGCAAGCAACCAATAGGCATGCAGGGTTCCTGTATTCTTCTTGCTGATTGACTGTTTGAATTTGTTTGGATTAACTCAATTAAGCCATGCCGGGTTCTCCCATGTCTATTTATTTTTCGGGTTCTCCCATGTCTGGACGTGCGTTACGATGTAGAGTTGTTCTGGCAAAAAAATCGACTTCGTTTACATCGCACCCTCTACATTCTCGTCAATACTCGCGCTGATTTTACTCAAAACTACACATGAAACATGAAACTGTTCATTACAAATGTATGTTTCAATATATCCGAATCCAAGATCGCTATATTTATGCATTGTACGATTTTTTACGATCAAAATTGTCCGGCATTTCTGGGCGCACGTTACAAAGCGCCCCCTCCCACTCGAGTGCTCCACTGCGGGAGATAGCGGGACGTCATGCGGGATATTGCGGGACGTCTCGCGGAATATCGCGTTACGTCGTAAAATGTGGTGAAGCCATCCTCTGCATTTGCTCCAAAGCAAATATTTGCTCCAAAGCAAATGCCGGCCTTTCAAGAATTCCTCCAAGTATTGTTCACTAGTCTGTTGTGGCCTTAATATTGTGTATGGTGGTTAAAACATGCCACGTTTTTATCTCTCTCTCTCTCTCTCTCTCTCTCTCTCTCTCTCTCTCTCTCTCTCTCTGCCGAATCTATACATGCTGACTAACACCATTGTTTAATCATGCTAACAACATTTGCTTATTGTTGATGAATGTATAGACAATTTGTACAACAGTAAAAGGTGCAGGAAAAAGCGATATTTTGTCTTAATGAATCGAGCATAGGTTACTAATTAGTGCTTAGGTCACATTTCCAAACCGAGACCTGACCGTATAAGAATATACAGCAATAGTGCGTATGGTTATTGTGAAAAAGTTATAGAAAGTAGTACAGCAAATATTCTTGAAGGCTGGGTAGTTGTAGTTCAATTTTCATATTTGTGAAGTGCACCCTACTATAGTTTTTATCACGTCGAAGCGAGTCATCTTGGGGTCCTTAACTATAGAAATCCCCATAGGGCGAAAACTGTGTTCTGCTACCTTATAGGGAAACTCTCCCGTTTCAGAATGCCCTCGCAACACCTACAAGGACCATGTCTCCCCTGGACCTTGTACTCCGTGTCCTCTCAATTCTGGCACACTGAAGACCGGGTCCACCTCCAGATCAGATTGTTTCTGTAATACTGGATATTACCAAGTTGGGACACCTATTGAGTATTGCAACAGTAAGTAGATGGATTAAGTGTTTTTCTTATTACTTTTGCTCTTTTTTTTCAGCGGCTGAGTGTATGCTTTGGATGTGTAGTTGGGTCTGTGTAATAGTTGTACTTGTCTAGTCTGGTAGTTGTGTATTTGGTTGTTGCAAATGAATGTATTAAGTAGATAACATGGAGGCATTTGTACACCATGGTGAAAACATTTGTTTTTTATGTATAGCTAAAAGATCATTGATGTGATGACACTTCAGTGGAGTTGATGGGTGTTAGATGAGTGATTGATTTTATATCTAACATGTTAACATGTTTCACCCCTCGAAGACTTCAACACAAATCGCTACTTGCCGTCACCGCCCAGTAAATGTGTGGGATGTGTATTAGATGTTAGGGTCCTGAAGATGGGCATTATTAGTGGGCCTCCCTGGGGTTTAGTTGCTACTTCCAGGTTCTCTCTCTATCTTTTTTTTCTGAACACGCTGATTTTATGATATTGGGTCACATGCAGCCTACGACCGAGACGAAGTGTTAGAGTCCCCTAGCAGCTTGGTTACTTGGGGTTTTGTTTGCCGATTGTCACTAGAGGCACTTTCAGTGGTGTATGCATCTAACGTTATGAAAGTGTCCACGCTGGCATATGCATGCTTACGCTAATGGGCGCAGACCCCCATTATTACCTGGTGATACATGATGACACTAGCATTCTTGTTGTGGATCGGTAAAATCTTTTAAATCAAATGTTTTCTGAAAATACATGAAATGTTCCATTGTACTGCTGTCACTGTCATTGTAATTGCAGAGGTGACCTGCAAGCCGCCGATGTATGACCCAACTGCCGTGCGCGTAGCAAGTGGTTGTGCGACACCTAGCGAATACAACAGTCAATGCAGCTTGACTTGCAAGACAGGTAGGTACTTCCTTATATAGGGACCCATACTTAGCTTGTAAGAGCATAAACGTGCGTCAAAAAAAGGTCATTACCTTCGCCAAGAAGGTTATGTTTTCCATAGCGTTTGTGTGTGTGTGCCTCTATTAAATGCTTAACGCCCTAGAATTGTCTAGACCTTTCTAACGATGATCTATTTTGGGTATGATGATGGTTTACAGGATACAACAAGAAAGGCGGAAGTGCCCTATTGACTTGCAAAAGCAGCGGCAGTTGGGACCAGCCAGTGCTGACATGCGAGAGTAAGTATTTTTACATCAAAACTAGAGTTCGGAGGGCTCATGCCTTTCGACAGTGTGATATTGTTTTGGTGGGTGTTGTGTGTGTGTATAGTGCGGCGATCCAAACGTCAAAACGGCAAAAACTCCTTCAACTAAAACATTCTTCTATACAGCCAGCGTTGTTGAAGCGTGCAATATCCAATATACGTTGAAAACAATTGCACTACAAAATGTTCACACAAAATGGCCAATTGTTGTGATGGTATGTGGTATGTAAGATAAATGGGTTCCTCCCGTTATTCGCAAATTGTATCTCTCTAGCGGGCAAACTCCCTTTACTATTCCCTTTATTTTGGCCATTGTGTACAGTATACCAACTTTTTTCCCGAATTAGGGTAAGGTTAGGGTTAGGGTTAGGGTTAGGGTTAGGACAACCGAAGGTAAAAGAAGGTCAAGTTTGGCGTCGTTTGAGAGGTAATGGTCTCAGTACTAAAGGTCCGCAAACCGTTTCCGTTTATCATCTTTGGTTTGGGATTTATAGGCGTTTGAACTTTTAAGGGCCGCCTTAAGGTAGCAACCGAAGGTACCAGAAGGTCAAGTTTGGTGTCATTTGATAGGTTATGGTCTCAGTATTAAAGATCCGCGAACCTTTTCCATTTATCATTTTTGGTTTTGGATTTCAAAGCGTTAAAAGTTTTAAGGGCCGCCTTAAGGTAGGGTTATGGTAAGGGCAACCGAAGGTACCAGAAGGTCAATTTTGGTCTCGTTTAAAAGGTAATGGACTCAGTATTAAAATTCTGCGAACCGTTGGCATTAATATTCTCTTGTTCGGAATTTATAAGCGTTTGAAGTTAAAAGAGCTGCCTTAAGGTAGGGTTTGGGTTAGGGCAACCGAAGGTACCAGAAGGTCAAGTTTGGTGTCCTTTGAAAGGTAATGGTCTCAGTATCAAGGGCCCGCATCCAATTTGCATTTATCATCTTTGGTTTGGGATTTATAACCGTTTAAAGTTTTAAGGGCCGCCTTAAGGTAGGGTTAGGGTTAGGGTTAGGGCAACCAAAGGTACCAGAAGGTTAAGTTTGGTGTCGTTTGAAAAGTAATGACCTAAGTATCAAAGGCCCGCAACCCGTTTCAGTTAATCATCTTTGGTTTGTGATTTATAAGCGTTTAAAGTTTAAAGGGCCGCCTTAAGGTAGGGTTAGGGTTAGGGCAACAGAAGGAACAGGAAGGTCAAGTTTTGTGTCGTTTGAGAGATAATGGTCTCAGTATCAACGGCCCGCAACCCGTTTTCATTTATCATCTTTGGTTTGTGATTTATAAGCGTTTGAAGTTTTAAGGGCCGCCGTAAGGTAGGGTTAGGGTTAGGGCAACCGAAGGTACCAGAAGGTTAAGTTTGGTGTCGTTTGAAAGGTATTGGTCTCAGTATCAAAGGCCCGCAACCCTTTTCAATTTATCATCTTTGGTTTGTGATTTATAAGCGTTTAAAGTTTTAAGGGCCGCCTTAAGGTAGGGTTAGGGTTAGGGCAACCGAAGGTACCAGAAGGTTAAGTTTGGTGTCGTTTGAGAGATAATGGTCTCAGTATCAACGGCCCGCAACCCGTTTTTATTTATCATCTTTGGTTTGTGATTTATAAGCGTTTGAAAGTTTTAAGGGCCGCCTTAAGGTAGGGTTAGGGTTAGGGCAACCGAAGGTACCAGAAGGTTAAGTTTGGTGTCATGTGAGAGATAATAGTCTCAGTATCAAAGGCCCGCAACCCGTTTCCGTTCATCATCTTTGAATCGGGATTTAAAAGCGTTTAAAGTTTTAAGGGCCGCCTTAAGGTAGGGTTAGGGTTAGGGCAACCGAAGGTACCAGAAGGTCAAGTTTGGTGTCGTTTGAGAGGTAATGGTCTCAGTACCAAAGGCCCGCAACCCTTTTGAATTTATCATCTTTGGTTCGGGATTTATAAGCGTTTAAAATTTTAATGGCCGCCTTAAGGTAGGGTTAGGGTTAGGGCAACCGAAGGTACCAGAAGGTTAAGTTTGGTGTCGTTTGAGAGATAATGGTCTCAGTATCAACGGCCCGCAACCCGTTTTCATTTATCATCTTTGGTTTGTGATTTATAAGCGTTTAAAGTTTTAAGGGCCGCCTTAAGGTAGGGTTAGGGTTAGGGCAACCGAAGGTACCAGAAGGTTAAGTTTGGTGTCGTTTGAGAGGTAATGGTCTCAGTATCAACGGCCCGCAAACCGTTTCCGTTTATTATCTTTGGTTTGTGATTTATAAGCGTTTAAAGTTTTAAGGGCCACCTTAAGGTAGGGTTAGGGTTAGGCCAACCGAAGGTACAAGAAGTTCAAGTTTGGTGTCGTTTGAAAGGTAATGGTCTCAGTATCAACGGCCCGCAAACCGTTTCCGTTTATCTTCTTTGGTTTGGGATTTAAAGGCGTTTGAACTTTTAAGGGTCGCCTTAAAACACATTCCAGATGTTACACTGGGGGCCACAGTGCTGTCAAATTAGCAATCGTTAAGCAAGCCCCTGCTGATGAATGTTGTTTCAACAAACAACCATTCAAAGAAAATGTTTTCGGCAGAAAGCCACTGTTGACAGCTTCCTGTCTGTAACTTGTTGTTTGAACCTAGATATAAAACCAGGCAAAGACTTCGACTGCCCTTAAAATGTTCAATCACCAAAAGCCCACTAAAGTAACGTACGGACCTCTCACGACGACCATTTCCGAACTTGATCTTCCTATCGTCAACGGTAACTTGCTCACAAAAAATCTTGAACATCCATTTGCGACTTCACGAATTATCCTGCTAACAACAATAACGACCAATACAAAAGGTCAAATTCAATGACAAAATGAGAAGATGTGATGAAAGGAAAGGATCAGCACAGGAGGAGATTTATTGCTGTTTTCGTTTGTTGTTACACTATGTTCTTTTATTCAATTTGTGTCCTAAGCTTTGTATTTCCACAGTTAGTAAATATCCTCCAAATCTATGCATCCTAATCATTTTTTTGCCCTTTCGTTCATGTATTTTAGGCCATGTTGATTTGATTATATGGATGACATCCGCGCGCGCATGAATTGTCGGCCGTTTCCAACAAAAAAGTTTTCAACCATATTGTAAATCGTACAAAACAGTTGCAAAATGAGCAAAAATATACCATAAGTTCCAAAAAAAATTAGTAAAAACTATACCAATGTCGTAGAATGCCAAAATCAAACGAAAAAAAGAAATTAACTTGAAGACTAGATTATTCGCCATATCATTCCATATAATCAAATCAACATGGCCTTATGGCACATGTCCAACTTTCCCTCCCCCACACACATATATGATAGGACAGCCCCTCCATTGTAAGCAATTGATCCCAGATGGGGAGACCAGCTGTCTCCCATATGAATCAATGCAGAGGTTGGTGGGGGTAAATCATAATATATCCAACACAAAAAGGTCCACTGCAGCAACATTGGGACCCCCCACGAGGCCGGTTTTTTGAACTTGACCTTGGCCTCTACAATGGTGGCTTGCCTACCAAAAATCATGAACATCTATCAAAATATACTTGAATTATTTTGCTCACAAGCCACAAATACAAAAAAATCCGCTGCAGTGACGTACGGACCTCCCACGAAGCTCAAACTTGCACTTGACTTTTCCCTTAACAACGGTAATCTGCCTGCCAAAAATCATGGATGTGAAATAATGCCTTCAAGAGTTATTTACCCACAATCCGGCGAGACAATTTCATAGTCCTTCTGACGAAGACAATGAAACAACACCATGTGTCATATCTAGATATTTGTTTATTATGATTTTTCACAAATTTCCCTCCGCATATAGAAACAGAGTGTCCCCGACTTGCTGCACCGCCATTCGGTAGTATTGTGGGTTCCTGTAGCAAGCTGTTTGGAGACGTGTGCACTTTCCAGTGCAGCGACGGCTATAGGATGTCCGGGTCCAGCGCCACAACTTGCACGTCTGCCGGAAGGTGGTCACACGCCACTCCAACTTGCAAGAGTAGGTTTGCAACCTATTGTTTTCTAGGATAACGTTAGTATATATATATGGTGGTGGAACGAAGTACCAATCTTCCTTGCTACGTACATACGTGTCTTTCACCTCGTGGCGCAAACGTACAAGTAAACTAGAAAGGTATCATTTGCAAAGCAAATTTTTAATGTTTACCTTCGCATATGGTCAGCTCAAACACATTCATATATATGGTCAGGCAGGAGTAGCTAAATCCCTCCTGCTATAAAATTGCAACATGATGTAACCCAACACCAGTTACCATGGTGACAGACATCTGGTTCCAGGTCATTGACCTTTTTGTTTGGAGAAGAAGAGGAAGGAGAGGAAACTGAGCACACTTTTTTTTTCTTTCGGTAAACATAACTAAATTCCGCGTTTGTTTACAGAGCTCTTTTGCTCTGCTAATGAGATCTGGTCGCCTCCTAATGGAGTTCGTCAAGGCTGTGACGATCCTCACGTGGCCGTCGGGTTCTCGTGTTCTACAACGTGTAACACCGGCTACAAACCAGTGGGAACAATCACCTTCACCTGCCTGGCCAACAACGGCGTGGCAAAGTGGGATGCACACCCTAAAGCGTGCGATGGTGAGCACTAACTATTTTTACATTGCATGATGTGAGTAAGCTATTTTTATCTATTGGCTTCTATACAGTGCATACCTGGCCTGTGCATATAGGCAGGCAGGCAGACAGTGCATTCATTACCTTCGCCAATAAGGTTAGTTAGTATGTATTGAGGAGCATTGTGTCTATGTATGTCTGTGTGCCTGTTTGTGTGTGAACGTGATAAATAGAGAAGGCTTAAATGGACTGTATCATGATTTAATAGGTGGGAATGTGTTTAAAGTTAAAACTTTTGGTCCAACACAAACATTCTCTCAATTAGAGCTTTCGACCAGTCACTCTGGTCTTCCTCAGTAGACTGACCCAGTGAGGCTTGTCACGTGGCTTCTTTGAAATGTGACGTCAACACTGGGTCAAAGGTATCTGGTAGACGATGTCGGCCCCCGTCGCGGTTAAGGGAAGGGTGATGGGCCCTGATGTAAATAGCCTCGTTCACTCCTCTAAGGAAATAGTCTTGTTCAGTGTCCAAAATTCTTGACAACAAAGGGCCCTGTCAGAAAACATACATCGGTGAAACAGAAAGGTCTATGAAGGCCAGGTTCCGAGAACATACACGTCCAAGCTCTGCCAGTTCAGAGGTTTCACAACACATCCACATAGAGTCACCACTTTGTTTCACTTGACACTGTAAGGATTTTGGACACTGAACTGGGGTCAGGGGTCACGGGCCGGAAGATGGTTGCCTTTTTGTTGCCTGGAGAGTAAGTCCTCCTGTCTTTTGTCTTTTGTTATCAGCATCCTACTACAAAAACTTAGTGCCTTCGGGATCACTGGTTCGCCAGCCATGTGGTTTCAGTCATATCTCTCTGAGAGATTTCATTGTACAGTTACAAATGGTCAAACATCTAATTTCTGTAGTGTTGAATATGGAGTGCCCCAAGGCTCCATCTTGGGGCCTCTGCTTTTCATAATGTATGTGAATGACTTGCCAAGTTGCATCCAGTCATGTCGGGTAGCCCTATATGCCGACGACACAGTGGTGTACTTCAGTCATGCAAATTTAGATACTATAAAGCGCACCCTACAGTCGGATATAGATCATTTGCAACAATGGTTCCTAGCAAACAGTCTGTCAGTCAACTCCACGAAGTGTAAGGCTATGCTAATTGGCACAAAGAAGCGACTGGAAGGAAAGGACCAGTTGCAGTTGTACATGAGTGGAAGTGTTTTGGAAGTGGTAAATTCTTTCAAGTACCTCGGCATAATTGTGGACAGTGAATTGAAATGGAACTATCACATTGATCATGTCTTATCAAAATTGAAACGAACACTTGCAGTAATGCGCCAGGTCCAACCATTCGTAAATCAGGCTGCTCTTGTCACTTTATATAATTCAATTTTCTTACCACATTTAACTTATGCATGCACAGTATGGGATGGAGCGATTTTGGTGCAGTACGACAAGCTGCAAAGAATCCAAAACAGGGTGGGAAAACTTATTCTGAAAGCTCCATATAGAACACCATCAGCAGAAATCCTATCGCGCCTTGGTTGGAAGACTGTGAAGACTATACATCAACAACAAAAACTCTGCTGGTGTATAAGGCCTTGAGAAATGCATTACCACCATACATGAGACGAGTCTTCAGCCTGAGAAGGGATGAAGTGGCACGGAATACCAGATCAGCTTCTACTGACTGTCTCATCCCTCCGAGGCCGCACTTGGAAGCTTACAGAAGAAGCTTGGCTTACTCCGGCTCAGTGGTATGGAATAACATCCAGCCCCACATTAGGGCAGCACCATCCATCCATACCTTCAAGTCACTTATGGAACAGACATAACTGGGACTCACCATGGACTTGAATTGGCTACGAACCTAATGATTTATATGTGAACTTATTTACTTACTTATTGTATTGATTTAATTACTTATTATTTATGTTTGTATTGATTTGGTTCTTATCCGTGACCCCTCCCCTCAACTTCGACCTTGTTGAAAAGCGGCCTTGCGCCGAACAAGCATTCGAAGGAAAATAAAGGCTTTGACTTGACTTGACTTGACTTGAACAAGACTATTTACTGGGAGGGGTAAAGGAGGCTCGTCTGGGTATGTGCCCGTGGTCTATTCGAACCTTTTCAAATTCAGATTAATAACAAAACTTGTTATCATTACAGTGGATATGTGCACGCCATTGACTGACCCGCAGTACGGTAAAGTTGGACCTGCTTTGTGCAAAACATCGCCTGAGTACAACACCATCTGTACATACACGTGTGGCAATGACTTCTCTCTACAAGGGCCTTCATCGGTGACATGTCTGCCCGGAGGGACGTGGTCTTCTCCAGACCCTGTTATCTGCAAAGGTATGGCGGTATTCATGATCCTCCAGATAATTAAAAAAATATCTTTAAAAAATTTAACCAGTTTTGACGTTTAGATAACCATCTGTAACCTTCCACTGGGTGTTAATGCTTTAATTATATATCACCAGCACGTCGGTAGAACGTACTGTGCCTGCGCAGAACCCGGCATTTTCGCGTTTTTCGTTGGATTTTTGGTCAACATTGCATCAGAATTTTGACTGTTGCAGAAGATATCTTTTCCGACACAACATTTGAAAACTACTGTCGAAATACTAATCTTATATGAGCGAATACAACCTTATATGAGACATTCTACCTAAGTACTATGTACAATACATTACGGGTTTCGAATTTGCGCAGGTGCTGTACGTTCTGCCGACGTGCTTATTATTTTCTCTCATGTTTCTTCTCCTCCTTCTCCTGCCATTTCGTCAAAGGGATTCAATAACTTGATTTTCGGGCCAAATTACCTGAAATTTGGTACGTAAAATGTTGCAGAACAACCTGATATGGGAACCAAACCCACACAACCTTTTTTTTTTTCGTCTCGCACATTTATCTGCCACATAAAAATCAAAGAACAGCCACATTTGAACTTTCCAAGACCTACCAAAATACTGGGTATCACAGTCTATCTAAGCCTCCTGAATTTATGCTAACCGCAAATATGTGAAATAACACACACGGACACAGACCGACAGACATACACACAGACAAACAGGCCAAAGCAATACTTTGTGAGATCCCTGAACTCTATTTGTTAATTCAATTGTGAATTTTACATTGCTAAAATAGACGAGTTGAAGCCAGTGATTGAGTGTCCTGACGACACCACTGTAACAGCCGCGGCTCAAAAGACTTCTGCAAAAATCTCTTGGACCGTCCCGACTGCCACGGATAACTCGGGGGTTCCTCCTGGTGTCACGGCAAAGATACAATCTTCCGGAAGATCTGCCAGGGAGTTGAAACAACATCCTCCGTTGTGGCTAGAAGAAGGACAACATTTCGTCACCTACACTGCAGAGGACATGGGCGGCAACAGCGCCACATGTGATTTCTCCATAAATGTCATAGGTAAGGTGGATTTCTCTTTCTGGAGCTAAATGAATTGATCAATACTTGGACTGCATGTATTGCATAGTGACACTGTGGAAGAAAAAAAACTGCTGCATTCTACCACACCCTGAACTCTGCCATAGTACGGAAAAACCACGTCGTCAATTATTGAATGTTACTTGTATATACTTGTGTATGTATTATATTAGCCTACGGTGTTAGTTTTACTGAGTATGTGGAATGTAAAATTAGGCGCAATTCAGTGTATACTGCAAGGCCGATTTGTATCGTGTTTTTGCCAATGAACCATTTGCCAATAAACCAATGTAGTCTAGCAATGACGTTTCTCGCGTCACCATATAGTGCTGGGAAATTTCACGCGATCGTATTGATTTAAAATGATTAACCACATTTGTGGAAGGATTGACATAACAGTTAACTATTACCTCTTGAAGATGTCAAACCAAAAACAAGTAAGGTTTAAACCGCAAACGTGGCAATTGTTCAAACACAGGACCTCCGGCTTCATGCCCCTTCAGAGGATTATCCTTAACTGAAGCTACTGTTAGTAGTAAACTAAAACAAAGTGTGTCAGTTCCAATGACACAGCATTGAGGCCTGCGAGGGACATTCGAACCCCCAGAACTTTTGGATTCTGAGTGAAATACTAACCACAAGACCATGTTCCACCTTTCCACCATAGACCACAAGTTAAATCAATTACTGACGAATATATTTTGTTATGAATAGTTACGAGGTGTAGAAGACTGGGGAGCCCAACCAATGGAGCAACAATACCAGCTACATGTGCCGAGCTTCGTGGATCAAAATGCCAATTCACGTGTGACCAAGGCTATGATCTGATCGGTGCAGACGAGGTTACGTGTCAGGATGACAGCACATGGTCCCACCCTCCACCAACATGTCAAGGTACAGACATTATACAAAAAAGAGTTCTCATAGTGTACATAGAACCCAAACGTTCTGGGAATGATTAATGAAGTTTGAAAAATGAAACTGTAATTTTGTTGAATTTCAATAGTTTGAATTGTGCCAGATCTCTACCTAACCATCACATACTATACTAACGGGGGGGGGGGGTGCCCTAACTTCGGATGGACTTTTTACTGGTCTTATTATGCTATACGGTCATTTTCACCAATCATAACAATGGCGCTGGAACGAGAGTCACTGCATTGCGGCGGATGGTGTCCAGAATCACGACCTGTACCAAGATTTGACTCGTGCCCAGAAATAAACTTGTTTCAGCAAGGTGTACAACTCGACTAACCCATTCAACTAGCTGGAAAAAAAGCTAAAATATGTTTAGATATGATTTCTGTACCGCATGGCATGTGCGTTTTATTGACTGGCATTCATATACTCATCAATTCAATGGTTTCAATAGTATTATATTTCAATTTTTACAAATGGAAGCAATTGCAGTCATTCAAAATTCGTATTTCGATATTGCAGTTGTAAGATGCCCCTCATTAAATCCTCCTGCCCACTCAACAATGTCGGGATGTGTCAGCCCGACTTCTGAACCGTACGGAAAAGTCTGCTTCTTCAGATGTATAGCAGGATACTCCCGGAAGTCTGGAGCTACATCTCGGCAGTGCATGAACGACGCTACGTGGTCGGGAAGTGAACTACAATGTGAAGGTACCGGTCTGAGCACACAAACACTCACACACACACACACACACACACACACACACACATGTGCACACACACAAATACACACAAACACACACACACACACACAAATACAAACACACTCACACACGCACACACGCACACACACAAATACAAACACACTCACACACGCACACACGCACACACACACACACACAAATACAAACACACGCACACACACACGCACACACACACACACGCGCGCTGCATCAATTTATACTTGCGGTGCTTTGAAGTTAGATACATATTATTAACATGCATTATCAAGCTTTTGAATTGTGTTTATTCCTGTGTTTACTATAATTCCTAATAAAAATCAATGTGTACGATTAATTGCAAACGCCGTTGTAACCCAATGATCCTTACAGTATCTCCGTTTCTGTGCACAGTAACTAAGTGTCTCGGTTTGCCTGAACCATTGCACGGCACCGTTACCCCTACATCCTGTTCCTTACCATCGGAGTACGGCACCGTCTGTTCTTTTTCGTGCCAGAGTGGGTTTGAGGTTGTCGGCCCTTCTGTGAAGACCTGCCTGTACACAGGCATTTGGTCCAACCAGGCAATCTCCACCATTTGCCAAGGTATCTTACACAGCTGGCTACATTTCGTAATAGTATAAGTCCTTCCTCGCACCATACATATGGTGTACGCAGTATCGGGTGGCGCCTTATAGCCCTGGATCTTCTGTTTCAACTTGACATTAAAACGAGATGTTGTACCTAAAGCAAATGCAAATGCAAAAGGAAACATATTACTACCTACAGAATGAATAACCGGTAGGTCCAAAGATTGAATTTCGATATGATCAGTTTTTTTCCTGAATACCGGTATTAGATACACAAGTACCCCAGTTCCATGGATGCCCTCCAGACCAATATTCTAGCGCAGGACCTGGAAACGTGGATGTTGAAGTAACGTGGAGAGAGCCGACTGCAATGGACAATTCAGGAACACCCCCTACTGTATCTCTTGTGGAAGGAAAAGCATCAGGTGACTTCCTCCGTTGTGGTTAAAAATTAAAACTTGGTTGCCTTTTGCTCTGTAGATACGGTTAACCGGTTATAGGCATGACACTAACGCCATTTCTGAATTTATCTAGATGGTTATGTGGGTTACAGCAATGAGACATGTCTTTGATTTAAAGGAAAACGGTTATACATTAATTGTTTTATTCATTTCTTGTAGGATCACGGTTTCCTGAAGGTACACATAACATCAGGTACACAGCAGCAGACGCAACGGGCCTGGCAACGGATTGTTCGTTCAGGATCGATGTGAACGGTAAGTCAGATGGCTTGGATTGCATCCCTAATGATTGTCTTTCTGTGAGGTCACTTCTTCTATACGTTGTTAGCGTGAGGCCACATACAATGGCTTGATTTTATAGATGGCATCCTCAATTTAGGCACTCCAAAATATGCGAGCATGCAAAAAAAAGTTGGGCAAGAAAACTGCCTTTATTATGAAATCCAAGTAGTCAGAGAGGTTGAACAAATAGCTGAACACACATATGAATGGACAAACAAGAATTCCTTAATTTTATTCAATAATTACCTCCATGAAAAATGGAGGTATTGTTTTTGGTGTGTGTGTGTGCGTGTGTTTCCGCACATTTGTAGTCAGCACAACTTCAGAACACCTTTATGGATTGTGATGACACTTGGCATATTATTAGGTCGTAGGAAGAGTCAAGGTCAAATATGGGCCTCCTGGTGGATGACCTTGGTACTGCAGCAGAAATTCCTGTTTTGTATATTTTGTCCTGAACATGCTATGGTCTTGACGTTTTGGTGACAGATAGCTCTGTCTATCAGAAATAAGTGGTGTGGGTTTGGTCCCCCTAGCAACTTAATCTGGAACTGCAGGCGACTTTCTGGCGAAATCTTTTAAAGCGAATAAGTCCAGAAAGGAACAACGTATTTTCATCATTTTTGTAGGTACGTAGCTGAGAGAGAGTCGTACATGATTAAATGCAAGTTATGCAAATGATGACCTAATTTGCATAATTAATGTGAAAATTCCGTGAACTCCTTATTGGTGAATGATGGGAATTCTATACCTTGTGACATTTGTAAGTTACTTAAATGTTAACAACACTATGCTTATATTATGTTAATATAGAAGTAATTTGCATAATTAATGTGGACATGTTGACATGAGTTTGACATATAAAATATTAAACTAATTATTAAACTAGATTATGTTGTAACACAGTTTATCCATGACATCCACGCGCGTCTGTTCCAAAAAAGTACAACCATTCAAAGTAGTGCTTTTAGGTACTTAAAAGATGAGGTCGAACGGAATAAAGACGGAATAAAGGTGTATGCCATTTGAAAGCTCCTACGCTTTTACCTCTACGTTGTGTGTACTTGTTTAAATCCTACTGATAATTATTAATGAGTACCTCTTGAAAATCTGATGGATTTTATGACGGGCTCATTTGGATCTCTTTCAGTTGCTTACTGCTCCAATATGGCCTCTCTGGCACGGGGTAAAACCATCTGTAACCATAGCGACAGACGGTATGGAACAACCTGCCAGTTTTCCTGCAACCCTGGCTATAAACTTGTTGGTGCCAGCACGACCGTTTGCACTAAAATGACGGGAAACAATGCGCAATGGTCATCCCCTACCCGAACATGCGAAGGTGACAGTTTACGCACTACACGCACACAAATACATTCACGAAACCCTGATGCCATTGAGGTTATCTATCTTATTTATATTAGCTTTATGATTTCAATGTTGAAGAATGACTGATAGAAATATCACTATATATAGTGGTTCATCCATAGAATTAGCTATATGATTTCAATGTTGAAGAATATAAATTTACTATAGTTATAGAAATATCACTATAGTAAATGAATAGCAAAGTTCTTTGATCACAGCCAATTATTTTTTCACGAGCCGACGTTTCGATAACCGTCTGTCATCTTCATCAGGGTAATTCTATCAAAGAAATCGTTGCATCATTCATCATATTGTAACGTAAGAGCATAGAAATATCACTATAGTTCATTCATAGAATTAGCTATGTGATTTCAATGTTGAATTGTCCTGATGATGATGCCCTGATGAAGATGACAGACGGTCATCGAAACGTCGGCTCGTAAATAATAAATGGTTGTGATCAAAGGACTTTGCTATTCATTCGTTTACCAACCTCATGAAATTATTTACGGATATCACTATAGTAGCTCATTCATAAGAATTATCTATATTTAATAATGACTAATAGAAATCGTTGCATCATTTATCATATTGTAACATTAGAGCAAAGTATCCATGATATGAACCTACCAAATTTGATTACGCAAAGGAAAAGGTGCCAATAACAAGAAAATCTATGTTTACTTACTACACTACTTATGCTGAGGTCACATTTCCAAACCGGGGCCCGACCGGGCAGTCTTATGGAACGAAAAGTATGATATAAAAGACAACAAAGCACAAAAAGTTGAAAAAATTAATAATGGGAACTATTTGCGTATATCATTGATATAAATTGTTGACTTTTCGTTAATCCAAACAGCCCGGTCGGGCCCCGGTTTGGAAATGTGACCTCAGCATTACTTACTAAATTATGTGTCATTTTACACTATAATCATTGCATTCTACTGTATGGCATTACAAAATCAATGAAGAAGAATTTCAACAGTTTCAAATAGTTATTGTATTAAACAATACTTTTCTATTTCAACCTCAGTTGTGACCTGCAGCGCACTGCCAGGACCAGTCAATGGCCGGAAATTTGGCTGCAACAAGGCCGAGGAAGACTTCGGAGCGGTGTGTAGCTTTTACTGTAATGAAGGGTACAGCCCAAAATCTCCCCATCAGCGAATCTGTTTGGAGAATGGAACCTGGTCCGGGACGCCATTAGCTTGTGAAAGTACGTATTACTATGTAGCAGTTTACTTGTGTCACGTTTACCAATAAACAACTGTTGCTCACATACTCAACCAGTTGTCATTAATGTACAACGTGTGATCCGTAATGCTGAGGTCACATTTCCAAACCGGGGCCCGGCCCGGCAGCTTTCGGGAACGAAAAGTACGATATAAAAGTCAACAAAACACAGAAACGTTTTTGATGATAATCATGGGCACTATATCTATATACTCTTGATATGGATTGTTAATTTTTCGTTCATACAGACAGTCCGGCCGGGCCCCGGTTTGGAAATGTGACCTAAGCATAACGTCCTTTATGCAAAACGGTTACGTTTGATATTTCATGATGCACATTTACATGACGTACAATGCATGTTTCTTAGACAACAAAATGATGGTGCGACTTCACATTTGCAATCATTACACAGTTGATGCTTGCCCACCTCTGATGTCACCCAAACACGGAAAGTGGACGCCTGGGAAATGTTCAATCAACCCACTTTATGGCCAGCAGTGCTTCGCGACCTGCGATGCCGGGTACAGTTTGATTGCTGGGACTCGATGGAACAAGTGTCTCGATGGTGGCCATTGGCAATATGATAGTCTCATTGACTGTAAAGGTAAGCCTGGAAATACTAAGGTTCAATGTTAAAAGTACAGCTTTAGACTTAAGGTAACATTATAATCACTATAGCTAGTTAGTTGACCTACCGTTCTGTTTTTTTTGTGTACGTTACATCCGGATTTCGTAGGTGATGCTAACGGATGACGCTATTTTTGAACACTGACAGATGTGCATAAGCCAGTGTTCTATGACTGCCCAGCTGACTTTCACGTTACTGCAGACGGCGGATCTACAACTGTGAACGTAACCTGGATATCTCCAACAGCAACAGATAATACAGGTATTCGTCGGCTGTAGGTTGAGAAATGTGACATTTTCATAAAACTATAATGTGGTAAGTTTATTGAATGTGATTTACTAGTAACTAGAGAACTAACATTTGCAATGCAAATGCATAATGTTTACCTTCGGACATAGTCTGCTCTGTTAATTCTTACTCAAACACATTCACATACATGTACTACTAGTATATGGTGACAGGAGCGGAGCAGACCATGAAATTGCAACATTATGTAACCCAACACCAGTCACCATGGTGACAGACGTCAACAAATCATGTCATTGGTCAGGTCAGAAGTAACTGGAGAGGAAGAAGAAGAGGAAGAAACTGAGAAAAAAAATGTTTTCTTTCGGTAAACTTTCGTCCAAAATTAATGTTGCAATTAATCAAAACACCAAAACACTACCAGAGACAAGGAAAATTAAAGTATAGAACTCGAATCAATTTCTGCAAGACGGTGCGCATGGATAAATAGCATGGATAAATAGCAAAAGTGATATATTTATTTCGATAGGGGTGTATTGCTGACAGTCTCTATTCAATAGTTTAGTTATAAGCAAAAAGTTTAATCCGGATTCCGCTCAAAGTAATAACTTTTCCATAGACTTGCAGGCTCCACGATTTTCCACATGTCCATCGGACCTAGTTTTGTATGCTGACAAGGGAGAGGCATTCACAGTTGTCACATGGACAGAACCGACAGCAAACGAGAATGTCACGCGAATGCAAGGTCCACCTCCAGGTACATCATCTTTACTCCTTTGTTGTGATTCAAACATGCAAACAGTGTGACAAAAATCTTATATAGATCGATGATTTAATGGTCCATCTACATTTTGTATGATTTTAAAATGTATTAATACACTCTCATAAACCTATCATTGTATTGCCTGCCTAAACAGGAAGTATATTTGCTGAAGGCACGCACACAGTCATGTACGTCGCAACGAATTCGGTGGGTTTGATCGCCACTTGCAGCTTCAGGGTTACCGTACAAGGTAAGTACGTCCATTCTCATACCATAAATACAAAAGAGATTTCAACTCTGCTCCAGATGCGACAAGGAGTCATCGTATGCAAGTGCACTCGTCACTGGGTCTTATATTGTCTGCGAACTCTAAATGGCATTTTTTGTTGCTTGTCGGCTTTAATGTGCCCGGTGTTCCCTCGATTATTGCGCGATTTTAGACATTTGCGATTTTAGACAGGCGACTGAGCCCCACCGAATGTAATAGGATAGATTACAGGCAAAAAAAATGCTATCGACTATCACAATTTTGAAATTCAGCCACCTTCTGATGATGCGGCCAAAGATCAGTGTTTGACAGAAGTATGTTTTTTTCAGTTCTGTATTGCTCAATGATAAGCTCACCAAGACGAGGAAGCATGGCTTGTGACCATAACGATGATAGATACGGTACGGTGTGTCGATTTTCCTGTGAGGAGGGCAATGAACTGGTTGGAACAGCCTCGATAGAATGTACGAAGGACGCTAGCAACTCCACACGCTGGACATCATCACCACCAACTTGTGCGGGTGAGCACTTCAGTATAACTTATATTTGATGCTGTATTAGCCATAATTATCATGCGAGCGGAAAACACCATGCAGTAAGATCTGATTAGTGATATTAATATACAGGTGTACTTGCTAATGTTAAAGAATCGTTAGGTTTAAAAGTTTAAAAAAATATTTAGAGTACGAAGTGTGGATTTCATGAAGTATTCTCCAATTTCTTTTCCCAGTTGTGACATGTAGGTCATTAGATTCACCAGCCAATGGCACGAAGACAGGATGTAGTAACACCGAGGAGGAGATCTATGGTACGGTCTGCAATTTTCATTGTAACGAAGGGTACAGTCCCAAAACCGTTCAACACCGCAGTTGTCAGCAAGACGGGACTTGGTCTGGCACAGATTTACACTGTGAAAGTAAGTATGTCGAACTGGACTTGACGATACATCAATGCTTGATCTCTAATTTCCTAGCACTGCATTACTTGTTTCCTGCCATGTTAATGTTCGTATTGGCCAGGCCTGGGGAGCATGCCACGCCCTAACAAAGGTGTGGAAGGCCCCCATCCAGAATACCACAAAGTTAAAAGTCTTTAAGTCCTGTGTAGAGCCTATTTTGTTGTATAGTTCCGACTCATGGACTTTAACTAAAGCCTTGTCCAAGAAACTGAATGGTAACTACACGCGCCTGCTTCGGTGCGTGCTGAATGTTCAATGGCAGAGCCGCATGAGTAACAAAGAACTCTACAACGGTCTACCCCTGATTACCCAGACCATTCAGAACAGACGACTGGCCCTTGCCGGTCATGTGGTACGCCACGAAGAGATGGCTGCCAAAGTGCTTCTCTGGCAACCAGATGTAAAAAGAAGGAGAGGACGTCCGTGCCTAACGCTAAAGAAACTGATTGAGGAAGAGGTTGGCCTACGGGATGAGGAACTTCTGTCCGCCATGCGCGACAGAGTCACGTGGAGAGACATTATGAATGGCACCTCAAAAGAGGATGCCCTGAACTGAACTGAACTGCATTACTTAATAACTGCCATTATCTTTCGGACGATTTCATTGACTTTCAACCAAGGCATACCATTTGCTCTCCATGGGAAAATCTTTTCTTTCTAGATAGCTCCAGGATTCCAGTTAGATATTACACATCAATTACGTTCCAGTGTACGATTATTGTAAAAGGAACTTAGATAGGTAACCTTTGCAAAGAAAATGCAAATGTTCCAGAAATGCTATGTTTATTCCTCTTTAAACACATCATGATTCTTGGAGACCAGCCTCTCATCTCTGTCCTGCTACAAAATGTAGCACAACATGTAGCACCAAACCCAGCGCCAAAGGGTTTGTTACCGTAGTGACAGATGTCTGGTCCATACAATTTATCTTATGTTTTTAAGGAGAAGAAGATGAAGAGGCAGAAATAGAGTAAAAAACATTGTGCATTCCTTCTGCTAAGGTAAACATAAAAAGAATTAGAGAAACAGGGCTGGGATAAGCTTAGGTCAATTATTCTATTATATAGAAGGTCGATGCATCGTTTTTTTTTTTTTTTTTTTACAGTTGATACCTGTTCACCTCTGACTGATCCTCCGCAAGGACACGTGTCTCCTACGGCCTGCACTACTACCTCCTCTGTTTTCAACGAAGACTGTGTCTATGTGTGTAATGAGGGCTACTCTTTCGAGGGAAGTTCTCACAGCGTCAAATGTCTTGACGGTGGTCGATGGTCGGTTAATAAAACTGCTAAATGTACAGGTAAGGCTTGACGTGTATTTGGATAAAAAAACAAAAGGCTACTGTAATGATGTTCTTTTACCAAGCATTAATTTATTGAAAGCAATACTTATACCTTACACGAGCATCATTTGCACATGCAGCTGTAACTTGCCCAGCCTTGCCACACCCTGTCAATGGCATCAAGTCTGGATGCGATAATACGATTGAGTCCTACAATACGTCCTGTGGCCTCCAGTGTAACATGGGGTACAGCCCAAAGAAAGTTCAACTCCGGACATGTCAGCAGGACGGAACGTGGTCTGGGGATTCACTGCACTGTACAAGTCAGTATTGTTGTAGCTTTGACAACTACATCTTCAAACCATGAAGTTGCAATGAATTTAATATTAGTTTGCTGCTAAATTTTATTCTAATTATGCTATCTATTTAGTTACGTGCTATTCTTCGTAAGGCAATTATTATGCAGCCAATATCACTGCACTTGTTATTAACAAGATGCAACAGCTGCTATAGCTACCCAATCTTTCTGTCTGTGTATGTATTATCAAAATATTATGTATATATATGTTTTAAAAAATGCCTTATACTGTTAGTGAAAAATAAGTTCCCATAATGTATGTAACTTGTGTGGAAGATTGACAACTATGCATCATCTGGTGATTTGTTGATGAAGAAACTGACTGGTAACGTTAGAGATATGGGGGGGGGGGTAGCCTGGTTACCAAACCTATTATAGCTCCCGATTCCTACATCCTCTTCGCAAATAGAGGCTGTAGGACTCGGGAGCCAAAATAGGTTTGGTAACCAGGCAGTTGGGGGGGGGGCATAGTAAGGCTATGTCATTTGGAACAAGGACAAAAGATCAGAGGTTTCCCTCACATTACAGTCGATACATGTCCGCCATTAAGAACTCCGCCGAATGGACATCTAGCACCTGCTGCCTGTGCCGTATCGCCAGTGTTTGGTCAAGAGTGCACATACTCTTGTGACGTAGGCTATACGCTCACCGGAAAAGATCAAAGTATGACATGTTTGGATGGTGGTCGATGGCAGTACGACGAACCTACATGCAAATGTAAGTCTACATTGATTTGATTTCACTTGACTTGATTTATTAAGCTGTATAAGAATATACAACCAGGACTGCCCAGCCAACTAACCTGAGGCTATTATAAAGGGCCTCATAAACCCTCATAATAGGACAAGAAACAATTATAAACAATTAACAATGTCAGTTACAATTCAAATACATCAACATACTATTAGGTAACAGCTAAGTTAGTGGGGTTTCTAGTATTACCGAGTCGACTTGAAGGGCCGGGATGCATCGATGCCTGTCGAGGTCTTTCCTAGTGCAGATTTGCCGTAAGTGAAGAACCGCCTGGTGTTGCCGGTCTCCACGTCGTTCACGAGATCCTCACTATAAATTGTCTCCACCTTTTTTGTGAGATTGGTCACAAGATTTCTTTGTCTTCTCAAACTGGCCCAGGCGTCCTCGGTGTTACCCGTTTTGCCCTGGAGTGCAGGCGGTGTTTTCTATGGATAGCGGCTCGGATTTGTTTATTAGAGTTTATCCACGGCTGATGTTCAGGGAATCCATATTCACACACACTAAAGCTTCGATCCCAATTACGCTGGTGCCCGTCGGGGATGTAGCCCCGGCCGGCCCCGGTCGGGCTCAGGAGTCGGGCGGGCACCGGCTGTCGTGGTCACAATTATAAGTTTCCTTCAGTAGCATTTTGTTAAAAATTTTGTCACCCTCTTTGGTCGGTTTCCGGCAGGCACCCGGCAGGTACCAAGCAGATTCTCTGACAATGTCTTGTACTGACCTATACGTTATGCAGAATTCACGCTTTTGTTGTGATCATTTGATCTTAGACGTCACACATTTTACCCGGGTTTACGAAGTACACACCTTTATTCTGTTAGTCTGTTCTGTGATGTACCAAATGTGTCCCGGTGGACTGCCGGCAACCAGAGGGATACCTCTCGGTGTTCTCACGGTGAGGTCACGGCGTCTTTTTGTCAGCGGGGCCCTGGTAGAATTTAAGTCAGAATTAAATTCTTCTCGGGTCCCCGCCGGGCCCAAAAATAGTCCGGTAGCCGCAGGGTGTCCCGCGGGACCACGTACGGGTCACGCCCGAAAGTGCCAAAAAACAGCCCGGGGACTACCCGGCAGGGCCCCTTTTTTCGATTGGGATCGAAGCAGAACACACACACACATACACAAGAACACACGTGTTATATATGGAGAGTTAGAAAGAGATAAAGATATATCAAGCAAATTTAGATTTAGATTTAGATAGGAAGATACAAGTTTAACGAAAGTATGAAACAATCGAAGATACTCGTACAACAGTAACATTTGTATATATGTTGCGATGCACGTTTAGTGGTGACGTGCTCCGGCCTGGCAACACCACAACGTGGGACCATCAGCCCACAGTCTTGCAAGTCAACTGCGGACTATAATACAGTGTGCTCCTTCAACTGTGACAGCGGCTATCAAGTCAGCGGCCCCTCTCAGAAGACCTGCAGGCATACTGGCCTTTGGACTGACGAAGGCACCTCAACAACATGCATAGGTATATAGAACTGAATCTTTTCTGATAATGGCTGGAATGAAACTTAAATCTCTCAAATGTTCTAAATGTCTACCTGTTAAGTAGTTCTTTTTACAACCACGTCCTTATAATGCACGAAAACACCAATCTACTGTATAACTGCAGTCCTAATAACAGTATCACCTTCAATTCAAGGATTAGTTTCCAACGATAAAATGTCTGCCCTTTCTTTGAGCAGATGCCACGGGGCCAGAATTCACAAGCTGCCCAACTAGCCAGATACTAGATGCGGCCTCAGGCAAAATAAATGCTATAGCTACGTGGACTTTGCCAACAGCCACTGACAACTCTGGAACTGCACCAACAGTAGTCCGTGTGGAGGGACCGCCCCCAGGTCAGACAAACAATTGCATCTAAACACAGTAATGTTAACTCTTTTATTCATTTGTCAGACTATGTAATACCAATGGGCTCTAATGGTTTCGTCACTGTGTCAAATAGTTTTCAGCACACATATGCCATCATATATCATCATAATGTGCACAGTATCACTTTACTTTTCATTTTGTTCATTTCTTTTAATGACTGTTTGAGAGTTCCGATTACTTCAAAATGACGATGATAATCAACGTTATGCTTGCTAAGTACAAGGCATGAAACCAATTTTTTTCCAAAACCAAACTATTAACAGCCATATAGTTAAAACCCTCCAGCTATTTTTCATTATGGCGAGCGACGCGAGGTATGCTGCGGAGGGACGATTTTGCCGCCAAAGGGAGTTTTGCCACGGAGAGAAGGTTTCCCGCTCCATGGGCAGCGGCATTATTTTTTCGGTGAGCGACGCGAGTTATGCCGCGGAGAGAAGGTTTCCCGCTCCTTGTTGGGCACAACTCGCGTCGAAAAAATAATGCCGCCGCTCAACAAGTCTGCTATACGGCTGTTAATACCTATCTCACATACAAAGAATGAGCCGATTTGGCCGACCCCCATCTTCCGACCTCTGCCTGGTTTTGCCGGGTTTTCTCGTACAATGACTCAGTGTTGATTGCCGAATATGCAATATAAAAGCAGCAGTAGTCACGGCTAGGGACCGGGCAACTGGTAGTTACCTTACGCATAGGAGCACGGGACAAATTTCTGGCCTGAGCCATTAGGTATGTAGGCAGGAACTGCAAGTCACAATTGTACTCTATTTTCATTAGGGAGCTCATTTGATGATGGAACTCATACAATCAGGTACACTGCCACTGATGGAGCGGCACACAGTACCGACTGCCTGTTTACAATACGAGTGAAAGGTACGATTTCAATGAGTGTTTCTGATGCAAGTAGCAATATATGCCGGGGAGACATAGGAACTGCAAGTCATCATCATCATCAGTCCTTCTCTTATAGATGTAAAGCAAAAAAATTTAGTTTCCTGGCCTGTTTGTCTAAATCTATTCATCTATACAAATCCAGTCTATCAACATGAATTAAATGAATTATGATATGCGAGTCTATATCAAAGTATTATGTTTCAGTACAGACAAGCATGCATGATCTTGATGGATTTTCCACGTTAATACGTGATACATTCTCAGAGATTGATTGCACAGTGCAATCGTTTTATATAATACGACGCTTGCACCATCGTATGTCAGTCTTCCTATTGTATTTCAATCTCGATCTTGGAGACAGATTTGAATATATCTTTACATGTAATGGTCCCAAAAATAGGTAGATATATAAAGGAATGCTTTGTTATTAGAAGAAAATACCGAAACTTTTGATTAGCCCAATCGATTGTAACACTTTATCAAAGACTTCTGCTATCCCTTATTATTTGAATAATTATGATATAGATATGTTACGTTTTCTTCCACATTAGGTCTTGTTCAACACACTTATTTTATTGTTGTTACTCTCTATATGTAGTTTGCCATACATTGTACCATGTGCAATTGTCGTGCAATAAAGATTTTTTTTATCATACCACAGTGCTGTACTGCACCTCCTTGGTGTCTGCAACGAGTGGGTCGATGACTTGTGACTATGGTGACAGACGTTTTGGAACAACATGTACATTCACTTGTAACTCCGGATACCGCATGGTAGGGTCAAGCACTACCGCATGCAGCAAAGATGTCAGCGGTGGTTCACACTGGACATCATCCGTGCCAATTTGTCAAGGTTTGTTAACCTCATGATCATGACCAAAATACATGCCGTGTCGTCATGTTTAGAGAATAAGTGAAATGGCATACGCTTTATAAATGTCAAACAACGTTATCGTGGACGAGCTTCCTATTCCAACAATTTATAATCGTATACAACGTACAAACATAGATTTTGATATCATTACAAACAAAACAAATATCGTTCATGCACTAGCTGTCATTTTGATGTATTTAAATTTGTTGCACTAAAGGTACAAATGTTAATAGTCAACGTATATTACATTACGTAGATGATTTCTGGTCATCGTTTTTTTTCTTTACTCATTGCTAAGTTGCACGTTAGTCTTTAAAGTATTTCTTTATTTCATACATTCATTTTTTTTTGTTTACAGCTTTTAATTTCTGCATTATCTAATACAATTATTATCTAATACAATTATTATCTATTTTTATCTCTTTGCGTGTACGGGGCGTCTGAGTAGGTGCTATATCTATGTCAGCACACATGTACAAGGTTCTATAGCATGGATGAATAAATGCGATGAATGCTTTCCCTCAGTTGACAACTGTCCATCATTAAGCAATCCAACCCATGGACAAGTGTCTCCGTCGTCATGCACAGCGAGTCCTTCTGTCAATCAAGAATGTACGTTCGTATGCAACACTGGGTACACCTTGTTCGGGACAGGTGTCAACAGGTGTTTGTCCGGTGGCACCTGGCAAAAGGCCCATACAACAACGTGTGAAGGTATCTTGTTCACTGTTTGAGATTTACATGTATTTACTTTGTTTAATTTGGTCGAATTCCCGCTCTAACTAAAGAGAGTCCCTCATTATAGATCATCTATCAGGGACTTGATCTCCCTCACTGCTAGCAGGTTGATGTAGGATCCGACATCATCCAATAATATTACTTTGTCTCAAACATATCCGTTTAAAATTCAACAGTCACGACAAAAACATGTTCAAAGATATTCCTAGTCAGTAATACAAATTAGTCTTTATGGCAACTGATTTCCTTCTTATACATTCTTGTATATTCAGATGTAGACAAACCGGTTTTCCACAACTGCCCTGGCGACATCCAGGCAACTGCAGGCGCGGGTTCATCGGTGGCCCATGTTACCTGGACCATTCCAACTGCGACGGATTCCACAGGTAAAAATGCTGTATTCCAAAACATTCTGTACATATATTCCAACACCACCCACCGCGCATGGAATAAAAGATGTAGAAATAGTTCTGTGTTCCAAAAGCTTTCCGTTCCCAAACATTCCGTTATAGTACAGGCGTGGTACGCAATGGGATATACACCATCTACATGTTTAAGATATAACACCTTTTGTCGCATAGTTCAAGTACCGTACGAACATATACAAACTGTCGGTGGTTCCCCAGCTAGCAAAAAAAAGATGACGCTAAGAACAGAATTTTTACTAGTCCTAAATGACATTTAAGATTGCAATAAAGTAAGTATAATGTAGGTTCTTGCTTAAATGTGCTCGAATGTTCCTTCGTGGCAGGTACGTCTGTCCATGTCACTGCGTCAGGAGTGCGTTCAACGTTCGGGGAAGGTTCACATGCCATCAGCTACACTGCAACAGACAATGCCGGAAATGTTGCAAGGTGCCAGTTTGCTGTCATCGTCACAGGTAAGCTTACTGATTTATATAGGTCTCCTTGTGGAACATACTAATTATTCTGAAATAAAGACTAATTTCTTACTTGTACCAACACAGATGCACTTTCAAAGTTTCATGCTAAGATACTCATTATTCATTAATTCCTTTGTTTACACAGTGATAACATATTACTACTTTTTTTTAAATAGTATATCGATGTGCAACTCTATCATCGCCCACCAATGGTCAAATCCAAGGCTCCTGCAGTAACCTGCGCGGGAGCAGCTGTACTCTGGGCTGTCGTCCGGGATACTTAACCTCCGGATCCACAACTAGAACATGTGTCTTCAATGCTTACTTGTCTACCACCTACTGGGACGGCACTACAACTATCTGTCAAAGTACGTTACCATTTTAACGTATTACATATATTGCACAGTATGCATGTGTACCCCCATTTCATTCTTTTTGCAATCAGGTAACTATATATGTATGGCATATAAATGACAAACAGTAAACTGTAGTGTTTTTAAACATAACCAAGATGTTGTGGAAATAAGTTTCCATCATCTGTTTGTGTTATTTGGATGTTGCTCAATTCACCTATCTTGTGTTATGACTGCTAGGCTAATTGACGCTATTAGTCTAATTGAGTTGGATTCAGCCTGACTTGGCTGCTAGTCTAATTGACTTGGAATGCTGTTTAGTTAAACGATCCACTGGTTGGTATGTGCAGATTTTCAGTTACACCGCGGTCCTTTTCCGTCACTATTAACTGACACTGCATGCGTTGAGCCAAAAACATGACTTCCATGATCATCAACGGATTGAAGAACGTTTTGATTTGACACAATCTCAACTTTCAGAACCTGCACCAGGGTGTCCAACCGTCTACATCTCCGGGTCAACCACTGTCCAAACTAGCCTCATGACGTCCTACACGAGGACGGCAAATACGAATGCTGAACGCGCAGTTTACTCAAGTGACAGCACCAACGATTACCTCTACTTTTACGAAGATAACGCTCGAGATATTCGGCGATGGTGCATCGGTCCTACCATTGGGCAGGAAAGGGGTTCGGCTTACGTTACAGCTGTCCACTTTAATCCAGAGGATATCGATGGAACCTGGATAATGTGGGGGCAGCTGTCTTGGCAACCTTTTTCACAAGTTCGATGCAGCTGCTATGGTATGCAAATATTAAAACTTACCTCTAAACCAAATTTTCGATACTAATACAGCATAAATCAAAAGTTGACATCATGATAATTTCAAACTATTCTTCCGATGTCCGTAGATAGTCTTCTTAGTTCGAGTGAATCAATTCAATACAGCTTTATCAGGTCCACAACCATGCTTTATCTTTTTTTATCCCTGCAGACGTTTTGGCGACCTATTTGTCGAAGTCAGCAGGGCAAACTTGTATGAACATTACTGTCCTAGATGATCATGACGAACAGTCATATTGTTCTCAAACGTAGGCGGATATAAAAATCTGGTTGTGAAACAAAGAATATTATGTTGTATTCTGGTAGACTTGGTTATTACTGAATGTAAAGTTGAACCTGATACTTTATTTTAAGCAAAAAATTGTTGGGCGAGGCAAACCAAAAATGATCTGATGGTCTCTAGAATTTTTTAAGAACTTAATTTAAAAACTCGTTGGATCCCTGTATTTCTAGGAAGTCAAACAGCACTTACAAAGTGATTTGGCATCTCAGCAATATGTTGAACCTTTGATAACATATAAAGAAGACACGTATCGTCTGTGTAATACATTGCCTGTGATCTACCGTTCCGTAGACCGCTCCCCGGGCTGCTCTACCATCCGTATTGCTGGCTCCACAACGGTCCAGACCGACCGAATGACGTCATATACGATGACGGGTCAGACACTTACCGGGCGCCCTGTCTACGCCAGCGACAGCACCGACGATTTTCTGTACTTCTACGAAGACTTCAATGAATGGGTGGTTGGCCCAACACTCGGTGACGCCTCTCGTGGTGTTAACACTGAAGATCGCCATCTAACACCCGAGGAAATCCTCGAACCATGGAACCTGTGGACAGGAACTCAATGGCAGGTCTTCCCCACTGTTGGTGCATCCTGTTACAGTATGTATCTTTTAATACTAGTATGCTGTGTTAATAAGGCAATCGCTGTAAAAAAATATGGCTTGTAAGAACTAGAAACGCACGAACTTACGAGCTAAATTGCGAACAAGTGATGACATGACAATAATTACCTCCGGGGGAGGAGACATCCTTCCGCGGAAGGGTTTTGTGAGAGATTTAGATTTTCATGTTCGCAGCTGTATCTCGCGTTTGGGTGGACGGATTTTTTGGGACTCGGTGTATGTTTTGCTATTGGGCAGTAGATTATTCACGTTCTTTTGTTTTTATTGTATATGTGTTTTCGGGTATGAAAACGGTGCCTTTTGGTGGCCCCAGAACACCCCTTTGAGCGTGAAAGTGGTCGCGACCGTTGACCTTTGGCGTGTTTACGCTATTCTCGGTCTGGTCCACGTATATGACCCCTCACACAGAGGGGTGTCCGGTCTCGATAAATTCTTTGTTTAAAACCCTTTATAAAAATATACAATAAAAAGCCCGGAGGTATAAAATCTCATATTTTACTTGTTGGAAATAGTTTTCAGTAATGTAAAACCTATAGAAATACATTCATAAAGTGGTCCATTGCGGTTTCAGTTAACTTGTTTATTTATACTTCCTTATCTTTCTTCGTGCATAGTAATTGTTTATGCTGAACTTTTACAGCTCGTGTTCCTGGGTGTAGTACTATCCGTGTTGCTGGATCCATGTCATCTCAAACCGGGCGAATGACTACCTACACAAAGGCTGGCTACACACACGAAGGACGTCCGGTATACGCCAGTGACACCACAAATGACTTTCTTTTCTTCTACCGAGATGTGTTGAACTCGTATTATCAGTGGCTCATAGGACCGACGGTTGGCCGTATTATTGCTGGCTTGTATGTAAATGACCGTCATCTCACCGCAGAGGAAATCTTGGCTACCTGGTATATTTTTGATGGCTCGCAGTGGCAACAAGCTCCTGAGGTCAAGATCTCATGTTATTGTGAGTTTTCCCCTTATATCATATTTTTCCTTCCTTTACTAATCTTAAAGATGATGAATGTATTTCACTATTACAGAATGTTATAACTGATTCTTATGTTATCCCTGATTCAGCTTCCGCTTGTAAATACGTGAACAAAAAGTGTCAGTCAACTGTATACAGATGATAAACAATATCATGGCTAATACAACAAACTTTGCATATTTTAACTGCGCTCCTCAATGAGATATTATTGTTTCTTGTCTTTGCTAGCTGCTGGCATAGTATTCATCGGGAAACGTTCACTCCACCAGCCGACGTCCCGGATTCAAGATCGCTACCCGTTCATTGCAACAAACAACGATCGCAGACTACGTGGTCAATCAGCCGATGCTGATCTACCTAGTAGTCCTAGTAAGCACGACGACCATGCATTAAGTGTTTTACGAAACGAAGACACTCGAAATGAACTCACGACTGAATTCCAGCCAAAAGTCGCCGGTGCAGACTGGCTCAACGTTGGATCACACTCTATCCACCGCAGAGACATCGAGATTACGTGTCTAGATGGGATGGTATGGCACCACAAAACAAAAACATGCGGTGAGTTTATTTACGTATACGTGAGGCCACGGCAAGTTATCTGTATGGATAACATCAGCGCACGCATTGATTTTCGCCTGATTTTGGAAAAAAAGACAAGAAATTTTGTTGCCCTTTGACAGTGGTGAATATGGCGAAAATGGGCAAAGATGTCTTCTGTTGACATGCATGGACGTGGATGGCAGATGAATATGAAGAGAGGAGACAAGACAAAGCTCTGATTTAATGTTTTGTCTTTTACTTTGATGTATTCATATATCTCATTCCTTTATATGTGGTGGTGACTGTGTAGATGTGATCCCACTGAATCAAAACCATGTGCACAATGATTGAAAACTTTAATTTTTCAAAGTTGTTTTAGTGAGAAATTGATGTTGTAATAGTTGACAGTAAACTTTCATAGTAAACACATTTTATTCAAACATTACTCGTATACATACTCTTGTAAATTTTTCCTTTCAGGAATACCTCCTACTATTGAAGTAACTGGACTGCAAGACAGCTATGACGAAGGTTCACATCTGGTAAGGTACACTGCCACAGACCAGTCTGGAAACAAAGCAAAATGTGAATTCAACATTCATGTCACAGGTAATCAACCATCATTTGATATACAAACACAAGTCCCTGATAAACCTCCTAATTGATACAGTGATTTAGTTGGTCCATTAGATACATCATTTCCAATGGAAGTGTTGTAAAAGGCCAAGGTATACCTGACATATATAGCTGATTCTTTGTTTCGGTTGTACTCCTGTTGTCGCAAGCCTAAAGACATATTACAACTTTACAAATGACAAAAGATTCAAATGTAGTATCTTTGCTCCAGTGATGAAAGTGTGACAAGCCATTGCGGGGTACATTATGTTTTCGTTCGTTTCTTCGAGTGAAACAAATCGACCATGGTACCACACTAGTAAAGGTTGAGCCATATCGTTTGGTTTCAAATTGTAGCCTTCTTTAAAATCTTGCCATTCGTTAGTTAATCACTTCTCAATGATAATGATACGTTCTTTGTCGACTTAAAGTGCATCGCTGCAAGAGACTTCCACCCCCAGCGTTTGGCCGTTTCACCAGCACCTGTGACAACTCACAAGACAGCAGCTGCACTGTGGAATGTCTCCCAGGGTACGAACTCACCGGATCATCAGTAAGAACTTGCGTAGTTCAAGACAACGGAACAATCAGCTATTGGGACGGTACTGAAACCAGATGCAAAGGTTGGTCGGCGTTTTTTTTTTTTGTGCTGTTGTCTAATATTCTAACCATGTATTGTAAATCAGAACCAGTGGATAAAACCACGACAAACATAAACAAACCTCTCATTAATAAGGTTAGCTTTAATCCGACAACAAAAGGGAACTCGTTATAGATTCTAACAACACATGCGAGCTTTCATTCATTGTTTGAGGTAAAGGTAAACGGTTTGTCAGTGCAGACGAGGTGAAAATGATAATCACGTGTTATTTTTATCTTTCCTTTTCCAAATCCAAAACATTCGCCAACATAAATTTCGTTATGCCATTTACCGAATGTCAAATTCATGTAATTCTATGTTTGAAATGCCATGCCTTTGTCTTACTAATTTTATTTGATTATGTACCCTTTTATATAAAGAGAGAAGGTGTGACCCACTCTCAGTCCCTGAGCACAGTCGGATCGTCCCATCGTCGTGTACTGTCCAGCCAAAAGCCGGTACAGATTGTCATTACGGGTGCGAGGATCACTTTCAACTGGTGGGAGGACACGTCACAGTGAGGTGTAACCAATCGGGTCATTGGGAACAGACCACCAGTGGTGTAACACCCATATGTACAGGTGCGTTCAACGAAATAACTGTCTGATGTGCCAAGGTTGATAATATTAATTATTCTTCTGACAAAGTTATTCTGAACCCAAACGTCCACACTATGAATGATGTATAAACTTACTAATAAACTGGTGGGTGTACTTGTGGATGGTGGTTATACCGACTATACAGATACACTTGCGCGTGTATTACGAGGTTACGTGTTCTTTTCCTGTGTGATTTTATCCTTCTTTTGTAGCCAGGTCAAGAATTTGGACTAAAAAGACGTCCAGTCTTATTGAAATTTGACTAAATTTTCAATTTTATCAGTTTTATGTTTTATGTGTTTTATGATGATGATGTATGTGTAAGTTACAGTAGCTGTAGTTTTACGGATGCGTAAGCGCTTCTAATATTATAATAACAGAATGCTACTGATATCATAGAATACTAAACTTGCATGATATCGAGACTTCCAACTGTATATTCAATGGACTAAAGGAGTGTGTTGTTTTGACAATTAACGGTAAAAGTTAGATGAGCAAAGGAATGGATTTGTGCAAAGTGCAAAAAGGAACAAACTAGAATTTTGGGAATATATGCCTTCGCCGAGTAAAGAGGTTTATTATGAAAAGTGCTACTGTAACATTCACACCATCTCAGGACGCAAGCACTGCATTTATCTTAAAAAATTGTTACAGGCGACGCCATACTAATTACGAACTCACCCGCCGCACGCCGAGAGAGTGCAAAAATACCTTTCCCGAGTCGTCACCGCAAAAAATGCCTCCGTATCTTTGCTGCCCACACCCATCCACAAATTATCGAGTTATAATGTCGCCATACATACAGACACACACCACAGCCACTCCACCATGCCCTAACTGAAAACATACATGTACCCTTCTGACGAAGGCAATAATGTTACTCTGTGTTACCTAATGTCAATGTACATGTATACCAGTGTGACTGAGCGACGTCTCTTTCTCATATATCAGATATCAAGCCTCCAACGTTGTCTGACTGCCCAGGGGAGATAACTGTTAAACCCGATCCGGGAGAGAGGTTCGCTGATGTAAACTGGGATGTACCCATAGCTACTGACAACAATGGCGTGCCGAGTGTCCTGGTTTCACCAGCCAACTACACACCTCCAGAAAACCTTCCAATCGGAACTTACAACATTGAATACATCGCTGAAGACTCTGCCGGGCTGACGGCTTCATGCTCGTTTACCATACACGTCCGAGGTATGTTGATAATTCCCATAGCCTTTGGTGACTTTTGGTGATTAACCCTACGTAGACGGTGTAATATTTCAGGTCTACTGGTAGTTTGGTATCTTAGCGTCTTCATATCACTTACAGACAGATATCCAAACAGTTCGACTACTTCATCTGCAAAGCCGTATCTAAATCCGTATATGATAACTCTACTAACAGGTATACGGTCTAATGGTTCACACGGAGTTTAACACGTAAGTTACACAGAGAGTTATCAGAGATCTAGGATGCAATACAGATGAGATACTACAAGTCTACAGAGAGCTAAAAACTAAACATGTACACGTAAGTGAATCCTGGGTCACGAACTGACTAACAAAGCAATTATAAACTCCAAGCTCATCAACTACGTGTTAACTAACAATAGTTCTTCACTAATTGGTTACTCTCAGTAACCAATCAGGGCCTACCTAACCCGCTAATGTATGCAAACATATCACCTACAAATTACCATTATCACTAAAACCATAATCGTTACAGGTGGTCGAAAAGTGTCCATGCCAACTTTAACGCTTTCCCGCTGGGAATACACTCGAATAGCGTGACGGTTTTAAGTTATGTTTCTTTCTCTCTTTTGTAGACGAAGAGCAACCGATGATAACATGCCCTTCAGATATCGAGCAGAGAGTTGGAAGTCATGAGTTACCTATTACAATTTCCTGGGAAGACCCGGAAACATCGGTATGTATCGAGGAGTACACAGTAGATGATATAATCTGTTAAAGTAATTCTCTAAGTAAAAGCATGTACCTTCTTCCCATTAAGGATATGTTCTCTGGACCGTGTGTATTTCTCTCTTTTTCTAACTACAGGGACCAATTTCATTTGATACTTCTTAAGGTTACAACTTGTGAAGGGATTGTCGTGTTTTTTTTTGCATGTATATGTATGCAGTAGGTAGTAAGACTAATTTTGCTGCGTTCCATTATAAAACGTGAAAAACATGTGAAACACAAAACTAAGAAAGAAACTAACATCGGTTGTTGTGATTTTCGGTGTGCTATAATCAAGTGATGGCCGACATAGTTAAAATGCGGATACTGCAAGTAGGTAATATACATAAACGATGAGCGAGTTTTAATTATTAGGTCCTTTCTATGATATATGGTTCAAAATGGGACGTTCAGCCAGAAAAATTAAGGAACATGGCCATGGGTAGATATCAATTAAATGAATATCTCATTTGCATGATTAATGAGAAAATGCTACAATACCATAAAGGCATTAGAGGTAAATGGCGGGAATTTTACATTTAATAAATTGCAGCATTTGTAAGTTAATTGAATGTAAACATCGTAAGACATAAATCATGTCAATCAAGGCCTCATTTGCATAATATCATAATTATCAGTCTCATTCCAACACTGCATAATAGATTGCATAATAAAAGTGTCACGATAGACTTCTTGTCAATATGACATTTTTAATAACTTTTTTTTATTTATGTACAAAATATGATATAAACTCTATTTTCCCGGATTCTCCGGTATAACTTGTCTAAATGACTCTATGTAAAATATTTGAGTGTTATCTTTTTTTCTCTTTTCAACATAATGCATGGACATTGCTTGACGTTTTCATCCAAAGGACTTGTCACATTCCGTACGTCATTGTTATATAGGACAATTCCGGAGTCCCGCCAACAGTGGAACTTGTGCGTGGATATAAGCCCGGAAAGGCATTTAACCCAGGACAGTGGGAGGTCGCATATAGAGCAACAGATGATGCCGGAAATTATCAGGAATGTACATTCAAAGTCTCTGTAAAGGGTAAGTATAGTAAATGTTGATTCCGTAGCACGTGTTAGATTTTGTGAAAGAAACACGAAATTAAAAAAAAAAGAATAACTATCATATGGGAGCATTCTTTGAAACACTAAACCATTCAACTATTGTTTGCCCCCAGAGTCCTTACCACGGCATGTAGACTTTTTTTTAGGCTTTCCTGCTATTACCTTGTTCAATTTTATGAGGAGCCGTCTTTATACAGAAACTAGATTCTGCTGTCGACTCCGTATGGATTTCATATTGTACTATATATATATATATATATATATATATATATGTGTGTGTGTGTGTGTGTGTGTGTGTGTGTGTGTGTGTGTGTGTGTGTGTGTGTGTGTTACTAAACGAAAATCGAAAAACATAGAAAGTTGAAAATAGGAATTGTTGTTCCCACCTTAAACGGGTTGTGGCTGTTTTTACCTTTCTTACCCATTGTTTTGCTCTCTTACTTTTAGCCTTGGAATGTAGCCCATTAAACGAGCCGACTAACGGTGCGCTGACCTGTGGAAACTGGAGTCAAATCAACGTCTGTAGTCCTCACTGTGAAGAAGGAGCGGTCTTCCCAAACGATTCTGAGTACCCAATGTACTATTGCTTGGACGGGGCATGGCGCGAAGAACTGCTGCCGCCACCTCTACAGACGAAACCTCCTGTAATACGTGTCCCGGATTGTACAAGTAAGGAGCACACATGTTGTATTCAATTTTTCTATCTTGAAACTATCTTGCAATTATAGAAAAATCATCAAGCAATTAAACATTGTTGTCCTTTGCCTTTAATTTCTCTGTTGCAGCGCGCTCACTCACGATTCGAAGTCATCTAGTTTTTAGCGTCACTATAAAATGTTAACATTATGATGACATTATTTGCTGCAAGAAAGAGATGATGACTTTAATATCCAGAAGATAGTACGTTCTGCGTATAACTTTATAGAATAAGTTGAATATTTACCCTGTATCTTGTTTCTCAAATGTCAAATGAAATGTTGACAAAGTTCCCATGTTATAAGGCAGGTACATGTATTGGACAGCGAAGCCCTTCCTGCTCCTTTCACTGCCTTTTACCTCCCCAACTGAAGTGAGGTACTTATTGTACACCTGGGTGGATCCGGAGTGAGGAAATTGTGTAAATTTTAGGATCGTGCTCGCGACCTCTTGATTTTGTGTAAGCTGGACTAGCCACTGGACTAGCAATTCGACGCCATTTCTGTATCGATACATCCGTAATGCTTTACACGTCTTCTGCTAATACTGTACCCGATAGAGCCGTCTCCACCGTCGGCTGTAACATCCACCACGAAAATGAAGTTCATCTACGACGGTGACTGCAAAGACGGCGACGTACAGCTAGAAATCAAGGAAGCCTTCCTGGTTGCCATCAAGGCTTCCCCTGTATGTCAACTCGTGCAGTGTGAGAAGGAAAACATTTTCGTAAGTATAGCTATACATACACGTTCATGATTTTCTTTGAGTCGTATTTTGTATGCGTTCTTCAGGATAACTTATAATTTGAGCAAGAGTAATTAATTATCATATTGCTAGCTAAATTAGATACCGAAACATCATGCATGTGAAGTATCATACTTTTTGCAAGAAAACGGCGTTTAATTCCGAAATGAGTATGACCTATATGCGTTCAACACCAAACGTGATAACAAGTTTAGAGGTGGTAACTTTTTTTTATTTCTGTTGACACATAAAACCTATTGCTTGTACAAAAATAAAAACCAAACGAAAAATTAACTGCGAATTAGTAGTAATGTAGTAGATTATGTGGTTTAACGGCTGTGTCCATGATGATGCAAGCCTGCTCTTTTATGAAAGTGCTGTTCAAGTGTTTGAAGTGGCTTAAAATCTTTTGAAAATCCGTTCATTTGTATATGATCTGACTTTATTTTGCCGTTTGTATGTAGGTAAGATGCGGAACACATAGGAAACGCTCCCTGCGTCAGATGTCAAGTAGGAAAATAAGGCAGTCGTCCGAGGAAGTGACGATAGCGTTCACAATTTCAAGCACGGCTGGTAACTACACTAACAACCAAACACAGTCGAGTGACGATGTGCTTTTCAGCGTGGAAAATGCAGTCGAATTGCTCCAGAACGCAACAGAGACAGGGCAGATGGACATTGAAATGGACGGCGTCAAGATTGAAGCTATTCAGAATTATTTCCAAGTCAGTGAAACACAAATGTCCTGTCCATCAGGAATGGTCTGGACTGATACAAGGGGAGCGTGCGGTGAGACAGTCAAACATCCTAGATTTGACTAATTTCTTTGCACTTGTCTAAATCATTGCCTCATATAGAACATTTATTCATTCTCTATATCATTTGTTGTGGGTAGATATTATTTATTACATGTTTATATACTGAGATACATTTTGTAACTTGTAACTTTTGTAACCGTAAGCCGACATATCATGGCGATAGAAAAAAAGCAAGAAAGTACATTAAAAAGTACATGACAAAAGATAAAACTACATAAGGTTTATAACTGAGTTAGGCATGTCAGAAATCTGTTTCCCTTCAATTCATCAGTGAACTGTAAATTAGTATCAAATAGAACTAGTTTTACACGGCAAGAATAGTAAGTAAATGTAGAATACCTGAATTCACGTATTCACTACCATGTTTTTTACTCAGGTTAGGCAATGCCATATAAAATTCTAATTGAAATGCGATATCCGTTCCAGTCGGATGTCCTGCAGGATTCTACTTAAACGAGGTTAACAAGACATGCACAGAATGTCCACTTGGATCATACCAAGAGCAGATCAACCAACTATCCTGTGTTAAATGTCCAAGAGGAACGTGGACAGAGTCTGCAGCTACGAGAAATATATCTTACTGTAAAGGTCTGTATTTTCAGTGTTCTCATCCTCTAATGCACTTTGCTTGGGAATTAAAGACATCCAATGCGATTTCAGGACAGCAAAACTGGAAATATGAATAATTATCATAGGCAATCTTTATGATATATTGACACAAACTGCTTACCATTAGCACATTTGGAACAGCATTTCATACTTTGGGCATTCAAAACTGCAGAAATAAGCCCCATGATGAGGCCCAGGGCCCTTTCAGTAACAATTTCCTGTCAGAAGTTTGGGGATTTTTGCTCCACGGGGGTCAATATGCATTGGGACAGTTTGGTTTCAACTCAGTATAAAAATAAATGACTATAGAATATATATAGAATACAACACGGGGTATTCCGTATCGCCCCAGGTATCGGCCCGACCGCGGGAGGGCCGGGACCGAGGGCGATGCGGAATACACCGTGTTGTATTTTATTTATGTCATACCCACCCAAGAAAACGCGCCTTTCAATGCAAGATGAGCCAAAAGTTGGTGTCACTAAACCCTAAAATGCAACAACATATCAATTCCAACGTCCGAATTCTATATTCGAATTTTCGAAAGGGGCACACGCGGTTAGGGCGAAACGCGTTCGAGTCGTTTTATGGAAGCCATGGAAGCGTTCGATAACGGGTTCCGGCCCGGTCCGGAACCCGTTATCGAACGTTATCGCGTCCCGGGTATGATATAAGGACTTTGAAAAATCGGGTTAACAAGACTGCATTGAATGCCTTTAAAGTGTCAAGAAACAGCCATGTCACACTAACCTATTACGTTCTTAATGCTTTAGCGCTGGACAGCCGTCATTATCCAATCAAGTCACCGCCAACAGTTAAGAGATAACACGATTGGCTCCAACACCAGAACAGAGTATATTTTTAGCTGACGGCTGGCCAGCACTAACGCAGCGAGAAGCATAACCGGTAGTACGCAAGGGTAGTACGCCAGGGCTGTTGTTTGATATCTGCAAGCGTCTGGCTTGGCGCTGGAAGATGAGTTTTGTTCACAATACCATTCTGAGACGAAAGTGAATAAGATATAACCAGCGTAATCATATCAAATTCTCAGCCATCAAAGTAGAAGATTATGTGTTCTAGTTATGTCATACCTGGGCCGCGATTTCGTTCGATACGGCCCGTGTGATAACTAGCGGTAGCACCCCCATGAAACTCCTTCCTCTTCGCCCCCGCCGTTCTGCTTCGCCCCCGCAAAAAATCTGCTTCGCCCCCGTCGTTCCTCTACGCCCCCGGCGCAATTCTGCTTTGCCCCCGTCCTTCTGCTTAGCCCCCAATGGCGGCACAGCTCACAGTCGACACGAAAATCGTCTGCAAAATAACAATAAAGGCTGTGCCGCCAAATTTAAAGTAGCCCATGCTCCGGTAAACATTCTGGACCACCTTTCTGCCAAGTGGCGTTGCACAAATCCTTCCCATTCAAAAGTTTACCCCGACCTCACGGCCCGTCAGTGGTTCTTACGTTTATAAGTACTGGCGGGAAATTTCACTCACGGCTGGACAGACGCTAGGCTGATCGCCATGGAAGGTGGGTACTAATTAAAGCCAACTTGGATAATGGCGGGATTTTGTATCAGCCAATTGAACAGTAACTAATCGTGTTCCTTTTGATACAAGTAGACAATAGTGAAAAAATGAGACAGCTATCAGTAATAGCGTTAAGTTAAAAATTGTGCTGCAAATACTAAGTAGAATTTATAAGGCAATACCTTGCTGTGTGAGGTGACATGGATTTAGAATGCTGTGTAAAAACTAGACGAGACCACTGACGGGCCGTGAGGTCGGGGTAAACTTTTGAATGGGAAGGATTTGTGCAACGCCACTTGGCAGAAAGGTGGTCCAGAATGTTTGCCGGAGCATGGGCTACTTTAAATTTGGCGGCACAGCCTTTATTGTTATTTTGCAGACGATTTTCGTGTCGACTGTGAGCTGTGCCGCCATTGGGGGCTAAGCAGAAGGACGGGGGCAAAGCAGAATTGCGCCGGGGGCGTAGAGGAACGACGGGGGCGAAGCAGATTTTTTGCGGGGGCGAAGCAGAACGGGGCGGGGGCGAAGCAGAACGGCGGGGGCGAAGAGGAAGGAGTTTCATGGGGGTGGGTAGGGCCCGGAGCTCTTAACGCGTACGGCCCGGGTTTCCAAATGCTCCAAAGAAAAGTTCCGAACGGGTTTCGCGCGCGCGTCGCGGTCGGGCTGGGACCTCGGGAGATACGGAATACACCGTGTTGTATTCTATATATATATATTGTATTCTACTTTAGTTTAGTATATATATTTTCACATTTTCAGAACTCTGTCAACCCGGAACCTTCTCATCAACAACCATGGCGCCATGTGAGAACTGCCCTATTGGAACCTATCAAACCGAAGTCGGCTCCTCTTCCTGCACCAATTGTCAGCCACAACAGACAACCAACATAACAGGCTCCACATCCAGTAACTTCTGCTTTGGTGTGTTAATTCATTTAGTATATACCATAACGTAAGCCTTAGGAAGTCTAACTATAAGACGTAAGATATTTTTGCAGTGCCGACATAGTATACTAGTATTTGAATAGAAACGTGCTTTGTTCGGGAAAGTTGAAACCGTGCACTGCACTCGGCCGTGATTCAAACTGTCAATGCAGAGAATTGCTTCAAATTATAAACTTCATTGTTTGAATTACGAACCAGCCTGGTATGTTGACTTTATGGCTCCTACAGGTAGTTTATAGGGCTAACAAAGGATGCCCAGACCTGTTTTGCGCGCTTTCATTTAACATTTGTCTTCTATAATTCAATAACCAACTAATTAAATTGTTGTAGGTTTTGTAGTGTGATTATGAGTTCATTATAGTTTTATACGATAGCCGCGCTTGCATAACGTCCTCCCATTTTACTATTTCACTTTGATGCTCAAACACTAAGACACTAACAGTTGGTAACACATTGACGTGATTATATCTTACAGAGCGATGCTCCCCTGGCTCTTTTTCCGTTAACGGACTTGCACCATGTACACCATGCCCAAGAGGACAATACCAACCTGAAAGTCAAAGAACATCGTGCCTTAAGTGTCCGATGGGGTATTCAACGACATCCAATGGCTCCAAGAGCAGCAAGGAATGTTTCAGTAAGACCATTCCATTCTTATTTTTAGTTGTAGGTATTGACTTAGATTTTCAATTGCATCGAAACAACTTACAGTAAACTTACGATAATGATGAGAATGATAAGAACAGTAAACAGTAACTAACTAGATAAGAGCGGGGGAATATTTAGCGACCTTTATTGTTTATTGTTTCAAAGAATTAGTGTGTGCCCATATATAAATATGCATCCTTCACTACTCTTCCCGGAGTCTTAGATACTATAAACATACATGTAACATACACATAACATACAAAAACTATACACATTACATTAATTTTTAGTACACGATATATATACATTCTTCAATTTACCACCAGTTCTGTACAGTCCTGTTTGTGTCCGTTTGTTTCAGTCTGTCTTTGATAAGATAACTGGTACTCATGCGTCTGTACCAATGGATTTACCGGAGAAAACTGCGAAAACAATACCAACGAATGCTCTTCGTCACCATGCACTAACAACGGCACATGCGTTGACTTGGCTCCCGGTTTTGTATGTGATTGTGCCCTGGGCTATGCAGGCAACAGGTGCGAGGAACAAAGCAACGAGTGCCAGTCCTCTCCGTGTCAGAACATTGGTACCTGAGATGGAAGTCAGCACGGGCCTCAAATTTTCAAAAGCCCCTCCCCCCGTCTGAATAATTTTGATATGTGTCAATAATACACAACAATAGCACGATAAATATTTCACAAGGTAGTGTACTTAAAAGAACTAATTCCTACCCAGCTATCCACCTTACCAGACTCAGACTCAACCGCAGTCAGTTAAACTTTCACCTGTTCCAACATCAATGTGTGCCCAGTCCTGCGTGCAAATGTGGTCACTTCAACGAAACAGCTGTACACTACTTCTTACACTGCCCACTGTACACTGACGAACGCATTGACATGTTATCATCTCTAACTAACATTCTGCCATTTGACACAAACAACGTCACCGACAACACTTTATGTTCAACCATTCTCAGGGGTAACCCCTCATTGTCGTTTGTCAACAACTGTAACATATTTGATGCGGTTTTCAACTTTATTTTGCAGACAGGACGTTTTGTTTGATTTAGTTGATTCATTTTGATTTGTACACCAGCCTACTATGTACCCTTGTCATTTCTTATTATTATTATTACTTTGTTTTATTGTATCCTTTTATGTGTGAGGAGAGGGCTGAGATAAGTTTTATAACTTTTTGCCTCATCCTCGGAAAATAAATGTGAATAAAATAAAATAAACTAATTCCTAATATAATGTATTTATTATCACTATATGTTAGATGCTCTTCAGGAATATATTTGCAATACACGTTCAATAGTCATCAATATTTGATTATCAGTATTTCAATATCCACTTTGTGTTACAGATGTTGACGAGTGCTCATCCTTCCCATGTGCTAACAATGGCACTTGCCTGGACAGAATAAACGGCTACATATGCCAGTGTCCTGCAGGATTCGGTGGTAAGGAATTCAATTTCCCCAAGTTAACTCTTTTATACCTTTCAACTGACTGTGCGTCTGTAAGAAAATATACTGGATATTCATGGCAATATGTTTCCCTATGGCGTCGCAGCTATTACAAAGTAATGCCTACTGCCTAATTCACATCTGTATGCTTTCTTTCCACTTGCACATCAGAAATCTATGCATTTCATCCAATAGATAAAACCCATTACTGTGAACGTATCATGAATGTTTGAACCTATAACTAGCCGTTTAAATAACATGTCAAATTCGACATATTGATTTAGTCATACATTGGAGGTTGGTTAATTCATCTGACAGTGTATTGTATTTTTTTCAATGTTTAGTTATATTTCAAAGAAGAAGTCAAACCCCACAATAACTAACGTAGTAGTAGAAGTTTTTCCAGACAGTAGTTGTCTTGTCTGTCTTGTATTGTACCGAATAGTTTCTTCGACTAGTCTGTAAAAGCAATTAGCCATCGGGCATGATTTTGCAAATAAAGTCTCATTATTATATTATATATTCATTTATAGTTTGGTCTAGACCTTACAAAAGCTGCAGTACTGTAAAATCTGTTGTGTCAATAGAGAACGATGCATGACTGTGCTTATCTTCAAGGTGACCTCTGTGAAGAAACCATCAACGAATGTTCTTCGAACCCTTGCCTCAACGGACTTTGTTTAGACGGCATCTCTGGCTACACCTGCAGCTGTACAGCTGGGTTTACTGGCCATGATTGCTCAACGAATATCGATGATTGTGAGTCCAACGACTGTTCAAACGGAGCAACCTGTGTGGATGGCATCAACGAATACAGGTAGACGTATTTTGAAATATGACCTATTCCTGTCGTTGTCACAAAATATCTCTTTTATTTGTGGTACATGTATTTATCTGGACCGTATTAAAAAGTCTTAGTCTTATTTGTATTCAGTTTACACCGATCAAATATTTTTCGAATGCATTTTCAAAGCGGCAGTCATATAGAATAGCTTAGTATTGTACAACCAAGCAGACACTGGATGGGGTTAAAACATTTTTTGAAACAGATGCAGTTGCTTAAGTGGCTACACTGGCACCTTCTGCGACGTGGATATAGACGAATGTGCGTCTAACCCATGTCTTCATGGAGGCACGTGTACTGACAGCGTCAATGGCTACGTCTGCCGCTGCCGGTATGGCTACACAGGTATGTCTGTCTTTATGCCTAACTTGCTAACATAATTATTTCTTTCTTTATTCTCTATTCGCATAAACAAAGACATTAGATAATAGCTAGAAACGCCAACATTGTTGAGCAAATGACGCACATGTCAGTCCATCTCGCTGCGAAGCTGGTGTATTACACCGAAAGGCGATTATACCGATTAAACAGATCTCCCTCTTTATACAATGATCGAGTGTTCCAAAGTCATCTTAGGCCGAAAAGGCATCTTCAAAATTTTATCTTCTTCGCAAGGATAAACTTTTTCCCAAGCGAAGCATCCCAATGCATTATAAACCATTCCAAAAATAGTTCTATTAAAAGACGGGATAAAAACTCTAAAAACATGTAAAATCAACCAGTCTAAAACACTTCCACGTAACAATACGTTTTCATATTATATATTAATATAGGATATATTATATATTAATGCAGGAAACAAGTCAGAATAGTTAAGATTATACAATAATATCAAACTTTCTAAAACATCTAATCTTAATGTTGGCATATATGTTATTTAACTAACAGGGACACTGTGCGAGGTTAACATTGATGACTGTGACCTCTCGCCCTGCGTCAACAATGGAACATGCATTGATGGCGTCGGCAACTACACATGCGTCTGTACCAGTGGATTTACCGGAGAAAACTGCGAAAACAACACCAACGAATGCTCTTCGTCACCATGCACTAACAACGGCACATGCGTTGACTTGGCTCCCGGTTTTGTATGTGATTGTGCCCCGGGCTATGCAGGTAACAGGTGCGAGGAACAAAGCAACGAGTGCGAGTCCTCTCCGTGTCAGAACATTGGTACCTGTGAAGCTCTGTTTGGCTCCTACACATGCCACTGTAGTGTTGGATACACGGGAGTGAACTGCGAAACAGTAATTGACTTTTGTGCAAGTTTCCCTTGTTCCAATGGCGGGAACTGCTCAAACGTACAGACGGATTTCAGTTGTGAGTGCCCGCCTGGTTACGACGGGTTAACGTGCGAAACAGAGAGAGATGAATGTGATTCTTTGCCTTGCAAAAACGGAGGCACTTGTTTAGACGTGGTAAACGGGTACACATGCCAATGCCAGAAGGACTACACAGGTAAGCTTTTCGCTAAGGCAACACCTTAATCAAAAAGATTAACAATCATTGCACTAAGATCAGAGATAAGCACGTCTATAGAGTTGGCTATAGAGTAACTGTTTTGGTATTAACAAAATTATAGTTAATATTTTAAAACAAACAAGTAGATCAAAAGCGGCTTTTGTCCATAGCTCGTGGTACTGCAGCAGTCTTGTGTCACTTCTACGCACTTCATGACCCACACAATAAGCTGTGGATCACACACACATGGCATTTTTATCGCTTCATGGTTTTCCTGAACTAGGCACAAACTGCGAGTCTACTCCCAGTCCATGTGCGTCTGGGCCATGCCATAACGGAGCCAACTGCACCGACATGTACCCAGACTACCTCTGCAGCTGCTCTGCTGGTTTCACCGGCTCAACCTGTAACATCAATGTCCCGGAGTGCTCTTCTAACCCGTGTCAGAATGGAGGGTTGTGTACCGATGGAATTGATTCATTTTCATGTCGGTAAGCTATGGGTTTCAATGTTTTACAACTGTACATTATCCCAATGACGGGACAGTTCCACAACTTTGAAGAATTTCCCATTCATTTATTTAACGTCAAAACTCTTTCACCTCGTTTTTACGATTCATTTCCGTTCCAGCTGCTTATCTGGATTTGAAGGAGAAGTCTGTCAAATACAAAAGAACGAGTGCGAAGACCCCATGTGTGAAAATGGCGGGACGTGTATCGACACGTACGGAGCATTTGAATGTGACTGCCCACCTGGCTTTAACGGGTCTCGCTGTGAGAACAACATTGATTATTGCGTGGATCACAACTGCAACAACGGTGCCGAGTGCGTGGATGGAGTAGCGTCTTACAGCTGCAGCTGTCAAGTCGGTAAGGGCATTGAAATGTAGGGTATTGTATATAGGTGTGGCATGTAAGATCATGTCCTTCTTAACAAATTATTTCGTAGCCTTAATTTTTTATTTATTCTTTATTTCAGGCCCCTGGCCCATATCACATCTAGAAACAGACAGACAAGAGATGGAGGCATAACAAATGCAATAACTAAAACCACGATAATCAAGCTATACCTAAAGAAAATAAGCTACTTAAAAACTATAGGTTAATGTATGCCTCCAGAATGTGCTGAGGTTGTAGCCGTCAGAGTGAGTTAGCGTAGCTTTTTAATTAAGGCTTTTTCCATGATCCAAGATCAAATGGTTGTGATGATTCACTGTAATTGTTTAACTTTTTATAGAAAACCTAAAACTGCTGATGTTACCAAATTATGTAATTTGAAATCTAAGCCATATACACTTGATTTGATTTACCGTTTTCTTATCACCATAGGTTACGAAGGCGAATGGTGTTCGGAGGAGACAGACGAATGCTCATCAAATCCGTGCGTTGCTGCCCTATTTTGTCAGGATCTCCACAACGCCTACCATTGTGAATGCGAGACTGGATTCATCGGGGTGAATTGTGAGATCAACGCGGACGACTGTGAGAACGTCACCTGTTTTCACGGTGGGGAATGTGTGGACGGAGTTGCGTGGTTCACATGCAACTGTCCGGACGGAATCACAGGGGACCTGTGCCAAACAGACGAAGATGAATGTTTGTCAGGTAACTATGAAAAGATGATTTTCCTCAATTGATGTCAATACATATGTAGGATTGAGCGTGCTCTTACTGTACTGTCGTCCTTTTCCAAAGTGTTTGGTGTTGTATAATCACTATATGATTCCACAAAATTGCAGGTCCGTGTCAATCGTCTGGTACGTGTGTCGATGGAATGAACAGTAACACCTGTCTGTGCTCTACTGGCTACACCGGCACCAACTGCGAGCTTGACGTTGATGAATGCATCACTTCACCGTGTGAAAATGGAGCCGTCTGTACAAATTATGTTGGAAATTACAGGTACGCTTAACCAAGGCTAGGGAAATGGCAACCATTTCAGAAAATGTGCATTGATGTCTAGATTTGTAGTAATATCGACATTGACACCAATCTTTTTATATTATAATACTGCATTTATTGTAGATTTCAAAGCATCAAGTTCTATTACAGAGCAAGAAAACTCTATACCTCCGAGTTGAAATTATTTACTATTTGTTGCATTACTTGCATTTATTCTAAGCTCAAATTTTACATGAAATTCTTTCAGTTGTACCTGTTTGGAGGGCTACACAGGTCAGCACTGCAATATCAATGTAGATGACTGCCCAATGACGACCTGCTACAACAATGGCACCTGTGTGGATAAGTTAAACGGCACTCTTTGCCTTTGTGTAACGGGATTTACAGGTACGTTTTATAAACTGCATTTTGGGAGAACTTGAGTTTCAATGATCCGGCCTACTTAAAGCTAGAAATGCGCATGGACTTTATAATTAAGACTTTTCATAGCGATTTGTAGAACTTGACAATGCTTCGGTACATGTATGCTATGTATGTTACAAGTCCTAAATCTACGGCTTAGGGGAGGAAATAGATGGAGTAAATAATGAATTAAAAATATATGACCCGTTTACTTGTGCAAAAAATATCCAGGATCGACTGCAAACATGGTAACAAATCTGTTAAACGATCATAATTTATATTTGATAAAACATTTACTTTACTCTGAAGTCTATGTTGAGCAACTGTTTTTTTCCATTCCTAGGGGAATTCTGCCAGGTTGATATTGATGACTGCCTACCTGATACTTGCAATAACGGGGGAACTTGCGTTGATGGTGTCAACAATGTAACCTGTCAGTGTGCTCCGGGATACGAAGGTACGTTTTACATGAAGGCCTGATATGGGCAAATAACTGCATTTATTTTGATGTTCAATTTTTCTAAGTCTCGTATATATATATTTAAGCTATCACTAGCACTATAGTATGGATTAGTAGTAGAAGATTGGTTTATTTGTGTCAATAACAACAACTGATTTGACTGAAGGATCACATTGCATCCATGACGGCCGAATAGCGAGGCGTTTTACATGGCTACATACATGAGTTAAAAAGGCTAAAACATAGTTTCAACTAATTAAGGGTACCTAAAAACTACATCATTGTATTTTGGATAGACCAACTAAAAGTGATGCTAATATTTTTATTATTCAAGATTTGTATAAACTCAATAGAAAAATGGATTTGTATTACTTATGTGAATAAAGTAGGATAAAATAGTAGTATATAAAGTTAACCTCTCTGAATATAAATTCTTATATTTTCAGGAGATTACTGTGAATTGGATATAAACGAATGTTCCAGTCTTCCCTGTCAGCACGGCGGCAACTGTACCGACCGTATCAATGACTACACGTGTTCCTGCCACGCTGACTTCACTGGAAAAGATTGTAACATCAGCGTCACCGGCTGCTCTCAGGATTTGTGCAAAAACGCAGCAACCTGTAAAGAAATTGTTGGAGGTTTCTTGTGTATCTGCAAGCCTTCATTCACAGGAACCTTGTGTGAAACAGGTTAGAGTCATTTTCCTCTGCAATCGGCTAGCCCCACTCATAACATGCCGTATTGTACACTAGTATTTTTCCACAATATTAAAAGAACAACCTTCAGTTCATATCATCCTTTGTTACATGTAATACTGCATTGTAAAAATAGGATAGTGCATAAGAAAGTACCTTGACATGATGAATTCCAACAAAAGAATGTTAAAAATATATAGTTTAATCCAATACTAGTATTTTTCTAAAATTGAACTTTTGAGTGTGGCCCAGAATTAGTGTAGAAAATTCCATGAGTTGTATTGTACATGCATGTTGACCAAACGACGGAGTTAGATTGGCGATAATGACTGTGAGGTTTGTGTGCTTCTTTTCATAGGCCACACTCCAGACAGTTATCTCCACCGATGTATGAATTATGAACCGTATCATTTCCCCAGAATTGTCATCCGAGTTCGACATTTTTCTGAACGGTGGGGACGACAGCTATGCAAGTACCGACTACAACATTCCGGACATGGACGCATTTACACTGGCCTTTTGGATGCAGACTACAGACCGTACTAACTACGGAACACCATTCTCCTATGCTACGGTACGTATAATACGGTATATATTCAGAAACTGAAACTTCCTCCAAAACTGGTACATTTAAGGCAGAAAAGAAAACAAGTACATTGTGTAGATTTTGTACTAAAGATGGTCTTGACAAACGATTGCCTACTACTACTACTACTACTACTACTATACAAACTCCACTACGAAATACAATGTTTCTTTGGAAGATACGAACTGTATCTCACAGAAGAAGAATTTTATTCACCGACCTTTTGCTGCCATCCAGGCACACTAGATATGTATAATCGTTCTAAAAGGATATAAAATGGTGACGGTGTCTTTGAAATTGTGTAGTGTAAATGTGCCCTACACTTGCAACCTGTTTACTCCCTGTCTTACTCTGTGATGAACCACAGAATGGTGACAACGCAGGGAGCGACAACGCCCTGACCATATCCGACTACACGGGCTTCACGCTGTTAGTAAACGGCGAGGCTGCCTACACGGGTATCGCCATTAATGATGACAACTGGCACCACATCACAATAACATGGGAGAGTGTACTTGGCCAGTGGACGGCTTTCTATGATGGAGTAAAAGTCCAAAGTGAAGAAGGGCTTCAAGCAGGTGCCATTATACCTGGTACGTATTGGAGAACTCCAAAACAAAACGTAGATTAGCTTTTTAAATTCATATGAGTCTAAATCAGTGTGCGGTACTTAAAACATTCCACTTTAATTTTTTTGTTATTCCGTAAAGGAGGTCAGTGGCCTTGAGTATTACAATGAGACGTGTCTGTACGTTCGCACAGCTTTCACTCACGATCCCTTAGCTGCAGAAGTCATATTTCATTATGTTCCCCTCTATATTTTTAGGTGACTTCCCCACTATTCACCACTATGGAATTTTAGTATTGACTATGCAAGTTAGGTTTCCTTCATGTTCCTTTTGACACACACACACACGCACACGCACACACATACACACACACGCACACACACACACACGTAAACACAAAGAGAGAGTGCGAGAGAGTGAGATTATGTGTATGAGAGAGTGAGCTAGTGTGTATGTGAGAGTGCGTATGGGAGGGGTTTATGTATGTGTGTGTGTGTGTGTGTGTGTGTGTGAGAGAGAGAGAGAGAGGGAGAGAGAGAAAGATAGAGAGTGAGTGAGTGAGTGAGAGAGGGGGAGATGGAGGTGACGAAACAGAGTTTTCAGCTCAATCCTTGCTATCTTCCTATCTTAATGCAGATCTGTTTACTGATTGTTTTGTTGTTGCCATTGACACAGGAGGAGGTTTGGCCATTGTAGGACAAGAACAGGACTTTTTCGGTGGTGGATTTAGCCCTGACGAGGCCTTTAAAGGTCACCTACATGGACTGAACTGGTGGAGTAGAGCCTTGTCTGACAGTGAAATTTCGGAGCTAGGAGCTAGCTGTAACCACACCGCCCGGGGTGACATCCACACTTGGGCTGATTTCGTGCCCAACAGCGAAGGAAATGTAAAGGTGTCAAATGTGTCCCTATGCGATGGTAAGTGCCTTGTTATGTTTACTGAAGGAAAACATTGTTTTTGCTCCGTTTCTTCCTCTTCTTCTTCTCCAAACAGTGACCTATGACCTGACCAATGACATGATTTGTTGACGTCTGTCACCATGGTGACTGGTGTTGGGTTACATAATGTTGCAATTTCATGGTCTGCTCTGCTCCTGTCACCATATACTAGTAGTACATGTATGTGAATGTGTTTGATGGTAAGAATTAACAGAGCAGACCATGTCCGAAGGTAAACATTATGCATTTGCTTTTTCAAATGTTACTTCTCTTGATGAGCGCTACACGGATATTGTACATCAATGAATGAATGAATTCATATAAATTGCGATCACCACAAAACAGACTACGACCGAATCTGATACCTTTCGTTTCCTCTGCATTTTCAGACACAAAAAAGTGCGCATCCTCACCTTGTATCAACAACGCGACGTGCACAAGCTTCCGTGCTGGTTATGAGTGTGCATGTTCTCTAGGATTCGGGGGAAAGAACTGCGAGATCGACGTTGACGATTGTTTTGACGTCATTTGTCAACATGGTGGAACTTGCGTCGACAAGGTCGATGGATACGAATGCACCTGTGCGATTGGATTTCACGGAAGGAACTGTGAGCTAGAAGTAAGCACCTGCAGCCCAAACCCGTGTCAATATGATGGAGAGTGTACCGAGAAGGAATTTGGCACTTACAACTGCTCTTGCAGGTATGTTTAAAACCTGAGAATGCATGTCATCAAGTTGGGAATATCCTGGCACCTCTATTCTTCCTGATAAGTATGTTAGTTTATATTAGATTAACCTTCCTCCTGAAGGAGGACCTAATCGCCAGCCCTTTAATACAATCTTTTACACCTTAACCGAGCAGGGTTCGAACCTCCAGCATCCTCTTCATACTAGTATTTTATAAGTAGTGAAGAGTATTATAATGTTACTGAAGTTTGAACTAGGCCGACAATCCTCAAACATCTGTTTACTCTTGAAATTTCTTCAGTAAAATATTTATGCAATTTCTATCTGGACATAGGCCGGGCTACTTAGGCACCGACTGTGACGTTGAACTCAACGAATGTGCGTCCGATCCTTGCTTCAACGATGCTACCTGCGTCGATCTGGTTGACAATTACTACTGTGATTGTCCTTACGGCTTCTTCGGGAAAGACTGCAACGGAGAAATAGACTACTGCGACCCAAATCTCTGTCAACATGGCGGAACATGCATACCCATACAGAACGATTACAGGTGCGAGTAAAATCTACACGTCACATGTAGTGTTAACCTATACTTATCTCATTCAGTTCTCCCGTCCCATGTGTTTTGATTACAACAAAATGGTAGCTACTTAAACGATGTTGTAAAATGAACATATATGCTTACTTTTTGAAGATGTTCGTGTTCGGTGGGCTACATGGGCTACAACTGCGAGATCGACATCGATGAATGCGAGGGAGTAACGTGCATGAACAGCGGCACGTGCGTGGACGGTGTCGCGTCCTACAACTGCGCTTGTGCTCGAGGCTTTACCGGCTCTCACTGCGAGACAAACATCGACGAATGTGAAGCTATAGTCTGTCTCAATGGCGGCACCTGCGTAGATGGCATTGGCTCATTCACTTGTGATTGTCCCGCAAGTTTTACGGGTTAGTACGACTTATCTTTCCTACACATATAGCAATTTAGTCACCATTTGTGCTGTTCGTTCTTGCTCATTATAGCTAAAACAAAAAGATACATCATTACCTCCGGGGGAGGAGACATGCTTCCACGGAAGGGTTTTGTGAGAGATGTAGATTTTCATGTTCGCAGCTGTTTCTCGCGTTTGGGTGGACGAATTCTTTTAAGACTCGGTATATGTTTTGCTGTTGGGCTGCAGATGATGCACTTTTTTATTTTTATTGTATTTGTATTTTCGGGCGTGAAAATGGTGTCTTTTGGTGGCCCCAAAACACCCGTTTGAGCGTGAAAGTGGTCGTGACCGTTGACCTTTGGCGTGTTTAAGCTATTCTCGGTCTGATCCACGTATATGACCCCTCACACAGAGGGGTGTCCGGTCTCGATAAAATCTTTGTTTAAAACGTATATAAAATATACAATAAAAAGCCCGGAGGTATAAAATCTAAGATTTTACTTGTTTGTTTTTTTTTTCCTCATATACAGGTACAATGTGTGACCTGTTTGAGATACACGTTGGCACTGAGGGACCGAATCAACAAAGTGATGACATCGTCGGTTCTTCGGAGAAATCTGTAACAGACATCGTCACTGTTGCATCATCAATACCAAGTGATGTCAGCAACGCTTTCGCCAGTCCTCCATGGTATATTGCAGGGATTTCAATCGGCGCCATTGTACTTCTGACAGCTGTTAGTACACTCGTCTGGAAAAAATGCAGGGGAATAAAAGTAAAGTGAGTAAGGATTTTTGGATGTCCTCTAGTATCAGTAATGCCAAGAAACATGGATCTCACATAAGATTAAATAACTAAGGTCCTGCGACCTCATACGAGTACCACAGCCAAATGATGTTAACATATAAGGAGTGATGTTTTGCGCTAATTTTGCAAATAAGGCCATTGAACCTTGCCATTAATTACATGAATTGTGCCAGTTAGCCATATCAACCGCCCAAATAACAGTTTTGTCACTGATAGAAGGCTACTCTAGCATTTTCGTATCAACTATGGAAATGAGGTTTTGATTTGAATAACTAATGTTTAAGAATGCCCACCTTGTCATAATTAATAATTCCTATGATAAAACGTTGCTAACTCATAGAACTTCCTCATTAATTAAGCAACTTAGCTCCTGAATGGCATGATTATTATTTGGTTTTGTAAACTATCATTTAAGCTACCTACATTCAAAAAAGCACGATCTTGAGGATCTTGAGCTAGACTCTTCTCGACAGCTATCTACCACCCGAAATTCGAGCACATGATCATGGCATGTCCAGAACCTGAGGTCTCAAAACCGGGTGTTACATACGCTGCAATACCAGGGGTGCCAAATCTTATCATTATGTTTACCGGAGGAAAACATATTGTTTTTGCTACGTTTCCTCTTATTCTTCTCCAAACAGTGACCTCTGACCTGACTGAACCAGACTGTCTCTCACCATGGTAACTGGTGTCGGGATACATAATGGTGCAATTTTATAGTAGGAGGGATTTAGACTCCTGTCACCATATATGTGAATGTAGAAGTAGGCATTCGTCGGTCTTAAAAGACAATGAAGTACTTCATTCTACACCCTTTTTTCTTACTCCAATGAATGTGTTTGAGTAAGAATTAACAGAGCAGACCATATGTGAAGGTAAACATTATGCATTTGCTTTAAATGTTACTTTTCTAGTTTTTAAACTGTTACATCATTAACCTATCAAATATCATCAAGATCCATCCACGACTTGAAGAGTTATGCTGTTTACACACGCACCCAAAACATAACCGAAGGAAATTACTGAGGAAACTTTCTAACCCAAACACCAATATAACAAAGCGAATATTGTAGTCATGCATGATGCGTTTATGTATTTTCTCCAGGAGGACCAATGAGAGCAGCGCACACAGGTATATGTTGTCACGACGTTCGGCAGTCAGTCCAACCACAGATGACTTCACAACTATGAACAAAATGCACCATGCTGAGAAAACCAACATTCTGTTCAACCCCTTCGTCAAAGGAAAAGGAGGGAGTGTGTTACCTGAAGACTTCAAAACCGAGGAAGTCTCAGAGAAAAGGCACCGCGCGGAGAAAGTCAACCCTTTGCTCAATCCTTTCGTTGTACGCAAAGGACTAAACCCGCTGGCTGCGTGGGACACATCAGATGTGTAGTGCCCTTGGGCCTCGGTCACAACCCGCCGTACGTGCTTTTTGTCCGTACGTTTTTTGGGAGGCTACGTCTGCTACGTTTTAAACATGGGGAAGGAGTGGCGTCTACGCACGTCACTCGCACGGTTGCGCAAAGTGTAAGAGTGTGGTCTGCACGCCACGTCTGGCCGTGAGCGGTTGCGTGCATCGTACGTTGAGCAAGTGGTAAGTGAGTTGTACGTGCTTACAACGTACGATCTCTGTGTGATTGCAACTTTACCGTAAGGAGGCCGTACTCACACGTGCTTCTTCCGCACGGCACGTACGGGGCACGCGCGTCGCTCGTACTCGCACGCACGGGTGGTGAATCCGCAGACCGCACGTAGAAAAAGTTTTACATGCACTTAAAGTTCTACGGCGTGTCTGTGTGCTCCCAAATCCGTAGGATTCCGTACGGAGGCGGTACTCACCACGCACGGATTCCCTACGTTTGGCCACGTTTTTGCAGAGTAAACAGCACGCAGAAGCACGTACGGCGGGTTGTGACCAAGGCTTTAGGTAAGAGGGAAGTGTGACCTGCCCTCTTGCTGCTGCATTGAGTTGTACAAAGAGACAATGCTTTGATGTGCAGATGTCACATTCGTTGATTGATTGATTGATTTATTGATTGATTGATTGATTGATTGATTGAATGATTGATTGATTGATTGATTGATTGATTGATTGATTGATTGATTGATTGATTGATTGATCGATCGATCGATTGATTGATTGATTGATATAAGTAGGCAGTTAGTGCTTAAAAGATACGATTGGGATACTCTCGATCGTATTTGGTGTAGACTCACAAATATTCTAGACCTACAAATCTTCTTAAATAATGTTTTATCCGGAACGTGAAGAAATATTCAAAACAAATTTGAATGTTGTAGAAGAAAAGACATACATGTAAAGTACACAGCTGTGAAAAGTATACTAAAGAATCAATTTACCTTTTGCTAGTTCGATATGCATTACAGAGCATGAAAAACACAGCAGATAGTAAACTTTTTACGTAGCAAGCTTTAGAATGCAGTGGCATACCTTACATTATCAGTGAATTTGGTGTTATAATCTTCACAATAAGTGGTATACATACATCGTGACAGATTCTTCAGAGTTGTCATTTACCTTGATGGATATCGATATGAAAGTGATATTTTTTTCTTTTATTTTCGTGTCGTACATACATGGGATGATCTGATTTACTGGTATCTTTGTTTTACCTTAAATAGAAAAACTAAAGTAGGGTTTTATTTTTCGGATAAAACATATCACTAGTAAACGACATACTTTGCAATGAGGCTACAATTAACTAGTATATAATTTTCGTGTGATGCTTTGGGTATCCATATATTACTATTTTATAACATATATATTTTACTATTTTATATATTACTATTTTATATATTTTATATCAGAATAAGCAGAGCAGTGTTAGGCTAGACAATATGCAAAGGCAAACATCATGCATTCAGTATGCAAATGTTACCTTTCTAGTTTAAAGTTACATTTTGTTTTTTCCACCAAACACTATTACTAACATCATTACTATATGGAAATTAGTTTTTCAATTGTTATTGCACATTTATCGCTTTCTACGAGATTTATTAATTACTCTTCTCAGCCAACTGTTTGTAGCAAGATAATGACGACTTTGCATTGAAAATATTGTAACTTTTTTGTCCCTGGTCACTCTCTATATAGTGATATATACTATTTCAATCTTTTTGCTGTCTATTTTGTTTCTCTTGACAGGATTGACAGGATGTTGTTTTTACTTATTGTGTCATTAATATGTTGTATGTCTGTATTCTGTATTATGTCTTTTGTATTATTTTCCGACAAAAGTATACCGTGATACAGTTTAGAAACATTCATCAACTATAATGATACAAAATATCAAGTATAAGGTTATTAAGTATTTTTTCCTCTGTTTTTATAATCTGTTAACTTTTTCAAATGTCACTGTCCCTTCACCCGGGTCAGTAACTTAACATAAATATCGACAATAAATAGCACAGTATTTGTGGCACACAAGTGCGAATCAGCTGCTACAAACTACACGTTGAAACCAGAAGTCATAACCGCTCTCCCTGGAACCATGGGATCAAACTTGTATTTGACTCCATGCTGGAACAACAAAAACGGATTTGTCAAACTGAATACTGTATTTACCTCCATGAAAAATGGAAGTATTGTTTTTGTGTGTTTCTCTCTCTTTCTCTTTCTGTGCGTGTTTGTGTGTATATCCGCAGATTTGTGTTCAGCGAGAAGAAAGTTTATAGACGGTCTTTGAAACGTCGGTTCTTGTAAATAAAGAACACTGCTATTATATTCTTAGCTATAGCTTACTGCTTTTTGCAGTATGTGTAGCATTTTCTAAATCATGCGTAGTGACCATGCCTGGACAGCTCTAGGAAACCGATGAGTAGATACTTCGTATCAGTTTCATAACGATTTGATTCAGAAGCAAGCACATGATAATTTTGTTTGTTGGAAACATCTTCAAAAGAAAGTAAAGTATCAAACGAGTTACTAAATACATCTTAGGCCATACCAATTTAATTTGTTGTTTAAAAAAAAGAAACAGGCCAAGGCACCCCATGATAGCCGGAAATGTTACGATATGAGCCATGAAGTGAACATACCAGGCTGGTTTATAATTAAAACAAAAGATTTTGAATTTTTAATGAAATAAAATTGCATCGTTACATTGAAGACCTTGAACAACTAGGAAAAAATGACTTTCTTCAACCGTTGGGGCCAAAATATGTCTTTCATTGAGCATTTTGCAGTTGATTTAGAACCATTTTTTTTCTTTTTCGTATATCAGAAAAAATGGACAGGGCGAATCCGAGAAACAACAAATTGAATTGGTGCGCCCTTAAGTTCTTAACTATAGTGTATTAATAAAATAATCTATCAAAGAAAAGAATACTAGTATGATCTTTTCCACCATCTCTAAAAATTTACGTACGTCGTACGTCAACGCACTCACCGGTGACAGGTGGCAAAAGAGTGATGTCATATAGCACGCGAAAGCGCCACCTACCTGTTTTAGGACAAAGTACAAAAGTGTACACAATTAACTTTCTCTGACACTTTGGACGTTTAGGAAACAGTTATTCACTCAGTAGGTCAATGAATTTGTCTGAAGAGTGTGTTCTGTGCATAATATCTTTGTTAAAACCGGAATATACGTTAGAGAATAGTCGTGAATGGCACTGAAACTAGGTATTATGGCTAGGAGGGGAGAAGGTGGTGACGATCGAGGAGAAATTCGAAGACCGTGTCTCTTGTGGACAGAGAAAGGTCGTCGAGCTCAAATACACCTCGCCAATCATTCTGAACAAGCCCAGACCCCCCCCCCACA